TTCTCATAAATGAAACGGTTTGTGCAGACTTGCAGTTTACTTCACACTTTGCATGACCTCAGAGAATGAAAGGCTACATTATTTGAGAAAAAAGTTATGGGTAAACAACCTAACAAATACTGCCACATTTCTTTCCCACTTAATTTGAAAGAAAAAACACTCTTTATAAACACTACGTGTAACTTCGTTCTTGCTATAGTGTGGACCCCGGCCAGCTTCCCTTATGTACCTCCGCGCCGCGAACGCAGCGCATGCCTTCAGTGCTCTTTTCGCCCCAGGACCTATTGGTTTCTATGCGTTCCTCTCTTTATTAACTTTGTTTTTCCTGTAATCTCTTTCTTTCAGGGTTAAACGGATCACACCAACTAATGATGACAAGTTTTTACGAGCCTCAAAAGTCTTGAGAGCTTCTGCCTCGAGCTTCTGCCTCAAAAGCTCTCGTTTTTTTCCTCCGCAATAACGATTAAGTATATTTTAAAGAGATTTCTCTTCAGGGTTTCTATCACGGATCAAACGTATCTATTCGATCGAATTTGTTTTGTATAGAAACGAACTATCCGATTAAGTTTGTTTTGTCTAAATCTTTTGGTTCCTTTTCAATGCGGCACTGAAGCTTCAGCTTGTATAATTACGCTCTCCAGCTTATGCTTCTAGTTTTTCAATGATTGCAGAAGAGTCGTTCAAAAAGTAATCCTCTTTTCGCTATTTCTACGATTTTCACCCGTCAGTGGTAGTTTTATACTAGTATGCATGAGAATGACAAGAAACCAAGTGTTCGTGGAAGTGGACGCGTTTTTTTTCTGCTTAAGCTTTTCTCGAGGTGAGAACAGAGGGTTCCACTTCTTGTCTCACTCCTATCTTGTCTAAAAATTATTTTTCGTTCATATGGGATGAGAAGCGTCAATAGTGCGCACGCTGCGTATGCGCTGCGGAGGTACATATGAGAACCTGGCCGGGGTCCACACTATATTCGAAAACAGCATCCATCTCCGGTATGTGTGCCGAGTCATCTTGCACTTTACTGCCTTGGTGCGACTCGAAAGACTGGATTTGCATACCCTGCAATGATGGTGCCGCTGAATTTGAGCGAATTTCGCAACGATGGACCTGCAACGTAAATTCCAGCGGCGTACCGAAGGGGAAAGGGCGTCTGAAATTTTGGGTTTATGAGCCCGCGAAAGTTTTAGAAAGCACACCAAATATTCGGAATGCGTGGCTGACGTTGCGCGCCCCCACTAGAAAAAAATCTTGTCGTCGGCTCCCCCCCCCCCTCTCCCGCGCCGAAATCCTGGGTACGAAATTGGTGGACAGTGATAGCACAACCCCTGTTTTTCAGGACTTTAATGTATTCTTTCAAATAATAGTCATGGTTATGCAAGCAGCTTTTCTTCGTTGGCGGTTTTTCGAAACAAGACAAGCACACGAGACAAGCAAGTAACATTATATCCTCAAGTCATACGTCATGCTTTTTATCACACACTATGTTCAATGCATTTACGTGCTTCTCTTCAATATACGAATAACACCTGATGTTTTAAAAGTCATGCCTTTTTCAATTCCAGTCCTATTGTTCTCCTTTACTTGATGAGGCTTTAGCAGTGGACTTTAGCATTAATGATCGGCACTGCTTTCATTTTGCTTAAGCCTAAGGCATACATCTACGATTCCGTCGAATCGCTGCATTTACGCGATGTGGCGATTTGCCCGATGGCTTTAGATGAATTGTGCTCAGGTTTCAAGTGCATAGGCCTATAGCTGCAAGTTTTCGCAAAAGCAACAAGTCTGGACTAAGAAAAGAGCGTTTCCTACTAGTAATAGTAGCAGTGCCAACTCGCGCAGCGACTGGAATCGCGTGAAGTACGTCTTAGGTCTTGGCTTAAAAACGATGTCTGCAAAATACAGCACACTCAGTGGCTTTGCTCCTCACAATCTGATATTGCTATTAGAATTTTGCGCAACCCCATTCGTAAATCCAAACATCCCTCAGTTTCTCTAAAAGTAGTAAATTTATTTTCCTTTGGTTATATATCGTGGAGGGAGGAAAAACAGGGATTCTAGTGAGCAAACTGAGTGATTTCTATGGAATGGCCAGCTGCTCCAGACCTTAACTTTAACAATAATTGCGACTATCACGTCGGTATGCCTTAATCTCAGTTGTAGAGATGTAGATGAGCAGAACAATAAGTCAAGGAAAAAGCAATTGCCAGCCAGCTAATCTAGATTTCGAACAAAGGTAAATTTTTGACCGTGATAGGGCTGCGCCATAAACAAGTCGTAAATAGTACGTATGTCATGCACATTAGAGGAGCGAATATCACTGTGAATTTTTCGAAAATCCCAGATAATTAATGAAGGGCAGCAGCCATCTATGTTATTATTATTGACGAAAGTACTTGATTATTTTTGCAAAAGTCCTCATGCTTTCAAAATTTATTTTTAGAACTAACCGATCTGCTAAATTTTCTATTTTTGAAAAGAAATTTACACATAACCGCCGTGCAGAATATAGCGATCAGGATCATGATAGTTGTCGGTATGATGATGGCTTAGAGGACCTAGTCAAGTCGTACCCAGCAAAAAGACTTTTCTTTCGAAAAATTCCGTTGCGTGGCTAGCAGCAGTGATGTGGCAAAGGAGGGCACTGCAAGCAGAAGCTAACCATATCTGTTGTAAAGCTTCTTTACAGGCGTCATAAAAAAGGGAAAGGAAAGAATTTATACAAGTTTGAGGATCCTACGGAAGCAAATGATTGTAGCAGATAATGGCTGAAATGTTTTCAGGCACGAACCCGTAAAAATAGCAAGTTTTTTGATGAGCCGAAGTGCTTTGAAGATTGTGAGCAGAACAGAACTAAAATCGATTTTGTTTTCCAGCAAACTGCCTTTCCATTTCACTTCATAAGCAGCACATACGCTATTGTAACAAATATACTGCATCCTTTGCCCGGCACGGAATCTTTAGAAAAAATGGTAAAGATAAGATAAAATAAGAACTTGCTAAGCAGAAGCAGCCATGACCGTCAGAAACAAAGTGATACTATGGATAAGGTGTTCACCAAGTAGCCTAGTATAGAGGGATTTGTCGTAAACAGTGGATTGTTAAGTGCTTTATCCTGGAAGATATATCAACCTTAGGGTTGTATCTACCAAAATTCCATTTCCTCGGTTTGCTATAGCGTGAAAATATTAGGTCGTTTCATAAGTTCGTCGACTTTTTATTTTTGTCGCCGTTTTTCGATGAAGCGGTTGGTTTACGCAAAATACCTATACCAATGAAAAGAGAAAATTTTGCTCTACAAGAACTGCTGTTCGTTTTTGGAGCAAACTTGAATCCCCTCCTTTTACGACTTATCAAAGCAAAATTTTTTGAGAGGCAAAAATTGGCGATTGCGGCAACTGCACTTTCCGCATTTGGTCCGTATTCCGCACGATGTTTCTGTCATAGGTAGGCGGGATGGATAGTAGCAAGCAAGACTGAAACACTGACAAATTTGCAGCATGCCAAACCGTAGAACCATAGAAAACCATAGAAACCATAGCATAGAACCGTTTGAACAAGGTCCCAATGGTTTTGTTGTCTTTGACTGCTGCCGCTTGAGTTTGGCGCGTTGTTTAGCGACACAATGTGTCGGTCCTCCTATCGGAACTTGAGGAATGGATGCGTTTTTCTAAGTGGTGTAGATGTATGAGTACAAGCTCTGACCAACATTTTACGCTTTCTCAAAAAAAATTTTTGACGTGGGAACTTTTTAAAATTGTGCCAAACGCAAAACATCTACACACATGGTAAACGTGCGCTTCTTTCTTTATAGCCTCTCTTTGGATATGGAGACTACTTTTATATGCACCGTAGTACCACAAACAGTTGTTTCTCATCACTCATAACAACTTCAGACGAAAAATTCCCACTTGTGGCTCCGTATACGGGTCGAAAGTTGCAGTTGCCGCAATCGCCAATTTTTGCCTCTCAAAAAATCTTGCTTTGATAAGTCGTAAAAGAAGGGGATTCAAGTTTGCTCCAAAAACGAACAACAGTTCTTGTAGAGCAAGATTTTCTCTTTTCAATGGTATAGGTACTTTGCCGTAAACGAACCGCTTCATCGAAAAACGGCGACAAAAATAAAAAGTCTACGAACTTATGAAACGACCTAATAACTTTACTGTGATTAGAAAGGTTCAAATACATATTCAGTGCTTCACTAAAAGGCAGGGAGTATTTACCACTATCAATGCAAAGTTTGACTGCAACTTGCAACAAGTTCGCCTTTATCAAATGTTGTTTTGCACTGATCCACTGTTGACTATTCTACAGCTCAGTATCCCACCAAGACACACCGAAGCGGCCGTGAAGAAGTCGTAAAACCTGAAAAAGGTAAAAAGTATTTTCCAAAATGGCTGGGCTCCTGCTCAACACGTATATAATAGAGGAACTCTTGAGAGTAGATAGACAATGTGGAATTCAGAAGTTCGGAGCATCAGGTTATAAAAACTTCTTTTAAGCTGTGTTTTCTCCCAAGCGGGGTCCATGCGTTCGGCTTTCAGTAGCAATACAATGTTCATAAAAATCCCTCCTTACTCGGTAAATCTAATTGTTATGCGAAATTCGCCGTATTAACGAAGTGTCAATGCGACAAGTTGCTCATGACAGTCTTGCGATTGTGTCAAAAGTGAAGATGTGTGGGTTATATAGGATATATATATATGATAAATTATAATATAAATATTCATCACTTTTTTCCATGGGTGCTGGTGGTATCAGACTGCATTCATTACATAGCTCCTATACATACAGATTTTCAAATTGTCTAATGGCATGGGAACAAGCGCACTAAGCCACTCAAAACTGCGTTCAAAGTGGGTAGTTTTGATTGGCCTATGCGCTTGTTCCCACACCATCAATTTGCCAGCATTGATGTCTCCTTCACTCTAATTTATTAGATTTTTCACCATTTTAAATACGTGTCATGTTTGTTGCTATGTGCAATATATAAATTACTCTAAGATTATCAGGTGCGAATGGTTTTTGATGCCAGTTTGGGTTATGATCCAGATGAGTGGGAAGAATGTCCGCCGAAAGAACAGTTCATGGTATTCTCGTTTTTCACAAGGATATTACTAAGCTCAGCTGCTATACTGTTTCTGGTACTTTTCTTCCATATGTTAGAGAAAAACAAGGAGAAGGAGGAAAAGAAAGAGAAGAAAGTGAGTTTTGACCAAGATCATGCTAGAACGAACATGAACCAGATATTGTTGCTGTAGAACCAACATCTCGCAATATGTCGAAGGTTCAGTTTTTTGTAAGAACAAGTCTTAGACCCGTTCTTATCTTACAGTTCAAAAAAGGAGAAGAGAACGATGTCGCAGAACCGGTGAAGCACAGCGCTGATCTTTTGAAAGAAGCTGAAGAATATATGGGTGGTAAGTTGCCTCCTTGCCTCAAAATTGTGCGTTAATCCCATAAGTGAGTTACTGCCGTGTACACCAATTGTCGCAGATGGAACAGGGTAATAGGCACTCATACAAAGTAGTTAATAACTGCATTTTGTGCTCTTAATAGATAATCACTTTCGGGTAACATTATTTATAGAAAGTCATCAATATCAGTTGTCGCCAGCCAAAGTTAGCAAATCATTTCTATTGATTAAGAAATAATAGTTTTATTTCTTTTAGGATTCGTCATCAAGGCAAAAGAAACGCTGAGTGATGCAGCTGTGCAACTAAAGCAACATCTGCCTCAAGGTAACCTTATCATGTAATGAGTTCTCAAAGGTGTACTCCAAGGTTAGATTGTTGAGCTGTTTTGTGTTTATCACCTCAGTGACTTGCGTATTAATGCCGTCATATTGCACAGCTGACTGAGGATTATTGTAATTAGCTTGCAAAGGTCTGAAGGATTCTATTACTTAGAAATAGGAGAGGATAAACAAAAGGCTTATAAAATTGAAGACTGTTGTTTTCTGTGAGGCTCCTTATAGCTAGATGAACTGGCTTTCTGTAAAGCTATGCACTAGCGAGCATGAGGCGGTGTCAAGACAAAAAATAATTTCATAGCATCTTCGCTTACCTGGCTCTTCCGTTACGTTGGTTGCGAAAATCAACTTATGAGGAGCAAAAACGGCGAAAGCAAACTTTTTCCCAGACTCTTTATTCTATATGTGGACCATTGGAACAATTCCCGCTGAGGCTAACAAGGGAACGATACTAGGTGTCCATTGCCTTTTGAGATGAGATGTATCCACGACACTCGTCTTCGAGCGCTAATTCCAAATCTGACTTCCGTTTTGCTAATCGTTTCCCCTGAAAAAAAGGTTACGAAGGATTTTTTGCGCTAAAGGAGATACTCGGAATGCCAAAACCGCCGCTATGACGTGGTGTTGTGGCTAGGCGATAACCTCACAAGTTAACGCAGGTTTAGGTTCGAGTCTTTTTGTGTTTTTCAGTTTTACACTGCCTCATTCAAGTTTTTTTTTAAAGTTAGGCATCCTCGACGGTATCTCCTGAGCGACGTCTGCATCCTTCATACCTTCTTTTGAAGAGACAGTTAGCAGAAACGGAAGTCAGATTCGGAATCAGCGTTCCAAGACGAGCGTGATAATGTACGATTCATCTCAAAAGGCCACGGGAACCAATACGTTCCCTTGTAAGACGCAGAATCACTGTGTAGGCCCTTATAAACTCAACCATAACACTCCGCCGCAGAGCAAAAAATTCGCAAATCATCCATAGCGCTTTTACGGGCTCCAATGGCAACTAGTGTTTGTTCTTCTGGGTGTCCTTAGAGTACGCATCAGACAGCAAAGAATGCCTCCTGTGCCGCAGGCATGGCGTGCATTGTCTCTCCCTACTGCGACGTGATCTGAAAGAATCCTAACAGACCTCTCAGCCTAACATGCACATACTCTTTTTTCTCAAAAAGCGTTAAAGGCAGCGTACACCCAAAACAAATGCAACAGATGTTGCAACAGCAACTGCAACTGCAATTGCAGCTTACGCTGTTATGGACTCGTTCGGAGGAGGCGGAGCGAAAGAAAAGGGACGGAGTGAAAGAAAATTGAGGGGGGTTTTCTCCGCTCAGAAGCAACATTGGGAGACCGGACCAACGCAGTTGGTCTTCTTCTGGGCCCAGTATATACACGGTGTAATCTAGAAAATTAGACAACTTAGATTTTGGGTGTACGCTGCCTTTAAGAAATTTGCAACAACTGAATGATTTGTCTCTTTTGGCGTTCAGTTTTGTTGCTTTTATGCTCAGATAGTTCAGCTACGCTCCTCAAGATGAGAAGAGAAAGAGGGAAGAAGTATTCAATTTTCTTAGATAGTAACATATCATATATTAGGTTGGTCCGAAAGTTCGTTCGCACCATTTTCAAAAATCATAACTTCCTTCCCTCACAATGATTTTGCGCAGTTCAAATTTTGTCTGAAAGCGTGAAGCATTTAGTTTCCAAAGGCTTCCTGGGGAGTTTCCGACATGCTCAGGTGGCAGAGATAAAAATGAAAGAACGAAAACATCCGAAATTCGGAATTTTTGAGAAACAATTCCAAAAATCTGGAAACTGCGCGATAAAATCCAGAAAAGCCATTATCCTAATTTTTCTTATATTTGATTACTAACTGAGTTAGGTTTGTGCTGATCAAGCTCTTCTTTCAAAAGTTATGATTTTTTGAAAAAAATTCCGAAAAATCACTTTCCTAAGAATTCCTAAGAAATTGGTTTTTCGGCATTTTTTTTCAAAAAATCATAACTTTTGAAAGAAGAGCTCAATCAGCACAAACTTAACTCAGTTAGTAATCAAATATAAGAAAAATTAGGATAATGGCTTTTCTGGATTTTATCGCGCAGTTTCTAGATTTTTGGAATTGTTTCTCAAAAATTCCGGATTTCGGATGTTTTCGTTCTTTCATTTTTATCTCTGCAATCTGAACATGCTGGAAAGTAACCAGGGGACTATCGGAAACTACATGCTTTACGCTTTCTAATAGAATTTAAATTGTGCAAAATCATTGTGAGGGAAGGAAGTTACGATTTTTTGAAAATGGTGCGAACAAACTTTCGGACCAACCTAATACATATCAGGCGGCTGCATAAGTTTTGTTTGATTTTAAGTTTCGAATTCAAATCATCATAACTTCTTTCAAGGCAACTTTTTCTTCATAATCTTAGTCCTATACGTTGAGCAGTTTTTTGGCTATCATAAAAAAGTAGTACTTGCGAGAAACTCTGTGAAGAAGCAAGAACTCAAAAACACTGCGACGTTTTTCTTTAGACCTGTCTTTTTTGGGCATGGCAATGCTCCCTTATGAGAACTACAGGCATATTAAGTAGCAATGGGTAGATGGAGAAAATTTCGCTAGATTATTCCACAGGTTAAAAATGCTCATAAGGTCGTCGGCGCCGAGAGATATTTTTGACCGAATGAAAATCAAGCTGTTTTTCAATCGTTTCAGTACATGCATGAATGTCAACTTTTGAATCAAAAAATTTTACACTTGCCGCGAGAGGTGAAAAGTAACTGTTAGCTGGGCTCTGCTAGCTCTTGCTTTACTCTAGCACCTGCAACAACTCATCAATAGTCTTTGTTCACGGAAAATTATTGCTTGTAAACTTTTGTAAAAATGACTATTCTTCGAAAACAAGTTTTATTAGCAAGACGTTTTTTACATAAAAGTGAGTTTGTGCATATATTAGACTGTTTTACCCTTATTCCGTAAACTATACAAAGACTTGACTTGGAGAGCATGTTGTGGAGATTTTCTCGCAAGAAAATTTTCTCAACTGAGAACTTGACCATGTGGGGATCATAAGCCTGCAATCTGTTAGACTTTTAAAAGACTAACTGGCTTACCCGGCTCCGCCAGGCCCTGTCAAAACACTATGATAGAGGTTTAATTCTTATCCCTGTACAACCTTTCCCTGTGTCCACTTCTATATGCCAATTACAGGCAATTCTAAAACTAATATCGTATTCGCAACAGCTGGCTTACCCGGCTCTCCTCGGCCCTGTCAAAACAATACGATAAAGCTCCCATCCCTATCCCTGTAAAATCTTTCCCTACGCCCACTTCTACATGCAATTCCCTATTCCCGCTGTGTTAGTAATCAACATGCTCACGTATCCCCTGTGCCCCCCAGTCCCGTAGCTCAAAATTTGCAAAAAAATCTATAAAATCGATAAAAGTTGTAAGTGATTCTAAAAACTAATAATGTATTGGTAATCAGCATGCTTGATTACCTTCCTGTGCCAAATCCCAGCCCCACAGGTCAAACTTTACAAAAAATCGATAAAATCGATACAAGTAATGGACGTTTTCAAAAACTAATATTGTAATCGTAATAAGCATGATCGACTACCCCCCGTACCAACTCCAGCCCCGTAGCTCAAACTTTGCAAAAAATCAATAAAAACCGATAAAATCGATACCGGTCGATGACGAAAAGTAGCCTATGACACCCGCCGGATCCCGAAGTGTATGTGTGCCAAGTTTGGTCCGGATCGGTTCAGAAATAAAAATTTCTATTCGGAACATACGTACAGACACACACACAAGCAGACATTCAGCTTCATACATAAAATGCTATATGTTAGAAAGAGCGAGAAAAGCGCTTTCTAATGGTACGAATATCATCGCAGTGTGTGTGAAAATCTTCTAGGACGGCTGCTTCAGGCAAAAGACAAAAAAAATCGGACAGAACTTATGCAGCAGATTAGTAAAAGGATTGGTTATGCCTTTCCAATGTAGTAGTAGCAAAGAAATAACTCGGTAGGGTACTTTCCTGAAATTTACTGCAAAGTCTCATGACCTGACAGAAAGTGCTCAAATCAGCATCTACCTAGTAGCCTTTTCCTTGCATTGTTGGTCAATTATGTTTCTGCATCTTTAAAGTGTTTTATGCATCTGATTAAGAATTGTTCCACGGTCATGATTCACGGCAAACGTTTGCGCAATACACCGAAGAGCCACGGCGCAGAGCAGAGGAGGCGGAACGTTTGGTATGTTATGTTATCTTATTCGTTTTTTTATTCGAAGAAGCAGTTACAGCTCAAAACCAAAGCGGAACCTACGTATACACCTGAGCCACTCAGGGCAGGGCAAGGATTCTTCACTGATTCTCAGCCCCAAGAGCAGTTCAGGAATCAATCTTCGGAGGCGCCAAGCCAATTCTCTCAACCAAAGGAACCACCAACAAGGAAAATAAGCAAAGAGTACGTAAAAACTTTGCCGGTAACCTGTTAGTCGTCTCTTTTGTCATTCATGAATGACTATCGATCAACTTTTATTTCTGACAAGGAAAGGATACGGACCTCCACTATTTGGTATGCGATGTACACCATAAGGTGCACCTCGAAACACTGATTATAAATCTGTGCTCGAAATCTGCGAAACGATCATATGAAGGCAATTATGAACTTTTTTCCGTAAAAAAACTTGCATGCCTTTGGGTACTTAAAATCACTAGTTTGGTCTATTTTATCGCCTGAAGCTGTTGAGCAGAACCTTAAAAGGTCTACGTTGTATTTATACCTATCTAAATCATATTCAGCATTTGAAGAGGAAAAAAAATTATTAATTATTTTCACCCTCCGCAGTAGGGCATTCATTCTTGAAAATGATTATAACACCATCCAGGTTCTCGTTTTGCAGACAAGGAAACAGTATTCGAACCAGCATTAAAAGGCGCATTTTTTGATATACAAACCATTATGAATGGCCGGGGTCACGAAGTATCCTTCCCTGTTGAGCACAAAGATAGGGACCGATGCATTTTTTATATAGCACTTTTAGAATGGTTTTTCTAGCCTTTCGTAAGAGCTGCGCAAAGTTTCGGAGATCAACTGTCCTCATACGTTTTTTGTTGCCTGACTTCGGCTACACGCTGACTTTAGAGGCTAGGAACTGTCAGTCCTATTGATGATTACCACTTCACCGTTAGTGCTTCAAAGTTTTTGCTTCTACTTCGTTTTGCGCATAAGAAGTCCCTAAAACGTATCTGAAAGAAAATGTCGGAAAATCATCCACTTTCTAATCTAAATGCAAATGTTACAATCAAGGATTTTTAAGGGCATGACCAGTATTGAAGGAAGTGGTCCTTGACCGTTTAACATTCTAGCAAGTAATCTATTGAGTTGATGCAAAATTAATGCATGCTCTTGTACTAAAGCGGCGGAAAACATATAGAAATGTAGAAAACATATGGTCCGATAGAGCAAAGCAAGCCTTACAAGATAGTATTTGAACAATCTTGAAAGATTTGGCATACGTGTAGTTTTCAAAAAAGTATTTGAACAATCTTGAAAGATTTGGCATACGTGTAGTTTTCAAAAAAGTGAAAAAGATTCGTATAGTCAAAAATCAGATTTTTGTTCAAAAAGATCCTGCAAACCTCTAACTGGTCAAGCATATAGTACACGTCAAACATCCATATGTAGCATATAACATTCATATCTATATTTGCCGTATTTCCTTGATGGCTGGAATTTGAAGAACAAAAATAGGCCGAAAATTAAAAATGTCGCCTTTTATGTTGAATTTGATATTCCTCGTAACTAACCTCAAAGGCTGAAAATTTATCGTTGTACCTCTAAAGGTTTGTAGTATGAAATTGCCTAATGTCGGGACTATCCACAATGCTTTTGCTAGAACTCTAAATTTTATTTTTGAAATTAAATCAAGTTCTGCTTCAATTTATGTTACACTCACATTTTTCTTCGAATTTCTCCATATTTAAAATTATAAAGGTAAAGGTTATACCTTCGTTTGAGGACCTAGCATAGAATTCTTTATGTGGTTATAATTCTTGAAAATGAGTGATTTGTCAGCAAGTTCAATACAAGCAGGTTTAACACAAACAGCAACTGCTATAGCAGCTTTACATGTATCGTAATTTGCATTCTTACGCAAAACGTTTTGTCTTAGGGATCAAGAGGCATTGCGACTTTGGGAGCTAGAACGTGAGCGTTTGGAAGAAGAGCGATTAGCAAAGTTGCAGGACCACGAGGTGCCATCCTTTGATTGAGTCGCCAACACCTAAGCAAAAGCATGTTGCGAATGTGCTTTAGGCTGGTGGAGAGGAATCTGAACTAACCTCAACGGGAATGCTACCTGCTTCGCATATTTCATACGATGCTGGATCTATGCAAGAGGGAGAACAAAAAATTAGAAGGTAAAGCTAGTTCTGTTTTTTTTATCTAAACATTGACACAAACCTACTTCAATGCAATAAGTCTAGTAATTTCATAGAGTTTATATAAAAATATTTGCTTAATTAATTTGAACACTTCAATTAAGAAAACTTCCGAACACTTTACCTCCGCAGAACGACGAGAATATGCTTGAAAAGAGATTAATGGCACAGATCGGGCAGATCGCCGAGGCTTCTCCAAATGTTAAAAGAGAAAGGTCTGCATTTTTATTAAGGTCGACTTCTAGCCTTTTCAAACTACTCTGCAGACCCTCGTTCACTCATGCGCATGAATAACTTGGCCATTCTTAGGATAGCATGACTCGCGCTTTCGTTTGGGGCTAAGAAAAGCTTTTTATGTTAACTGTGCCAATTGTCTGATTACGAGCAGCAAAGTGATAAAATCTTAGATGAAATCCATAGAGATGTAATTAGGTTAGGTCATATCTTCGCAAAAAGTACGCATCTTTATTGTTTATTGTACATCATACAGTTTCTATAATTTTGATTTAGCTACCGCGACTCTGAACTGACTGACTACGACATCAGTGACTTTCATGGGAACGAGGTTAGCAGTTATTCATGTTGAAAAGTAAATCAATTTGGAAAACACGAGTCTCTAAAATCAGATGGCCGGAATATATGCGCGCTACAGTATGTAGCCTATCGTTTTCCGCAAACATCATCATAGTGGCTTGTACGTCTGAATCACTTACAGTCTTTATATCAAACTACATAATCGTCCATTGAATTCAAGTTGTGCTAAAGAGACTCCTGGTTCAATTCCGCTTGGTCGTCCCGCGCCACAGCTAATCAAGACCAGAAATTACTAAAATCTTTACAGACCCGAAACTGTTTGACTGACAACTACATTGTACAGCTTTAGCATAGCATTTTTTGACGCTCTGGCTCCTGTGTGAGTTTGTGAAATCTATATGCATGTGTAGCCGGCTGTGTGATTCAATTTTCAGGCCCGGCACTAGAATGTATTCGTTATCGGAATACATTCACAACTTTTGAAGTTTAAAACCGCCGAAACAACATGACGCTCTCACTGTCCCGCTACGCTGCAGTATAAAGCCATCATTTTTGTATAGTAGTTCAAAGGCAGTGTCCGGGCAAAAACTCGATTTTCAGATTTTGTGCTTACCCGGGCCTATCCGCTATGATGAATCCGAAAATCCACATTGGAGAGCGCGAAAACGACGAAAAAGGGCTCTAACACTGGAGGGAAATCAGCAAGTGGGCGGGGTCTTCCCCAATGTGAATTCACGCTTCCAGCTCCCACAGCGATCTTCTCGAATCCGTTAGCCGCCCTGACATCAATACCGATCAAGTGCAAACGAATGACTTGAAACCGGAAACAAAAAGATAGCCCCGAAGCTGGGAGCGTGAATTCACCGTGGGGAAGACCTTGCCCACTTGCTGATTTCCCCCCAGTATTAGAGCCCTTCTTCGTCGTTTTCGCGCTCTCCAATGTGGATTTTCGGATTCAGCATAGTGAATAGGCCCGAGTAAGCACAAAATTTCAAAATCGAGTTTTTGCCCGGACACTGCCTTCAAGGTCTTTATCGCAGTGTCGCAGTCCTTCTTCCTCAACGCCCTGATCGAAAGAATTAAAGCCAGCTAATGTGGGTGATTTTCAGGAGTGCAGAATTGTGCTGCGCGTTAACTTTGCTTAATATATGCTTTTCCTCCTTGTCCGGGCGATTTTAATTTAGCGACACTTGATTTAACACATTAACAGTTAAAAATAGCGCATATGGAGCAAAATTTGTGCTACGGAATGCTATGATAACATTTACTAGCTTCAGAACTGGTAAACAACTAGCGACACGAAGCTGCGAGATGGTTTTTATCTGTAAGATGAGGGTGGTCCAGGTGCGCACAATACTTTTTGTGCTTAAGAAAGTTTTACCTTTGCTCTACCTTGCTGTTAAAGCACTGGTAGACAGTACTTGATTAACGGACACCATGGAGCGTTGCTCAGGTGTCTATCTTTGGTCATCTTGGCACTGAATAGCACCCCCTGACCACACTAAATGGAAAGTGTCTAAAGGGGCGACACAGCCGGGAAGCCGTTTACACGACCTTGCATGAGAGATGAAATCATCTGACTGAAGCAAGAAGAGTATAATAATTCTTGCAAGATCCTCACAACCCTTTATTTCGCCGAGGGTGCGGTCAGTTTATGACGAAGAAAACCTTTGTGAGGGTATGGAATTGAAACTGGAAAGACCCTTACTACGTGAGCCTCTTTTTACAGGAATGACACTTGAGGGAAGAACTCATTGAGAGAGACAGAACACCATAATCTGCTTTCGAGCCTTTGTGAAGCCACAGAACTCCGTGCAAATCTAGCTTTGAGTCGACTTCCCTACTCAACTGTTTTTCCAACGCTTTATTATGCGGCTGAGGCTGGGACTGTGACTGCAGCTTCGGATCCACAGACGTACGAGAGTAGTCTAAAGTTACCGGCCCTTGAACATCTTCAAAAGTTGCAGTAGGGTGAAGAAGATACCACCCGTAAATCAGCGGAATATATTGCGAAAGCATAAGAAAAGGGAAGAAAGTGTAGAAGATAAGAGAGTTGTGCGCCGAACTACTTGCCTACTTAACTTTGGTTGGATGGGTTTGTGACTTTGTGGTATGAACCATTGCAAGAGTGAGAATGTAGAGTAGGGAAGAAGAACTTTTGCAGAGAAGAGTGAATAGAGGACCGAAGAGATGTAGGCGAGAGTAGAGGAAACTTGAAATCTGCACATAGCGCAGGTTCGCAGCTCATTGGTTGATTGATTGTAGCACTTTATCGCACGTGACCTGGTTTTCGAACAGTTCTAACGCATTATCAAATAATTATCGTAGTATTCACGGTTATTCAGTTTTCAATTGTGTTAACATCGAGCGTTTGCTCCTCGGCTATAGGCAATTTTCCGGAGTATAGCGGGCGGAGCAATGCAGACATCCGAAAACGTTGGCGAACTTGTTGGTCCTCTCTTCAACATTATTACTCTTCTAAGTCTTTCAATCAGAAAGTGCTATGCATTTACGTTAACGGAAGCCTGCAATGAACCGCACTGATTCTAGAAGTCGATGGTTTTGATATCTATTGATATATGGTAGTCAGAATTGGGTTTCATAATAATGCTTCGAGGCCATTGATCAAAAATGACCTCTAATCTCGCAAACATTTCGTGTTTCTACCACACCTGCTGACTTCTTATTGAGAGCAATTTATGGGAAAGTTCGTAGCTCCGGCGTAAGCTGGCGGAACACAACAGTGCTTTGCACAAAGAGAGTTAAGGTTGTTAACTATGTGGGGCGTATGTGCAAGGTGGAGGCCGTTAGTGAATTTTTCGATCAGTTTAAGTGATTTCATATGAGGGCCTCGGTTGAGGATCGAAAAAAAAACTCACCGCCTACTTCTCTATGCTATAAGAATGCAACGTGTCCTGATAAGTAAGCGTCGATTCAGGTACGCGCTGATATCACCTCACTTTTGGAAGTATGAACCTACTTTTAGAATGATTTTACAGAAATAGAATGCAAACGATGAAAATCAGCAAAAAGAATTAGTAAATTGCTCTTGTGCGACTTACGGGATACATTCCAAAAAATTATACCAAATAAAAACTTCATTGTTTTTTTCAACAACTGCAATTTTATGTTATCGACGTTAAACTATTGAGAGCGTTGTTTTTGTTTTACTCAGTTTGCTAAGCGATATCTCAGATAGGTCCACATTTTTTTTCGATAGTGACCGTCATCGAATATTGCCTGGCGATGTAGCAAAAGATCACCACTTTCAAACAATGGCCCTAGCGGTTGGATAATTGCAATGCTTTCATTCGTTTGACCAATTTGAGAAATGACAACGTTAATCCAATCTCTGAAGGGACGCATGCCTGCTAAGCGAATCACATCCATATCAATGGTATGGTTCATACTATAATGAGCCCTTGGCTTTACCTTAGGCCCTCCTCGAGTCGACCAAACTGATCGAGCTTTATTACGAGCGATGGAAGTCCCTGTTATGTCATACTAAACCTTTAGACTATAGCCCGTAGCAAAGCTCGATTATTTCAAGTGAACTGAACTGTCAGTCTGGACTGACAGTTGGCCATCCGTCCACATGCTGCAGTCAACAGTTGCACATCAGTTCATGTTCAGTTGAGATGAACGTGAACTGATGTTAGACTAATGCAAATAGTGTGGAATAGAGGAGAGCAGAAAAGACTCCTGTAAGTTGCTCCTGGGTGACTTACGATACACATCAGTTTTCCTAACGCTGCGGAGAAGATCGGCGCAAAACTGCACATTACCGGGGTCCGAAAAGGAGCGAACCGATGAACAGCTGATTTTGGCGTGGAAAGGAAGCAAACAGATTTTTTTCTTTTTTTGGAAAGTTTGCTGACTTCTTTTGAAAAGGCTCAAGACAAAAATTTATTGATGATTCATTGAGTTCATGTCGCAACCATTTCATTTTTTTTTCATGAGAATTTCATCAAATATGTGTTTTAGTTTCATCCATGCATGTGCTAGGCGAAATCCTTGATAGCGATCATCATCGATTTTGCGATAGTGGTCCTATCAAAGACGCCAAGCAGTACAGCAAAAGTGTGACGTTAGCCGGTGTTGAACCATGGCCGCGCGCTGTCAAATCCAGTCGCTTACCTGTTCGGCCAAACCAGCTCAAAAGATTCTTTTTTTGAGAACACACATGATTATCATGTTTGAAAGGCGATCCGCATCCAATCGACAACTTTTTGGATGTTGGACTGAGGCGTCCTCGTTCAACGTAGGCCCGCACCAGTCGAGTTGTACTGATGGGGGGGGGGGTTTACTACGGGCCCATCTTTTGAGTCTGTTTGATTTTCATTCACTGATCATATATGGTAGTCAATAGAAAGGAAGCAAAGTCCACTGGTATAACAAGTCCCACCTTCTGGGAACGCTGATTTTCTTTGTACTTTCGTTTTTCAAGTTCAAAGTCGTCTCCCTTCTGGCTACAGTGCTCTCTCAAATAAAAACCATCCTTTTCTGCCTTCCGCTATGGACATTATTTCAATATCTTTTTTGAAAGATTTCGAAACGAAACATTAGGTTCAATATTTTTTGCAGATAGCAGAAGGTTAGAGATTATTATATCTAGATTGAATATTTAGAAGTAAAAATGCAAGATCGACGACTGGTATCTCCATTTATGAAAAGTGAAATACCATGTCATTCGACTACACACATATTGATAGTTGTCTATATACTGCAAAACGTCTACAGGCCTAGTCTTTGAAAACAATATATTGCTGCAAGCTTGTTCACGGTAAGACGCGAAAGCAGATATCGAAAAATTGGCAATTCTTAGTTTGGCTTGGCTACAATTGCAACTGGATGCTGTTATAGGCCTAGTCGTTCACATTAAGTGACAGAGTTGCGTGTGAGAACGTACGTTGATCGTTTCCTCAGCTCTCACATGTTGCTTTGGCATGGAAAATTCTGAGAGAGTAGGTTCGCTAACGCGGCGCAAAGCCCAAGCAAACGGCAAGGTTCAAGCTGCTAGTTGCGACATTTTAGCCATACAATACAGGGTGTTTCAAAAAGATGTGCACACTGTCTAATCGTCAATAACTCTCTTGCTTTCATGTCTTTTGCCAAGCTTGAGGTGCCATTCGTAGAGCGAGATTCAACTTAGATATACAATTGGAGCAAATTATCAATCACTCATTATGCCTCATAAGAAAGCCGAACAAGCCAGAAACTTTTGATCCGGGCTGGTCGAAGCCGCTGTTCCCAAATATGAAATTTGCACTTCAAATGCTTCTTTATAACTTTATTCCAGACTTAGGGTAACAACTGTTTCCAATGTTCGTCAGAAATGTGATTACGTAATATAAAAAGCTACGCAGCTGGCTCCATACTATGAGTCTAAGTTGAAGCTCGCTCTACGGAATGCTCGACAAAAAATATAATTTGAATATAAATATCTGACTATAACTTGTGACTCAGGAAGGTTTTGAGGGTAGTTCTTCCTTTGGTATAAGTGGCATACAGAGCAGTGACAATGGAACAAAGAATCATCTCCTGTAGTGAAATACCGTATTAGATCGCGATACATCCTGCCATCAATACTTAGCTGTTCCTGCTCTTCTTGCGAAATTACAGAAAGCGGTTTGATGGATGCCAGAAATTTTCTATAACTACGTTGTGGAATAACTTATTTGCAAGTTCGTCTGAAATTGGCTCCAAAATCAAGTGTGGAACTTCAGCAAGCAGTTGGATACGCTCCTGCATCAACCTTTGCTCGATTTGCGAATACAGAACAGACTGAGCACACAAAACCCACACCAGCACCCATTACTTCCGCTGATCGGAACACAACTGGTGATAGCGACGACTTTGTTAAGGTGTGTAGAGAGTGCCATTGTAGGAAGTGCACGCTGGCCAAGACTTTTTGTGATATTTTCTTTGCGTAGGTGAATGTGGATCCGATCTATGACATGCCTCCCAACAATGAAAAAGGTATGAGCCCCGAAGAGGCGAAGAAATTGCAGGTAACCACATGTGTGGATTGATACGTGTGCGTAGCGGTAAAATCAAAAAAAAAAACTCCTCTTTAGTTGGAAATTCTTGCAATTTCACAGACTTAAACGTAAATGCAGCCAGATCTGGGAATGACCAAAGGGATTAATTAGATTTTGTATATTAAGGGGATAGAAAGTAATGGAACAAATGATAAATGCAGCTTTTCAAAAAAAGAGGTGAGTGGTCGCTCAATTTCTGAGTCAGAAAAATAATTAATTACCTAAGAAGTTCATCTACCTATGATGTGCACCAATTTGTAATAACTGCGAAGTTGGGCGCTTTGGGCAGCGTCCGCCCAAGATTTCGTCTTCCATGTTTTTATTATTATCGAGCCTTTCCACGGCGTAGGTTTCGGATATAAGGTTTAGTTTACTAGAAAGTTCCAAAATTGCCCCTTTCTGGAGTCCTGTTCTGGCAAACGTGGACGAGCACCCCGGCGCCAGTCACGTCGTATGCAACAGGAAACCTCGTCGTGTGCAACAGTGCCACATCATAAACTATGCGTCTCGACGTTGCTTGTTATGTCAGAACACGTCACGGCAATCCATGGGTGGGTGGAGCCAAAAAGGGGGCGGAGCGCGGAGAAAATCCAGGTCCGCTATCCCCATTTGTAGGCAACATTGAGGGACCGATCCTTGGTTGCTCTATTTTTAGAGCCTGCTAATAGATAAGTAGTGATCTGCGGTAGATAGATTTGGGTGGAAGCTGCTTTTAAGCAATTTTGACGTTAACACTAAGGAACACGTAAAAGCGGCGGTAGAGCGACGCTGCAGAAGGGGGTGGGAGTGGCCATCAAGGATAGGCAAAATAATAACTTCATTACAAGAGATGAAACCCCAAGTTTTGTGACACTTATTATGTACTCTCTAATTAACGCCACAGACGAGTTCTTCTCTTATTTAGCTTCATGGATTTTTCACGCACTAGCATGCACGTGCAGTTTATTTCTCGTATTTTTGTAAACTAAAGATCAGCTCATGATTTGATTCCATAATTTTGGAGCTGAAATAATTACTTTTCTGAACTTTTTGACTTCTCGTACGCAATTCAAAAGTTTTCGCACGTTCGGTTCACCAACAAACGAGCTCCAGGAAGAGCTCATAGAATTATTGCTCCGGTATGCCACTTGTTTCGGGTCTCTTTCTGCGGTGTAGCCCCACAACTTGAGGACATGTTTGAAAAACCCGCTTTACGTTTTCGAAGCTTCATTAGAGGAATTTGAAAGAGATAGATGGTAAGGTATCCTTTAAGATTCATATGACTGATTTTAAAAGCGAATCTAAGCGCTATTTCTATGCAGCACAATTTTCTTCATAACAATTTCCGCGTTTTTCATTGTAGTGTGTTGATCGCAAAACTTTAATCTCCTCCACGTTTGAACTTTCTCCATGCACCTTCCTACCTAATGTACCTGTACTTCTCTTCAAAAACGAGTATGGAGAAGTGTGAAAGAAAAATTCTTGATAGAACACGCATCCACATTTATGCGAAAGGGGCATTGGCAACTTCGGATGCAGCGAAGTAAACGTAGGAGATTGGTCCACTTAGTCCAGCGACCGACTATCGCATATAAAAGCTCAGACACGGTTGGGGCAGTCAAAATGTAGAACCTTAGCTATGTTTTGCGAGGCAATAATAGGATTTGTGGAGTTCTGGATCAGAAACAGAACCGGGTGATTAATCTGACTCAAAGGATAGGAAACTGCTAGAAACGGGGGATAATGAAGGGAAGTAGTCAAAATGGTGCTATCTGAGACTCCTAGGTATCGTCGAGTCACTTGTAACTCAATATGTGACTTAATATACTTAATATGTCTGTACAATATTAACGGCAGTAGACGACACTCTTAGTAAAAAGTCCTTGATAACGTTTTCTATCGTACAAACTGCAAAAAAGTACTTAACTAATAAATATTCAAACATTCCAATAGAGAAACGAAAACAAGGAGAAAAAAGCCTTGACAATCAGCAGTTGTAATTTCACGCCTTCATGTGGCGCGCGTGGTGTGCAATGCGTATATCAGATCGCAAATGTCTCCAGGATATGCAGTAATGCGATTGTTAGGCTCCGGAAACACTCCATGCGTTTTCAGCCTCGACACGTTTGCCAATTTGCCAGTTGTCTTCATATGCAACTCTCGCAGACCCATAATGCATAGTTGTATAACATTCGTAAATTGATAAACTGCTTCCTCCTTTTTGATTTCATTAAGCTTTTGATGACTTATAAGCAATTTACGTATTACCAAATCGCGTCGCGACTGAAATACGTGAAATATGGAGCTTTAGGATTTAGCCATATACCTATCTGTTAAAGGCATCGTCCAACAAATTATGGATGGTGAGATTTTGACGTTGTGCAATAGCTCCCTTTACTAACAATAAGTAATCAATCACGTTCTGCCGCAAAAGGCGCATTCCGAAGCGAGAAAATCACTTCAGAAGAAAACAGGAGACGGTACTCTGACCACTTCTTCAATCGATGGACATTCCTCCGATCCCGCATATCCGTGCTCGCCAATCGTCAATGCGGAGTATGATCCCTGATGACCGCTGATAATGACTGTATCCATATCAACTGATGACCGCTTATAATGACTGTATCCATATAGTCAGCAATTCAACAAAACATCAGGATTCGGTTTTGTATGAAATACTCAAAAACACTTCAAGTAAAAACTTACGCTAAAAAGTTTTTTTTCAAGCTTCAAAAAACTAAAAAAAAGGTATTACCTGTGGGAAAACCGGCCAAAGCTTTGACAATCATTTATTCAACAGTACAATTTATTTCTTTGCCTTTCAAAGTCTAAAGTATTGACCCAGCTGTAGTCGCAACTACTAATATAACACATTTCCGCATATCGATCTAGCTCTAACAAATAAAAAATGGTTAAACAGAATAAAGCTGTCTTATATCAGATGGTGCGGCAATTGCCCAAGTTATATACATCTGATAAACAAATCATCCGAAAAAGGATTTTTAGGACTTGTACAAGGAGTACGATTTCGGATCAGACATTGGACCTGAGGTGGCGCAACCCACACAACAAGCATTCCCAACGCGCAGCCAGTTCTCTCCTCCCGTAATTGTTTCACCAGTTGCACAGGTACGCAATAAAGACTGTAGCACAAAGAGAACCTGCCTGCGCAGTGCGGTCTCATAACATTTGAATGAGACGCCAGAAGGGTGTTGCTCCTATGTAGCACGGTTAAAACTGGGATTAAAGATCTGATTGGTTTGATTTGGAGTAAACTTAGAGTCTAACTTACAATGAAGGATACTTAGTGGCCGTGCCCTTTTGAGATGAAACGTACACCGTTAAATGGATCTTGGCGCTAATTCTAATTAATTCCAATTCCGCTTTCGTTGTCTAGCTGTGCGCTCTTCCAAAAAGGCTGTTAACATTTTTCTCCCAGCACTGTTTTCATGACATGCACCAACATCGTTGGAATACCACTTACGCACTACAGAGAAGCGTCCAAATCAAGTAAAGTCTCAAGTTAAGCTCAAGAAAACTGCCTCCAATATATTGGAATCTTAAACGCCTGTGCGATTTCGACTGCCCAGATCTCGTGAGATTAATATGGAAAAAGTTTATAACTTCATTCAGGGAATCTCACAACGGATAATGAACATAAATTTTAACAACGTTTCAAGGCGCATCTTCAGGTATACAGCTAGCTGCAAAAAGCCACGGTCACCAAGTATCCTTCCCTTGTTAGATAAGAAAATAGATAGCGAGCTTCGGAGCCTCTTTTTTCACGTGCTTCAGCTGCTGTTCGTGTCAGTTTTCAAACTCGTGAAATGTTGATTTTGATCATAGTTGCTTTGGTCGAAGTTCAAAGTTCGACATCTTTCTGATTATTTCGAAAGGCTTCACAGATACTATCTTGAAAAGCTTCACATGCATGAAACATGCCTTCTTTTGGTGCATGAAACAACAACAACAAAAAGTAGAACTAATGAATCTTTGCAACTCTTTAGGATGCTGATGTCAGTGGAACGCCTAAATTTGTACCTACAGACCCTGCATCCACGCAACCAATCTATATTGTGGTAAGTCATTTGATGTTTATAAAACCTTAACAAAACCATTTAACGATTATATGTGACTGCTGCTGTGTTGAAAGAAAATACCACTTCTGTTAGCTTTACTTTGAGATGACTAGTTTGGATTCGTGCGTCACTTCTAGAGCATTCGAGCATTTTAGGATAACGGTCGCGAAGATCCACGAAATGTTGTGAATGCCGAGATGTATGTGGCAGATGCTATTGAATACTTAGGGAATCAGGAGGTAAGTATTTCTTTCAAACAAACCAAGTAACTTGATAGGAGGTGTGAGTCTAACAAGGGGAGTCCGTTTAGTCGAAGTAGCCCTTTTGTATAAATTCTATACCACTTAGAGCAGTGAACGATTTTACCGAAATTTTCTTCGTTGACTTACTCAATCTGTCTTCTTTATTTACTAAACGTTTTTGCAAGCCAAGTTATGGCCGTTTCTGAGGTTGAAAATTTGAATGCGCAATTTGTCTAACGTTAATTGAGAGGAAAAGACAGTGACGGTTGTTCCCTAAATTTAGCGTTCATCTTTCGCTCCAAAAAAAAAACATCCACTACTCGGCATCCAGAGGCAATTGCAGATAATGGAAACAGGTTTGGAATCAGTGTTTAATGCTCTTCAAAGCGGTAGAGGACTCTTTTGAAGAGGCAATTCGAGTAAACGAACTTCCCTTGTAAGATGGTTAGTTGTGAAAAATTTCTAATGGAAAATATTGCGTATGAATTTCGAACAATCTTGATCATGTTATGAAAGACAGGTGAAGGTGTCCTTTGAAAAAACATAAGGAAATCTAACCAAATTGTGTTAGTTTCATGTCGCGAAAACAGAAAAATGCTTACCTAAATTCCTTGAATGAACAATTATTAGGTTCCTGGTTTAGTACGGCTTGCTAAATCGTTATCTCAAATGCTCTTCTTGCCGAGATCGAACAGTTAAAGGCAGCGTCCGGGCAAAATTTCGCCTCTCATGTTTCTGCCATTCTGGGGCCTTTCCGTGGCCCTGATTACAGCTGTAAGGTCCAAAGTGTTCAAAATTCCCAAAAAAAACCCGGTTCTTGGGGACCCCCTTTTCAAGATGCGGACGAGTTTCGAATTGCTCGTCCTCATCGTCATGCCAGCGGGAGGAGCTGCAACTGCACGGATGCAGTTGCATTGCAGTGCGCAGTGCAACTGCAATGCAACTGCAATGCAACCGCACACCTGCGTAAGCACTCGTCCTCAGGGGTGCTTTGTGATACGAAGGGGCGGCTTGTGATACGTATCACAGGCCCGTATCTCCTTTTAGAGGGCACGTCAAAGGATTGGACCAACGCAGATCGGATACTCATGGGCCCCTCTTTACAATTATATGCTAATCTGGGTGGGGGAGATCTTGCCCGGACGCTGCCTCTAAGAAACGATGAATAAAATTGACATATTTACATGCCTAGAAGACTTCAGTTTCCTGTTAGACTTCTTCACAAGTTAGCTTCAGTGAAGAGGCACCAGTACATAAAACTGATGTAAGCTCAAAGCACCCACTTCAAGCTGTGACAGGGAAGATCTTGACTCGATTATTACAGCTCAGTACACATAAGAGACTATATGTTGCCGATAGGCTCCCGTACAGCCGATACAAATCCGTTAGGTCTGCGATGCATGGAGCTGCGTACTTCGTCGCGACGTCTGCGTTAGGCAACCCACTTTAAACGACGTTTAGTCCTCCATGCCTTAAGCACACCTTTCCCTTTGTAGTGCTCGGACCTTTTGAAAATTGTTACAAGACAATAATCGGAGATGTTTCCTTAGTCGCTGCTGAGCAGCTTCGTAATCGATCAATCCATAAGGATCGAACTCGCTGCACATGAGTTAAGCTAAAGATCAGATCTTTTTCATTCAACCCCATATTCAACCTCATATTGTTGGATAGTTTGCTGACACCATTTTCTTGTACTTTTATGGAGAATAGGCGCAAATTGTACATTAAACCCGAACCTATAATTTTTGGATTTGGGCTAGTAGAACAATGTTTCCGGTAAAGCCAGTAGAATGTCTAGCTAAAAAGTGAAATTGTCATCACTCTTAAAGTCATTTATCGCACTTGCATCCACCATCCGGCCCGGGGGCTGCAATCGCACCCCTTAAACCACTTTTCCCTTGACATAACACAAGCTTACGATATCCTCTCCAAGCGCAAGCTGCTCTGCAGCGTTCGGCTAAAACGCTTTTACTTCTGGAATCTGGCTTGCGGAGTTACTTCGAGTGATTTGAGGCCAAGATGCAAGCAAGTCAAGGATAGGGATGGGCAAGCCTAATGACTGTATTACCATCAGTATCTTTGGCCGAGTAATGCGATTAGCCTTGCGACGTTGATACTTCACACATACTCTTTTAAACCGCAGACTGCTCATTTTGCATAATTACAAATCTTTACGAGGTCAAGAACACCAGAGAAAAGAATTTTATTTTAGAGCGTTCCATCTGCTGGTGCTTTTGTTATAGAAGAGGAAATGCTGAGCAGCCAAGGCAGTATGAAACGTCCACAGGTTGGAATCATTTCTTTTAATGATTGGAGTAAGAAAATGCACAGATTGTGGCAATACATCAGTCAAGTAAAACAGAAAGCTTCATAATAGCCTCCTATTTGAGTCTCTTCATTTCCAGCAGCAGCAAATACGCTTACCATCTGGCGACCCCACAAGCCGTCAGTTCAAAACGATGGAGGTTTGCCTTATGTGTATTTAAATTGAGTTGACTCAAATGGTGTTGGATTTCTGTTCTTCATGATCATCCTTTGGCCAGTAGAGTGCACCCTATTTCCGTACTCGCATAAACTGTTTTTATGACGACAGAAAACATAACGAAAGCTGTCCGTTCAATTCTGTCACCGTTAGTATCGAAAATTAGAAGATGAAATATATCCAAAATATTGTTGGAAGATATCAGAGTAAATAAATAATAAACGCTAAAAAAATCACCTTACAGGTATTCGACCGAGTAGAGCATGACGAGCACGATGATATCACGTACGCGCCTGAAATTCAATCTGTCGAAATACCGCCAGATCAGATGAGCGAAAACAGCGACAATTTGCAAGAATACTTTGATCGTGCTGCTGCGGAAGGCATGGGTATGCACTCATGGATGTATTTCTAGCGCGCACAAGTTTTTCTTTCAGAACCGCATAGACTTCGGGATCACAAACACACTTCACTGCAGAAGACACCTATGGCGCAGGTAGTTCTTGTACGGCACATTTTTCGAAGTTTCCATACATGCAAAAAGCGCAACACTTTGTTTGCATTTCTGCTTTGCTCATCCATAATTATGAATACAAAATCTATATGTCTATGTCAACGATGTGCTTCCTTTTTGATCAGCCCAAGCGCAGCGCTAGTTTAGCCGCGTTGGCCCCGTAGCGCTCGAGCGTTTGCGATCGATCTTCGGTCGCTGCGCGATGCCCACGCATGCGGTGCGTAGTCGCTACGGGAAAGGGAGCACATAGTTGACACAACTTGTAACTCAGCCACCATTATAAAAAAGAACTGTCATCACGGTGAATTGGCTATTATGATTGAATGTGAAGTTTTTCCAAGTTAATGGCTTTCAGTTGTAATCTGAGTGGACTATCCTACAGTTTTTTTTTGGAGTAAGATCAACTAAAACAACCGATGACTTATCGTTCATTCATAGATAAAAAATACAATACTGTTATTTGCCCTTAATGCTTGACAAACTGAATTTGTGCTTTACCTTAAATGTGTTAATTTTATTGAAAATGAGAAACAATTTTGAGATTGATAATTGATATTAACGAATCGGTGTAAGATTCAAAAAAAATTTGTCTATATCCGTCTAGTGTTAGAAAGAGCAGTGATGAGTATGTGAGAGTGAGAGAAAAAAGTTATTCTACTGTACAGAGTGCTCTGAATTTCAGCTATCCATTTGAGCATTTCTGTATAATCTTGCACACTAGTTTTCATTTGCTAGCTTAGAAAACTTGACTTTAGGACTAGCCTAACAGATAGCGAATAGAGTCTGGAATTGCCACAATGCTTTCTATTATGCTTTAGATATCTTTTGGTAAAGCGTTTTGACCGAAAATACTTCCTTTGATCGTCACACTATATCGGGATGTGTTATTGTATCGCCTACGTATGAGTTCCAACCAGGAAATTATCAAGCATACACGTCCCGAAAGCAAGTTATGGGGACTACCGAAACACATCAAAATAATCTAATCTTTTGAATTCAGATCATCCCCGGTTGTTCAATTTGCACTTATTAGAACACTACAATATGGCATCGTAAATAATATAGTCCTTGTTTTCAGGCGCCATACATTACTTCTGCAACTGCCCGAGCTCAAAGTGCATCTTCATTGGCTTCTGGGTCAAGCGCACGAAGCAAGAATGAAGGATACCCGAGGGTAATCCACTTCTTTCTCACTACTTAGCACAGTAATTAATGCAGGCAATATATATCTTATGCACAGCGGTAAATTCCCACTATGTTGCAATGCTGCATGTCACCTAAGTAGCTTGTTATTTGGTTCAGAGGCTATGCTCAGGCGAATCTGGGCCGGTAGGGCTTGATGTGGAATAGCTGGGTAGCCCGAACAAAAACATTGTTTAAGCGGTAGCGCAAATGATTTACTAATGAGAGCGGTGGGACCTCCGCGATAGCATGCAAGCTGATACAAGTCGTCCGTCGGCCAAATACGTTAGGGACAAGCTTGGAGATGGCTAGGCCGTGAATAATTTGCACCGCCACGGACGGTACTTTAAATAAGGCCGCCGTTCCAGATTAGCCTCCTGCGCCTGGAGGCCCTCTAATACCTTAGTGAGTGTCAAAAGCTTGTAGTTGATAGTATCAAATTTTTCCATGTTTTGAACTTAGAATTCAACATTTTTGAAATGGAGTGAAGGGGTTGTTTGTACAAACTATTTTCCATGCAGATCGTATCTTATATATAAAGCTGAATGTCTGTTTGTCTGTATGTCTGTCTGTCTGTCTGTCTGTCTGTATGTGTGTACGTATGTTCCGAATAAAAAATTCCATTTCTAAACCGATCCGGACCAAACTTGGCACACATACACTTCGGGCCCCGGCGGGTGCCATAGACTACTTTTCGTCATCAATCGATATCGATTTTATCGATTTGTTGCAAAATTTGAGCTACGGGGCTGGGAGTTGGCACAGGGGGGTAATCGAGCATGCTGATTACGAATATAATAATGACAGGGCCGGGCGGAGCCGGGTAAGTCAACTAGTCTGTTATATGTTATACTAGATCTTAATCTGCTGCTTAAGCTAATATACGCTACAAATCATTATTGAAGCATTTTAGTTACGGAAACAGTCTTCACTGCTTTCCGTGTTGGGCGTTACTTCTATGCAAGAGATGCTGCTGACGATTGACAGCCTTGACACATTATCGGACGCTATGCGTAAAGCCGGATTGGAAAACACGAACATGATTTTCGGTGAGCGCTATTTTGAATTTTCAGAGCGCTGCTTGATTTGTGTTCTCTAGAGTGGGTTAATAATTTTGAGTTCATTGTCATCTCAACAATTAGGAAAATGTTTGCTGGTAGGTTCCTAGAGTTGTTGTTGACACATTACAGGAATCGACTACACTGCCAGCAATAAATACCAAGGTGAGGACTCGTTTGGCGGACGATCTCTGCACACTATACATCCAAGCGTCAAAAATCCCTACCAGCAGGTGAAGCAGTAATCTATCAGCAGACAAAGTAAAGATAGCACAGGGCTAAGCAAGTTTGTTTGATTGTGAAGAAAACTAGACTAATGTCCGTTTTGCTTCCAATTTCTCACATGGTGAGTTCGCTAACTGTGGATAATAGATTATTGCAATAGCTACAAACTAAACGTTCCAATGGAAAGCAGGAATATTCCACAAGAACCTAGCTTTTCCATAAACTGATAACCTGACTAACATACGTTCTTGTAGTTTGCAAAATTGCAAATAAGCTTTCCAAGAATATTCAATGATGAGCACAGTATCGCTTATGATTTGCATGGGTGTTTGAAGCTTCTATGGAAAATTCACTTTTTTGAATACCCCAATCATGCACACGCTCTGTGCCAGTGCGGTCACCATTCCAATCACAGAAAAACCATTTTATCTATATTCTATGTTTAGTTTTTTTGTTACCCGAGTGAAAATTGATATAATGTGTAAACCAGCTAATTTAATAAACTAATTTTGAGATTTCAGTGCCATACGTTTGTAGTACTTGTTGGTGTTTTGACTTTTTCATGAAAGCGTTCCACAGATTAAGATGAGAATAGATCAGCATTCATTACTGAATTTAGCTCTACAATTCTAGGTAATAACCATTCTTGGTCGTACTCTCGCTCCTTTTGCCAGCACGGGTCGCATCCCAGTATTTGGCTTTGGTGACGCAAAAACTGGCGATTGGAGTGTCTTTCCTTTGAAACAAAATGGTGACTGCACATCTCTTGAAGAAGTGCTTAAGTGAGTTTTGATGTTGAATGTTTTCAGAGGCAGCTTTTTAGTTATGACTACCTTTTTTTAGGATATATAACGAAGTAACGCCAACTGTAGATCTCAGTGGTCCTACAAATTTTGCTCCCCTCATATACCAGGCAATGGAGATTTGTCAGTCTGCCAGTGATGTAAGTTATTGTTTGCTAAACGCGACCAATGAAAATGTTCGGATACCCTTCTTCAGCTCGGATTGTTACGGGTGATTCAGAGGTCCTTTTATCTATGCCGTGTTCATCAAAACGGCGTAAATAGATGTAAAGTGAAGCAAATTTTCGGTTCAATATAGTGTGTTTGCGGTGTGGGAAAATACGGTGAAATTTGCGCTTGAATAAATAGCTATGCCTGAAATGCCGGTAGTTCGCACACGCACGTAAAAGGAATCAAAGCGTAACTATTTGTTTAGGAGCAAATTTTACGCATTTTTTCGTCACCGCAAGCACACTATATTGAGCGGAAAACTTACTCGAACGTATTACACATAAATTAGTTTTATTCAACAGAAAATTGCTTTTATTTAGTACCATATATTGGTAATAATTGCTGACGGTCAAGTGACTAATGAACGAGCGACCAGACGGGCAATTGTGCAAGCATGTCAATATCCGCTTTCGATCATCGTAGTTGGTGTCGGTGATGGACCTTGGGAAATGATGAGGGTCGGTACATACCTTTCATTTGTGTAAACGCCGCTTCTGACCAAAAAAAATCTTATACTTCAGGTATTTGATGAATCTTTGCCGAAACGCCCTTGGGATAATTTCCATTTCGTTGAATACCATGATGTAAGTTCGTTAAATTTAAGAACGTTTCACTGAAGCTCACGTCATAAAATCAACATTCTCTTTCCTTCTCACCCTTTCAATCGCCAAGGGGATTTCGACTTCACCAGCATTTGATCTAAACAACCACTAGCATGTTTGGGAAAATGAGTGAGAGTACTCAAACAAATTTGTGTGACCGCTAACAACGACGCAACCGAGCCCAGAGCTTATGTCCCTGCGCGCGAGCAGGAATCCCATACTCTAAAAGTGTACTTTTTGTCTATCTGTAGTATTGTAGTCTATCTGTATTAATGTTCCAAATAATTCCATTTCTAGGATCCGGCCTATGATTTGAACATACAGATCAAGAAGGGGGGGGGGGGAAGGCTCTTTCCATCTAACTAATTCTCGATTCCTAGACATCTCAGAAGCAGCTCGATCTGATCTTACCTTGCAAACTAGTCCAGATCCAATTATGATTCGCTTGCACGCTTCAAAAGAGACGTCCAAACAAACAGAATATGCATAGCACGAGCCGGAAATGGAGACGCAACCAGTGAATATCGATTAGAGACGAAAGCTAGCAGGCATTAATTTAAGGCTCCCCGATTTATACGGTCGTTTAGCTGAAGACGCTCCAAGCAAAGAATGGTCCGGAGACGATTGGCGCAATGTGCGTGATTTTCGCAATCTTTACCTAGTAGCGCGGCAATCAGTGCGCCCCGTACTTCAAAGTGTGCTCGCATCGCGGAGACGTGACAGGCCCAGACCTGGACAATCCCTTCATACTTATTGTGCTGCGCACACACTCTTTGTACTTTGGGAATTCAAATACTGCTAATGAACATTGTGAGCCCTTCTTTGTTGTAACAAAATAGAAGCTGCAGAATAACTTTTCAAAAGATGCTTTACCGCCGTTCCTCTGTATAGTTCACTATGATACATGACTCCAAGAGTGACGAGAAAGTAAGTAGTATCATAGTAGTGATGTAAACATTTGAGATTATGCGACGGACTGTCGGAAAAGCCGAAGGGGATGTGAAACTTGCTGTGCAATCCCTGTTGGAGATTCCGGATCAGTACAGAATCATCTGCGAACTGGGACTTCTCAAAAATCGATCGATTCCACCGCGAGGTTCCGAAATTCGTAAAGAAATGGCCCATTAGCGAGCTTCAAAGATCTGTTAACTTTTTGGTGCTCCATAATCTATACATGTTTGCTGCTCACAGTAAATATTACATGCGAAATTTAAATTACGATCATTGTCAACTCCAAAGTCTTAACACTGCTTACCTACTTGAGATAGATCTTTTGAGTGGAGTAGAGTCAGATCTGTTCGTAGTGAGTGTAAATTTTTATTCTTCAATAATAAATTGCTATAAAAATGCTTCTCTTCTTTCTCACAGTATTTGTACCTGAGTTGTATAAACCTGTGGATTATTCACAATTTGTTTCTCCACATTTTTGAGTTCTGCTAGTGTCACACGCCTTCTAATCTCAACTCTCATTCTTGACCAGTGATTAGCAACTTTGATGTCAGCTCAATAAATTTCATTGATACGAGTATGTAGTGCTTAATCGATCAGTCTCTGCAGAGTTCGGTTCAGTACCTAGCCAAGAATTTCATGAAGGTAACCGGAAAACGATGAGCAGCTAATTCTTGGAGACAAAAAACGATATCTGCCGAGAAAGCTCTGCAAAAAAGTGTACCGAATGGCTCGACCAATCAGCACCGGTTCCAAGTCGTACAATAACGGTTTTTGTATAAAATGGTTCTTTCACAAACCAACCGGATATAGCTCTTTGTTGTAATATGCAAAGCATATTGCTGAGCGACCGAGAAGAGCATGACAGCTAGAATTACATTGAAAATACAATGTATCCATTCTTGATCTGTTCCTTGGGAGGAAGTGAGGTAAAGTCGGGCTTCAGAAATCAGACACGGATTTGGGAGCGACACGAGATTGACGCACACTTATTTCCTTTTATTGCCCCTGGAGGACTAATAGATGCCTTAAAAATTGTTTTTAGCGATTAAAGGAAAGGGGATAACGTAAAGAATCAGATCGAACCATGAACCATGTTTCGAAATGCTGGTCGCCTCAAAGTCTTGAGTCAAAAAAGAGCAAGCACTAACAAATTACACGGGATTATTTGTTTTCTAGAGCTCTCTCTTTTATGCTAGGAAATGCACATTAGAAAAACGTGCTATTATGGTTGCCTCGTAACTGTCTGTTTCTCTGACTGGTCACCAAGATGTTGATCGACGAGGTGCTGTTTATACCGAACTAGCTGGCTTTCACGGTTCAGTCCGGGCCATTGGTTATCTGCACTGCGAGCCCCCCCCCCTCATATATGTTATGTATGACTTACCGTGGGACATCCGCTTGGAAACCGCATCCTCATGATCCTGAAGTCAAAATGAGCTTCACCGCCCTCCTATACATGAGTATGGAAAATGCTTGATTGAACATGATAACCCTTCAATTCTCTAGGAAAATGTAAACAAATCAATAAATCGATAGAAGGGCCGAACGAATCGCCGCAAAAAGTAGCCTATCATCTGCGCAAGGGTCGAAAACATATGTGTGCAAAGTTCCAGCTGAATCGGTTGAGTAGCGCGCGTTTCTATAACGCACATACGCTCCAAACTGGCAATTTTATAGTTTTATATACATAGATAAACGAAGAACTTAAACTGTGAATCTCCTCCATCTTTTTTCAGATTTCTTCGCCACCAATAGACCTATAGTATATCACTCGTCGTTCACTCGGTTGACCGAGCTGAACCCCTCAAAAGAACCCCGTAGGTTAAACATAAGGCCGCCCAAACTCCCGTGCTTCAGGGTCGCTTTTAAGGCTGGGTTCATACTGATTCCCATGTTCTAACTGTTCCCGCACAGTTCTCGCACTGTGCTGGAACTGTGCGGGGACAGTTCCAGAACTATGCTGCATGATCTGCAATCGCCCCGCACCGTTTTCAACGGCGTGAGTTGGGGAATTTTGACCGTTCTCAACTGTTTTTCTTTCAGCTTTCTCTCATTTTGGCCTTATTCCTCCACCCCGCTTCCCTTTCTGATCAGCAAAACTTCGAACTCGAAGCGGGGTTGAAGAATGAGCGCTTTTATGCTCCATGTATTGGAAAGATGGGCTGTCGTGCAATTGTCTATTCTGTCTCCGTGATTTTTGCTCAAATCTACTTCATTTGTTCCAGGAAGCGGCTGTGTAGTTCCCATAGCCATCTGCCACGAATTAGGGAGCAGGAGCAATTCTGAAACTGCATGAATTGGGACTTGTCTCTTCTTTTTAATAATTTTGGGCGTTTTCAGCCCCTTTCGTTTTTCCATAACTTTGCTTCTCCGTTCTTTCTTCTACCCCGCTTCTCACTGTGATGAGAAAAGCTGTGAACTTGAAGCGGAGTTGAGGATTGAACGCTGTTCTGCTTCATGTATCCAGGAAGATGGACCTTCGTGCGCTCGTCCATCTTCTCTACCATTTTTGTTCAGGCCTACTTCATGTGTTCTATAGACCTGTCTATGTCAATTTCAATACAGATACGAGACTACGCAGCGTCTTGCTAGAAGATATGAATTGAGTCTAAACAAAAATAGCGATGAGAAAATAGACGAGCGCACGAAGGCCCATCTTCCCGGATGCATGGAGTTCAGTCCTCGACCCCGCTTCAAGTTGTTTGCAGCGCATGCAGCACAGTTCTGAAACTGCTCCCGCACAGTTCCAGCACAGTGCGAGAACTGTGCGGGAACAGTTCCAGAACATTGGAATCAGTATGAATCCAGCCTAAGTGTCAGTGGCCGTATTCATCAAAGCTTGAGAGTAAATCTTGCCTCAAAAATAAATCTCACCTTAAAAAACGATTAGACCGTATTCACAAAGCATAAAGTATGCTTTTAAGGATAAAATACAACTTAAAGGCAGTGGCTAGGCAGATTTGAACATCTCGTAGTTTTAAAATGGAGGTTGCTTACAATATAAATGTGGAAACAGAGCAAGCCCGGGCGCAAACATGTTGCCTCTGCAGAGAAATTTGCCTTAGAACCCGTGCGCGTAAGCCATTCTTATACGCGCTTGGACGAGCTTTTAATCCCCCTCCTACCGTCGGAGCCAGCATGCCGCAGGTGTACAGTCTGCCCCAATTCCAACCAGGCCAAAATTGGCATGGCGGGAGTCCGCTCGCTAGGGTTTCGCGGTCATGCCCACGCCCTGCTTTTCTACTCTCTCTTCAATCCTCGACAGCTCTCTTCGACAGCGCGCATATGCAGCGCTGCGAGCGCGCAAATTTACGCGACGGTTCGGCCTGTTCCCGACTGGAGCAGACTGTATGTCAAAAGGCGCGATTCTTATGCCAGACACTAATTAAAGCATTTTCAGTATCTTATGGAGTTCTAGAAGCAATTCAGATTATTAAAGATTCATGATTGCCCCTGAGTTGCTCGATTTTATCACTTCAAAATAGATTTAAGAATAAGGTATTAAGAGTCAAAAACCCGTGAAAGCATCTAATCGCCTTTTCATGAATGTTATGATCAACTTTCCACCAAAAACAACCAAGGTTAGCAAGTGGTAGCTTTAGATAGCTGGTAACGTAGAGCAGTTTGCCTTGCATCATCAAAAGACGCGCATAGCTCTAAAGTGGGCTGTTAAGGTGTGACCTCTGTAGAAATCGCACCTCTTGACGGTTCATCTCATGTCGCAATGCTATGACCATGAGGGTCCCGCAAGGATTTTGCGTCTTAGACAAATTGTTCCACTCGTCCAAATTCAAAATGAAGGGCTTGCGAGACGCTGGTTTCGCCATTTTCGCCATTTCTAAGGTGGATTTTCAGGATCAACGCCTTGGATTACCTTGGATAAGCAAAGAAAAATTAGGTAAGGGTTTGCCGAGCCACGACCTCTGAGGATGAATTATAAGCCAACACTTCGTACAAACATAGAATCATATTGAGATAATAAGTAGTATATCATCTATCGATGCACCACCATTCCTAACAACACCGTTTTGACAACAAATACATATTTGTAACTACTTATTATCTCAATATTTTCCACCTCCTTTTCTCGTCTAGTCTAGTCATTATATAAAATTTAAACCAAATTACCTCTAAGCACTTTTGTTACATCGACGTTGCTTTACTTGGGATTGCGTCTTGAAAGGCACAGTAATCAAGCATGCACATGCTTTGAAGCTACATAACATTAAGCGCGCTGAGTCCCGGAAGAAATTGTCAGTAGCAAAGTTGAATGATGACATTCTTCCGAAAGTAGCATGCAGCAAAGAAAAATTACGAATCATCACAACGAGCGTTAGACCAAAGAACCTGGTAAAGCTCGCTCAGGGGCTGCAAAATTGTTGTAAAGACTTATTTGATGATAGTGGCACGATAGCGAAAGAACAGAAACTGAAAGAACCCAGCACGCACGCAATTTGTGTTGTGAGTTTGAACTGGCAGGCGGGACTGACATTTCCACCGAAAAAGCGTCAATGAACACTCTGCTGACCACCAGGTATGATTTGACTCGCAGACAGCCTCATCAGGGCCCGGCGCGAGGTGGGCAAATGACAAGCTGGAAATCGTTTTTGATGGAAAAAGCAAGAGGGAAATCGTTTTAGCGGGGTCTGGGGGGGGGGGGGGAGGGGAGCCCCGGAAGAAGATCCCAAGTGCAAGCAAAAGAAGGTCGAATCATGTAGTTTCCATAAGCCTCAACGCACAGCAGAGTTCGCGCGCCACGCCGCGCCCCCGCTAATCGCCGCGTGCGCAACGTCGCATAAGCGATACCGTTGAACAGCATGATTACATGATCAGTTTTCAATGCAGGCATAACGATATAGCACCAGATTGCGTAAGCTAAAGAAGAGAGGCTAGGAGAAACAAAGTATGAAATATTATAAAAATTATGTGATTGGGAGGTGTAATAGGCATTTTTTCCAAAAATTCTGCAAAACTGGTAAACGAAGATGTGAATTCAAATGGCTCGTTTGTAGCGCACAGATGACCTGGTATGAATCTTGGTAGATACATGAACACGGGCCTGTAGGGCTTAACTTAGAAGTTTCATGAAAAATATGTGACTGAAGGTTGTGGCAAGCTTTTTTCTGAAAATTTCCCATCAAGAAAATGGAAAAACGGCTCGTTTGCAGCGCAGAGGAAAGAAATCGCGCGAGACTTGGTGTGTATACGCGCAGTAGGACTGAGGAACAATGTATGAAAAATTATGAAATACTTATGTGAATGAAGAGCGTGCCCAACTTTTTTCCAAATTAGGTGGGCAATTGCCCACCTAATGCTCACCTGAGGTGGGCAAAACTTCCGTCTCACAATTTTTCAAAACTTTTACATAAATCTTTTCTACATCTAAACTTTACTCTATGGTAGAATTTTGGTTTCAAAACTCCCCCTCTCCTCTTTACTATAGTCAAAATAGGACCAGCGGCACCCTTTCTTATTGAAGAAAGCGCGCCCCAATCGATCGATATGCGCGGGAACGGCGTCACTCAGACCTATAACCAGTTTCTCATGTTCTTCCTTGTATTACCTTGTAGGACAGCTATTTTAGCGTCGTTTTGATGTTTTGCTTTCTTTCTAGATGTCAGTGAATAGTTTATTTTTTTAGTAAAGTATTCAGCACCGCAGGCTTCACCCAAAAGCGCTCGAAAGCCCCATACTTTTTTGATCTCTCTTCATATTTCTCATCTTTCTCAACATACTTTCCGTTTGCATGTTAACGTGCTGGCCTTTAGGCTAGCGTGGACGTGTGAAGTGAAGAAGGTGAAGATAGAATAGAATAATTCAAGCGTTTTTGCGTTTTGAGCAACGTTTGGCCGGTGCTTGAGTTGTACAAGCAGATGGGAGACGAGTGAAGGAATAATAAAGCTCTGCCTATTCATTTTATCGTTTGAATGATTTTGCCCTTTGATTTATGAAAGCTAATCGCAAATGAAACGTGCTAGAGGAAAGAGGAAACAAAAAGGGAAATAATTTTATTACTATTGTAGCTGAAAATATTTCAAAAACATCAAACCACTACTTGCACATTCTTGACCTAACACAGAATGTAACGACACAGAAAGACACGATAAATTACGAACAGCTCAAAGCAAAAAAAAACTCTAATAGGAAAAGAAAACAAATCAAAACATACACATCTACATGCAAGTGACGATAACCCAGTAAAATCGAGAACATTTCGAAGAAAGAGGTCGTTGGAACCCAGAAATATTTCTAGTGAATCATTGTAGTAAAGCATACATTGAAAGCTGTTGTGAATATAGAACAAAACTGAGACTAACAAATTTTTTCCATAATTGGCCCAGAGAGCTCCGAAATGAAAACAATTAATAGATTGTTGAGATTAGTGCGATAAAATGCAAAATGGAAAAGTTGATGTACAAAAAAAAGACTAATGACTGTTTGGAATGTTGTGGAGTGATCCAAAAGGTTGCTTCCTAAAAATAAATTTTTAAATATGGTGGCTATTTTATGATGAAATCTTGCACTTACTGAGGTTTTTTCACCACTTGGAAGGGTGAAGAGTTTCTATGATTCAAAGGATCGATGTTCACTTTGTTTGACACTCCAAGAATGTTCGTAACAGTGTGTTTTACACTTGACAGCTTCCCTGGTACCTCATTCTGTTCCTGTAAATTTGGCGGTAGCGTCAATAAAAAAAAATTATGAAAAATAATTATAAATTTCAAAGATAGAAGTCGATAACCACGTACCACAGGAACTTTCCTTACAGGACGTGGAATCAAAGGACAACTGCTACGAGCCATTTCTGGAGGAATCCGCATAAAATTAGGCATTGGTACAGGTGTCCAGACCGGCTGAAATAAAATTTTTGAAGATCCTTTAACGCTGAATTAAAAATAATTCCTCGGTTCCCTCAGTGGCTGTCTCAAAGAATATTTCGAGGTTCCCTTTGATTCAATCGTCTTGGCGGCTGGGAGGGGGGGGGGGGGCTTCGTGACCTAATCCAGGCTAGGTAGTGATCAGAGAGCACGCGCGCGGAAGAGACGCAGATTGCGTCGTGGTCGCGACCGGTCTTAATTAGGCCACAAAGACCCGCCTTCCAGCCGCCAAGCCAGTTGAATCAAAAGTTAGTAATGCAGATTCCACAGAAAACCTATGCTTTGAAAAATCCCAAAACCTCAAAACTCCGAGAGCTCAGAACGTTTCCACTAAGAACTGATTAATCGCAGATGGAGACAAACATATGAAGTCAATTACCGTAGTTGGTAGAGTCATTTGCTGAAGTCCTCTCATTGGCATCGTTGGCATTTGATAGTTGTTTCCAAATTTCATGGCGTATTTGTTAGCATTTGCTAATGGCGAATCCATGGGAGATGTGGAGAAGTTGCCATATGAACGCTAAAATTGTGGAATTACGCAAAGCGTACATAGATAGCATAGGTGAATCTTACTTTCTATGAATCAGATATTGTCTTATAAAACACAAGAATGGGAAGGAAGGAACCTATTTGCAAAATAGGCTTTGAAAATACGCAAAAATAGCAAAATACGGAAAAAAAGCAACAAAAATAGAAAATATGGCTTTTGATTGTTGACTAGGCGGATTTCTTATCAATTTGTAAGCTTTTACAGTGAATATTCTAAAAACGATGTTGATAGAGGATGAATCATTCTTGTGAGTCAAAATAAGCAAAGATCAACGTCAGTATAGACAGTAGCGAGAGATTGTGGGAAATGAGGAGAGTGCACGTGTACCGACAAGTGGGCGTGGCTGACCCAGTACCGTATTCTTTAAACGTATTCTTTCGCTTTCGATTGTAAAGTGTATTGAAAAAATTACGAATCAGAAGCGGGGAGGGGAAGCGACTCACTGATACCAAGCAAAACCTACTGTTACCTATACCGACTTTACTTAAACTCTATTTGTTGAGTACGCATAATTATAGAAAAATTACTAACTTGAGCCTGTGGTCTAGGTAAAGCGTATCCACGATTCGATTCCGCTCCACTGTAGGAGGTCTTCGCCATTGATGAAGCATTCATTTCGGCACTCTGCCTATTTCCCAAACGAAATTCTGTCTCTTGACGAAGGCGCTCAGCTGCCAGCTCAGCGAACATCATCAGTGACGAAGATGCTTGCGCTACAAAGTCCTCTGACCTAGAAAACAACACTGTGAACTTGTGCAATTGCAGAAGCGCGTGATTTTCCACAATAAGAATCATACGCACTTCAACCGAGGAAGTTTCTGTGAAACCGACGAACGGATATTGGCTTCAGAGCTGCTTCGTTTCCCCAATGATGTGGACTGATGCGTTGATGCAGTCATCTAGAGAAAAAAATTTCGAAATTAATTATTTCAGTCACCTATGTAAAAAAAATCGCAAGCACCTTCATCAGTGGGGTGGATGGCGTAGAACAAGTAGTCGCTGACAATCGCTCGATACAAGCGTTGACGTCAAACTTGGAATTTTCTAAAAATTCAAATTCTGAGAGATAAATAGTCACAGTGAATAAAAAATTACCATCTGGCTCCGGGCCACAGTAGACAAATAGTGGGATTTTCTTCGTTCCAAAAAGATAATGAACTTTCTTAATCAATCCCAAGGCGACTAGAACATTGGCTATGTCGTAAAGTCTACGACATCGACCTGAAATGGGAAAAAATATAAAAAATCAGAAAAAAAAACAACCGATATTCTTTTACAACATCACAAAAGAAGTGTATCTTATATTTAATCTTGTCATGTAATTATTTCTTCATGGAAAGTCTCACTTTATGATAGGAAGTAGAATAAAAGTATAAAATTTGTTGTATTAAAGCACGACAAAATAAATAAATAAAAATTGAAATATACAGCGACCATAAGATAGCAGGGCGGCATTCAAATAACATTCAAGAAAGAGACCGAATTATTTTCAAGAAAGAGACCGAATTATTATGTTCAAACCAATATAAAAATGATCTCAAAAAAGAGGAGCTTACTTCGACTGGGAGGCTCAAAACCTTCTGTATCAGGATCTTTGATTAAGACTGTACTGGCCACATCCAGGCTCACTCTTCTGGTGTTTTTCTAGAAATATCATACTGAGGCAATTGTAGAGAAGAAAAAATTAGAAAACTTACGGGATTGCTCAAGAGCACCATTAAGAATCGCCTGCATAATTGTGCTAATGAGTTTCTTCCCTGTCGATCTCTGCCATCAACTCGAGATCGTTTCTGAATTTTTTATGAGGTCAAGAACTACCCAGTATAAAGACAATATAAAGACTCACCTCACTACCGTGAACAGACTGGCATAGGTTATCAGTTGGACTTTGAGACAAGGATCCTTCATCACCGATCAGTGTACCTAGAATGATTTGATACTTTCAGTTATTAACTTATTTAAAACTGACAAATTGCCAAGAGACTGGCAAAAAATTGTTTCAAGGGAAATGTGTGAGTCGGCCGAGTTTTCTCGACAGTAACCGTGAAAGGCATAAGACGGATGTGCGAATAATGCGGTAATAAAAAGATGCCGAAGTTGATAAGCGCGTGAGATAAGTGACCTTCCCATGGAGGAGAGGCGGCGAAAGTCAAAGCATTATGTTTGACAATTTTAAGGAACGATAGGTTTGAATTTCGATATTTTTTGCTTGGAAACTTTACAGAAGATGTTTACTATAATAGTCATTTTACACATGTTTTTCTCTGAGATTTGTAATCTCGTTTTTTGTGATGTTTCGCTTCATTTTCTCTTCACCATTATTGATTTATTATTAGATATAAATTGTTGATTTCTGATAGCACTTTTCAATACAGACTTAATTAAAGAGCAAATTCAGTAGTCTTACAAACAAGATTTCAATAACTTTGATGTTTGCCTCCCATTTCTTTCAAGATTTTTTGTTTGATGATTATCATAAATTATGCCAATACAACATATTTACTTTCATCTACAAAAAAGTCATTGCAAGATCATGCCAAAATTTCGATAAAACATGGGGACTTTTAAACAACAAGATAGGAAACGGAAAAATAAAAAATGGATAAAATTATTACGAGCAAACTAATTTCTATCTTTTTTGAATTCATCTAGAATGGCTTACCAACTACGTCCTTCATGCCGGATTTGCGACTTCCAGGTGACAATTCCGTAAAAGAGCACATCGCTTGCTCAACTCGCAATACACGTTCGGGTAGTCGCTCTTCTACTGCTTCCTTCTAAAAATGCGAAATTTGAACATTTCAACAGGCACTTCAAATGAGCTACCTGCAAATCAGCCATGAGTTTCGGCAATCCTTCCAAGCCATGCCAGCAATAGTAAGATTTATTTGTTTTACTCATTGCATCTAATGCTTCCATGACGTTTACGATATCATATATCCGCCGCTTTTCAACACCTCAAAAGCTAGCAATCGAAATAAAGTCAAAATAGAAAAGTTGACCTACTCATTTTCCTTGCTACTGTTTCCAGATGCACTTCGCTCGTCAGACTCGATCGCGTCTCTTCATTCATAGCAACGAGGAATCTGAAAAATATCAATTATTCAAAATTCTCACTGCAAAAAGGTCTGTTGTTTACCTTTGGCACAAAAGTCCAAGACTTTTCTCCTTTCGTGATGTTATCTCGTTGTCCTCATTGTCATCCAAGTCATCATGTGGCTCATGTGCGGAAGACATCGGCATCACGAATACATGCGAAGAGCCGGCTGACTCTAAAAATGCTCGTTGAGGAAGTTAACTCCCACGCAATTTCTTGAGTGCATTTATTTATTTATTTATTTATTATGCATAGGGAGGTCCCTATGAGAAAGAGAAACAAACAACAAAACCAACAACAGTAGAATTAACAAACAACAACATACATCATCGATCATGAGAAGATTGCAATTTGCGTTGTAGAATACATTTAAAGGTAGAAAGTTTCACTACAAATGCCCGATCTCTGATGAGCTTATCCACATCGTGCAAAACACGACATGAAAAGAAATTTCTACGCACAGCATTTGCAGCAGACTCAACAATATTTCGGATGTTTGTGACTCTAAAAGGCCTCAGATAATCTTGCAAAAATAAAAATCGACAAATAAGATAGTTTTTGCGATGCTTCCCCTAGTGAGTAAAAAAATACATCATGATAATGGACGCGAAATCTGCTTATGGTTTACTCATTGAAAGGATATTCAATCCGTGATGACCAGCTGACTCAGAGGGTAGCCAGAGTATGGGAATCCACAGCCGTGTGAAGTTCTTAGACTTACCATAGGTTACTGTAATAAATCAAGCAAATGCATTGCACGACTCCAATTTTCCGATAGCCGAAAGGAGCGAAACAAAAAAAAAGAACATTTGAAGAGCATTTTTAACCACAAAGCAAAACTGCGAAGGCCGGTGCAGTTTTTGCTAATTTTATTTTTATGGAGTGCTAGTCATTAAAGTTCGATTTCTGAATAGCGTATTTGTCCTTTCTTAGAAGAGTATGTGGCGATAGAAAAATCAAAATTACTTTCTAGATCATGTCAGATGTCAGGTGAGTACATGCATATTACACCCTTGGACTTCTGCCATATACATAAACACCTTTTTGAAAGGCGTCCAGAAGTAATTGTAAATTTAGAGGTTTAGGGCACAAATAAGAACACGTACCTTCTTCATCCATGGTGCTCAGTGGAGTCGACTTTCTCGAGGCTTTAGGCACATTCACAGCTCCTTCAGTTGTCACTTCACCAATTTCTGTTGTGGACTTACTCGGATTTATACCCAAAGCAAACGGGATATTTTCCTTATTGGCCTCTAACAGTGCCGCCCACTGCGACATTCGCTACCCTGAAAGTCAAATTATCGGTTTCTATAATTTTTCAAATTCATAGCAATAACGTTCACAAAGAATCTCGTTTCATTGCTCTAGTGGTTGACTCGCTGTGTATCACGTAAATCACAAAAAGAGGATATAAGGGGTGCATAAGGGGGAAGGGCGAGAGAAGTTGCGTCACAGCAGACGGGTCATCTCGTCCTTTGACGTAAATACTCATTGTAACAGCAGGAGTGAAAGGTCGTGTACCGCAATGGGCACCTGCAAAAGTAGAAGGTCGTCGCTCAAGTTGAGTGCATATTAGGAAGGTAGTTAAGAAATTGCATCCTATATTTCTAACAGCTTTTATTCTGCTCTTACATTGGGTCAAAAGGAGCAGGATGGATATCAAAAACGATTGCTAAAAAATTGAAAGCGAGAAGTAGACGGCTTATTTCGTCTCTCAAAATCTTGTCATGATGTCCTATTTAGCGCTTGAGCAGTTCTAGCTTTGATTGGCGAACGCGTTATATTAGGTCGTAAAATAGATTTTGTGATTTCGGTTTTCCCTAAAAACTCGAAACTTTGGCAAAAGTCCATTTGGACCACGTATGAGCAATGGTCAAAAATTATTTATTGAAATTATTTTCATTTTCATAGATGTTAGTGTAAGTATAAATGCAATGACATGACGGCACTTCATTCTTTATTCTTCTCTTTTTTCTTCAAAGATTCTCGCATTCTTATTTTTTATGCTCTCAAATTTTTCATGGATTTCTAGAAATATCGGTACTAACATTGAGGAAGTTTGGAAGTCTAGGCTCTCCAAGAGCGCAAGTTGGAAATCTGCCAAAAATTCGAAAAATTTTAAAAATCATTTAAAAGATTAAAGATTATTAAATGATTCGAAAATTTCCAGAAAACTCAGAAATTGGATTTTGTATGTGCCATGTGTATATTGAAGAGCTACAACCCTACATTCAATCTGAAAATGAGGAAAAATTTCCTAAATTCTGGTTTTTCCTTCATGTTTAACAAAGGTTATGACGTATTATAATATCGGAAATGATCATGTGTTTGAAAAAAAGTTGTAAGAAATGATGGGATAAAAAGCATTTTCCGATCATTTCTCAGAAGTAGCTCAAGTTTTCTAGTAAAGTAAGAACATGATTTACCAGCACCCCACAGTCTCTCAAGTAGAAAATATCTGTATTTTTTTAATTATGAAAGAATTGTTTCTGCTCTTAGAATCCGGAAAATGGTTTTGGTTTGCTCATACAAGTTGTTATAGCCTTATCCTATATCAATAATCCATGTTTTGAGAATGGCTTTGGTTTTGGTTTGCTCATAATAGCCTTATATAGCCTAATAGTCGTAAATATAGCCTTATTATTTATTAGTGTTACGATAGTACAGTTCTAGAATATACTAGCATTAGCAGTGCCTTACATTCTGTTTACTCCATTAAATTTTATTTATTATATTTTATTCATTCTATATCTCATTTATTTCTTCTGAAATATCGTAAATTACGTCGATTCAAAAGATGAAATTACACTGCCATTTTTCGAAGAGTAACGTGGACAGTAATTGAGAGAAGCAGGAGTAACTGCACAAGTTACATCTACTACGTGAACATAAAGAAGTCCAAATAAGCATTAAGGCTGACTGGAAGAACTGAACAGTGAAAGATGTGCAAGTTTATGCCAATCCTTCCTGTGTATCATCTATACAACACCTTCGTTTATTTGCGCTTGCTCTGCGAACGTCCCAGGGAGGGTCATCATCGTACTTATGCGCTTAAGATAACGACATATGTCACTTGCAATCCCAGATAAGGACCGTGTATTTACCTCATCTTGCCGAAATGAGAGAAAATACCGCGTTTTGCAGGATTCAAAAGGAAGCATCTATGCCGCTAAGAAAACGGAACCTTTCCGACAAGCAAGGACGCATTTTGAATCTTGGCGACGGGGTTTGAAAGAGCTACCGCATTTTCTTACACCTCGACCTTAAAAATGATGTTATGTGCCTCTACGTGATAAATCAAAATGATCACTGTTTGTGTAAACCGAAAGATTCAGAACGATAATTCACAATTGTGAGAAGATTTAGAAGGCCGCACCGTAGAATTTGGCACCATAAAATTATCACAACTCATTGAAATTTTTGGATATGGCTTAAACTTTGGCAGAATCAAGAGTTTGGTGATTCAAAGAGATTTTACAATTTTTACTAGCACAAAAATTGCATGTCACTGCATGCTAAGCTGATCGGGTTGTTTCTTTTTGTCTTTCGATAAGCGTGAACAGCTAAATGTGTGTTATCATTTGAAATTTGGCACATGCTACGGTCAAAACACATGCAGGAGTCAGAAAAATTATTGAATCGAGCTTTGTGACCCATATTGGTATTGTAACTTTCTAAAAAAACCAGCTAGAGGTTGCACGCATGTATTCTAAGAATCATTCACTTCGAAATGGACAGCGAGCAATCTAGACGCAGTTTGAATTTTGAAAAAAATTCAATAATAATAACTCTAGCAAAGTCGTGACTCACTAACAAAATCAGCAATATAGTAGCTAGTTTCCTAGCAATATCAAACATTTCCGAAATGAAAAAAAAATTCTGCTGAAAAGTGAGAAGCGGTAAGACGGAGTACTCTACACATTACAGTTGTACGTTATGTTTGGTTTTTTTATGGAGCGGGGAAATAAACGATTCAAAAATCTAGGTGGAAATGCAATCAAGAAGGCGATTATTCACTGAAGATATTAGCCAAACGAAAACAGTATTAATAAATTACAGAAACTCTATCATGCTAGTGCTCTTCATAGCATAAAACTAGTTTCAATAAGAAAAATATAGATAAAAGTATGAAATCCTATTAGGCCAGCGTTTTTTTCGTCATAAAAATGACTAAAATTCTGAAATTTCATAAGGCTTGTGCTCTTCCTATAAGAATGGCTCATTGAAAAAATGAATAGATTTTAAGGTTTTAATACGTTAGCTTACCTTATAGCACAAATGTTGGTTATGACTTTCAAAAGTGTATTGTTGGTAAATTCGCGAAATTTTGTAAAAAAATGAAGGGTTCCAAGAAAGATTTTAGTGGCCAAACGCGAAAAGATCAGAGTGAGAGAATAATGAAGAAAAAGTAACAGTAAGAGAAGACAGACTGGTACAGATTACCACAACCGGTCAAATATACCCAGAAGATACGGAAGTCCATCCTCAACGCAAGGTGGGAGAACCGGGTAAGAGCCATTGGGGTTAATTTGCACGTTTGGATGCCTGCAGCAGGTCAGGCGAGCGTTGATTTGTCGAGCGTTTGCCGGCGGGGCGGGGCCACGCGAGGGGACGCTCAATTTTCGCGCGCATCGTAATGCGCGCGCGCGTTCAACGCCGCCACCGCTTAAGAGTGGTTGGTGCGTTTTGAATTCGGTATTTGATCTTCTTGAATTGTGATTGGTCAGGAATACGGTAAGTGGGATGGGTCATATTGTATGCCTACGTGACAATTGCAACTTTGAGTATCCCAGCAGCGGCAATATGACTTGCATTGCATTTTTTTGCTGTGTCAAGCTAGAACGAGCTGCGTTGCGCCCATTTTTGGCATCTGCTGATTCTACACCCCCCCCCCCCTCCTACCTAAGCCTTCGCTAGCGCTGGACAAGATGGGCATTAGCGGATCAATAATGGATGCTCTGCCATGCATCCTTCCAGATAAACATTGAGTAAACAAAAATCAATCGAAAGCAATCGATACGCAGCGCATACACGGCAGTATAGTGTGGGCCTAATGGGCTACTGATTACAGGACATCTGCATGCGTTGGGAGGTGGAAAGCGGGGAAGGGGCAGCTTCCTTTCCGTTGATAGCTGTAGAATCATAGGCTTGTAGGATACCGAAAACACAAGTGAAAAGGTTAAAATGTGGTTTGTGAAAAAGAATATTGGGAATACACCTGCTTGTGTAATGAATGAAGAAGAATGTGTGAATAGGCCACCAAGAACTGAGCATTGCAAATTTGATTTAAAGCACTATGCTACGCTATCAAATCACTTAAGAGAAGAAACTTGAAAAATCGTAAAATTTGGTATCTGATTTGCAGTTATAGGACCCAATAACGAGCGTGACGAGGCATTCTAGATTTAGTGCCCAGATTGGAACCTACATACCTTGGACCCTGCTACGCATTCCAATTCCAAGTTTCTCAGAAAAATTAAAAAGAAAACTATTTATTCACATACTAGCTGAAGATTATATCAAAAAGAAAACATTTTCAAACTGCGCGCCAAATGATTTTCATCAGATACTTGAGTAATCTGTGATGAGATGTGAGAGAGAAGAAAGTACAAAATGGGTTTTAAAAATCAAAAAAGATGTTTTCAAAATATTTCTGACAGTGTGAAGACAAGTTTGTAATCGTACTTGGTTCAGTTTCGATAAGATAAAGCGACAGAATCAAATTGCAGGCTAGGTGATTGAAGGAAGAAGAGATAGAGTTGTATTGCTATGAACTTTTCTGTAGAAAATAAAAATAATTCTAAATCAGTGAAAGTAAAAGTAAAAACAGACATTTAGATTGAAGCACTAGCAGCATTTTATGGCTTAAAAATTAGGGCTCGGCCCCACTTCCGTGGATTTTACAAGGTCCCTTTTGACCCTAGACCCTAAACGTAAAAAAACCTTGAAACAACGAAAAGTTGACTAAAAACCTCAAAATTTTTGTGTCTTTTCGGCCTCAAAAACGATACCCTTTGGCTTTTTGTCCCAAAAACGATATACAGCTTGCTTGCAAGCCACCTACGCCGAGCCTGTTAAAATTCTCTATGAGATCCTAAATTTATTGGAGAAAGCTAAGAAAGCATAGGAGGGTATTACACAGCTTCAAAGTCTCTTTACAACCCAAGCATAAAAATTTTCAAAGAAACTGTTTTCAAAATCGATGAGAGGCGAGAGTAGTGCGGTAACTCAAACTGCAGTACAGTTGTACTCTTTGACACTTTGTAGCGCCAAAATTCCAAAAAAAGTCAGCCCGCACTCGTTTTCAAATCTCTCCGTGCGCCAACTATTCAGTTCCCATCGATAAGCGCCGATGACATTCACGGTGCTAACGACGGCGTGACAATGTGCGAATCCATAATGCTCGCTATAGTCACAGCAAGCATTTTTGAATATTTACACGCCTGTTCTGAAAATTTTATGTAACTGTTTGACCAGTTGAGAGCATAGATAGGCAGCTGGCAAAAATAGTATTCATGTTGTTTTGATTTAATTTTTTTTAATTCTACTGATAGGTGTACTAAAGAAAAAAAGAAAAGTAAACTCAAAAAGCGTCGAAAACATGATATCAGCTTGTCTAAGGCTTCAAAGAGCTGAAACAAACGTATAGGCAACACCCACAATCTAAGGGGTCCACTAGGAATAAAAAAAACAATAGGAACCCAAATATGCAATCCATGCGTCTTTGGATCTGTGCCCAAGAATTCTTCTCAATTGCCTCACAGTGGTGGGGTCACAATTCCATTAGGAGGGGGGTGGGGGCAACAAAAATTTCCTTCCAATAGAGATGCGCGGTTTCTGGAATTCTAATTAATTTTTGAGCCCATAACTCCGGAATTGCAGAAAAAGGGGGCGTGGCCGCAGCCATGATGATTTTTATGATTCAAAGATGATTTTTTACAAAGTTGCTTTGAACTTTTTAAAATACTTTACAAGCGATTTTACTTATTTACAAATATAAACAAGTCACCTGCACATTTTTGATTCATGGTAACATTCGAAAAATTTGCGACCCTCGCAAGGGGAAGTCCTTTCCGCCCCTCCTTCTTTTGAAACACCATTGCAATTACAGCATCGAACATTTTTCTCTAACTTCTCCAGTAGTAAATGCTTCTTAGTAAATGCATTTTTTGAATAAAGTGAAGTGAGTTGCAGAGAATTTCTCTTGCCTACGAAATGAGAATGATTTGACACATACGTTAGATGTGATCTCTATTAGTCATAGAGCAGACTTACATAACATACTAAGGAAACAAAAAATTGTTTAACTAACATCCTCGATCGTGAATGGACAGTTATGTACAGACCACTTGTGCTTGTCATTGTAAAACATTCAAGAAGTCGTAACTGGCTAATTTACGACCAGCGTAGCCACCGTGCTTGTGAGCAGCGTTTTGGAGTTTGACCTCGAAGACAGCATCGTATAAAGATAGCAATTCCCCTAAGTAAGTAACAGAAAAGGATATTTTTATCGAAGCACCCCGTTGATTATTTTTGGATGCAACTTGGAACGACAAATTCAAATCTGCCCGAAAGCGTGGCCAGCGTGTTTACTGTATGCTTATTTTTGGCTTTCTATCACCACAATGACATGCACGTTTGACTGTTTCAATAAAGATTCAAAGCTGTTATGTTCTGTTCAAAATACACCAGCTACCGTACTCCTGCTGAATGTTCCTGCGAGTTCAAAAAAGTTGAATTAGCCTCCATAGCAAAGCTGAATCAAAGGAAACAAAAAGTTATGGACATTAGGAGAAAAGCATATATACATTTTCTGTCCAGAACTAGAATTTCGAGCTGGTCTCCAATTAGAAATAGAAGTGATTCCGAAGAAAGTGGTCCTTCTATGTATAGAAAATTCTTTTGAGAGCGAGCGGCATCGCATTGTTTCGAAAAAGCTTTATAACTCATACATTTGAGAGTGACCTAGTGAAAAAGCGTTTTTGATGCAGCACTTCGCAAATCCCCCCCCCCCCCCCTCCCCCTCCCCACCTACCCCGAACTTTTGCCATAACAAAAACCTATGCAATTTTATTAACATAAAGCACGATTCACATGAGGTCACCGGTTCAACAAGATTATTATGCAACGATGTAAAGCACACACATCAATCGAAGTAATCTTCTATATCGATATTTGGATCCAGAAAATCTTCTTCAATTCCTTCCAGATTTATTTTGTTCAGGATTAGATTTTCTATGGTTTCCTAAAAAAAATTAGATGATGAGCGCTATTTGTTACAGTGTTTACTCACACATTAGAACTGTGAGACAGCCAAACAAGCTACATAATCTATAATTGGGTTTTTATCTAAAAAAAATTTTTTTGGCTATTAATTCAACAAAGTTTCATAATTCACGCAGTCCTCTTTCTAAGTTGAAACACCGTAAGGGTCCTTTGAGTAGGGTAAATATGTAAAAATAGTCTGCGTCATACCATAATTATCAGCAAAACAACAAGTGCTTTGATTAGAGAAGGATGAAAATAGTATTGAAATTTGTCACAGCTAGTTTGAAATGCCTCAGATGAACCATTGGACGTAAACGCGGAGAGGATGAGTTTTACAGCATACACAGTCTGCTTTTGTCTCTTACCCTCTCACATGGGAATATATCGACTATCGACTGTATAACTTTTTTCTCTACTGAATAGCTTATACAATTTCTAAAGAGCGTCGACCAACCTCCAAATCAGTTTCACCGACTAGTATAGCACCAACTACCCGATGTTCGAACATTATACATTGGACAAATTGATCATCTCCAACAACCCTTGAAAAAACAAATGTGGACGGGCTCGATCGAAAATATGACAGAACACCTTTCTATTGTATACCACCCCTGCGGTTGTCGTTCGCCTTTGAAGTCACCCAGAAAGACAATCTAAAACATCAAAATGAGATCATTGCAACTTAGGACTTTTCCTTATTATTAGCCTTACCTTATATCCGAAAAAGGTGGTCGTATGAGTGAAAAGCTCGAAACTAAAGTCGACTTCCACAGCTCCATTTGCTAACATTGACCGCGCACAGAAGTCACCCATTTGACGAGCTTGAGTCCATAAACGGATCTAGATGTTGACTTATAAATCAAAATTTGAAAATAAAGGGGACACTGTTGATCTTACTACGGCTGAAAGTATAACAATTAAATATGCCGAGAATTTTTCAAGCAATTTGCTCCAACGGATTTGCTCAGTTCAAACTTATGGCTAACCTGCACATGATCCTTAACTCAGGATATGGGAAACTGGCACTACATACCTGCTTCCAATATGGCGAAGGTTTGCTCAGCACTGGAGTACAAACATCTCCACAAGCGTATACATCTGGTATAGATGTTCTTAGTACATCATCAACAATGATTCCGCCATCAACGGAAGAGATTTCCAGCTGAAAGAACTCCTTATATTGATTCATCTTTTATGTTAGAAGTTCATGTATTAAAGAATCAAATTTTCTTGAAGGAAGGTAAGGAGAAAGTTCCTGAATCCCATTTGTCTAGCACGCATTCCCTGGTGTAATTGAGATCAACCTAATGGTAGATACAGAGAAACAACCGCAGAAAAGTGTGTTCTATTTATATTACCAAAAATTAATGATTTTAAGAATTCAACTTATTGAATTCGGCATAAACCTTCAAAGGCAGAAGGTCGGTAGAATGAGACCCGTGGCAAAACAAGGTCACAGGGTAGGAGCCCCCCATAATGGAACCTATGGGCCAAAGTCCGATCTCTCTCTGCCACTTCTAACCCCAGAAATTTCAAAGCGAAAGCAGCGCTCATCTCCTGTCCTCTCCAAACCCGCCCACCCCATGGACGAGTGAACGCGAAGCCCGTGATGGCGAAGACGCAGAGTCGTTGCGGGACCTCATGCTTATAGCATTGCGGCCGGCGCTCTGACCGCGGAAGTCACTCGTCCATGGGGTGGGCGGGTTCGGAAAGGACAGGAGATGAGCGCTGCCTTTCGCTTTGAAATTTCGGGGGTTAGAAGTGGCAGAGAAAGACCGAACTTTGGCCCATGGGTTCCATTATGGGGACTCCTACCCTATGACCTTGTTTTGTCACGGGTCTCATTCTGCCGATCTACTGCCTTTAATAAATAGTGTAAACTTCTGATAGCCTACACTAAAGCATGGCAAAATTGTGCTCAATGAGGTTTAAATTGCTCTATTTTTTGCATGTTCTTGACTTTATTATGATAAGCCCCAATTACCTCAGGACAATTCTCCTTCCAAATGCTCGTAGATGGAATCACTCCAGTGGCCCATATTGCAAAATCACACAAAACACTTTCGCCGTTTGTTAGACTCAATTTCAAACCATCGTTTTCATCGGTAACGTCGCAAACCTCAGCATGAGGAATTACCTTGACAGATCGGTCCTGAAAAGTAATCGATAAGCATATCGCATTTTATGAACCAAAACTTACAGCATTCTTTTCGAACGATAAGGAAGATATCCAGTCCGGGCCAAGAGCCGAACCAGCTACACTGTGGGCAACAGCATCACCGGCACTTTTATTGTCCAGGGAGTACCTCAATCGACGCAGTATACCAGCGTTCTTCGCCCCTAAAAATTTTTGATTTCATCTGTCAAAAACGTATTCAGGCAATCTAAATAGTGGAAATTCTTTGTGGAAATTTTTATGGTTTTAGCTAAGCCGTTACCCAAAGAGCGGGTCATATGACCCATTCATGGCCGGGAGATTCAGCCATAAACACATGCCCAATACCGTACTCGAAACGCTGACTGCCGCAAAAAGAGTACGGTAGTGGGCGAGGGTTTACAGCTGAATTTCTCGGCGACGAATAAATCATATGAACCGACTTTTGGGCAACAACTTAGTTAGTTAGTTGGAGCATGATTAGTTCCTACATAAAAACCCCAGGATCCAAGTTTGCCTCCAAGGTCTGCCCAATCAACACACCCGCAAGACGGCCTTCAGCCATTCTTTTTCTGAAAAATTCCGAAAATTTTGGGGTGAAGAACACAGAAGATATGGTATTATCGCGAATGATCCATGTAATCGCGACTCCCACCATTTCAAATCTGAAAAAAAATATGGAATTTTTGCTTACTTTTTCTACCACTTACACAACTTCAGTGGCGATTCCACCATTTCCTACTACAGCAACATGCTTTGCACCTTTTAGGCGTTTTTGGAGTTGCTCTGCAGATTCGGTATCTCGGATAGTTACTACCTAAATATCAGCTTCTATCGTTTGAATTAGGCCCAGAATAGAGCATGCTGGTAGAAGAACCAACTTTTTTATTAGAGAACGGCGAAATTGCATTAGCTCCTGTAGCAATGCATAACCGATCGTACTTCAGAGGTTCCTTTTGGTTGTCCAAGTATAGTTCCTAGAAACAACATAAAAAATTTTTGGAGTAAAAAGAAATGCTTACCTTCTTCTCATGACTCCAACCGACTACTTCAGCTTGTATATGGCTGAGGCGAGGGTCATCTGAAACGGTTTCATCTTCACTCACATCAAACTGTTCGGTGTATTGTCCAACCTAAAATCAAAATTGCTCACCTTAGCACTACCTTACTTTCATTCAACTGGCTTGGCGGCTGGAAGGTGGGGCTTTGTGACCTGATTGAGGCTAGGCAATGATCATAGAGTGGGAGAGACACAGACTGCGTCGCGGGCGCGACCGGCTTTAGGTCACAAAGCCCCTCCTTTCAGCCGCCAACCCTGAATCAAATCATAGCTTCTTCTCAAAGCTCCTTGATATAAGATGGCTCAAAAAAATGTCTAGCTTCCCGATTTCTACACAGTTTCAGCTGAACTGTCTTGCTCTGTATCGTTTATTTACAGCTATGGCTTACGAAGTGCCATAAGAAGCAATTTTTGTCAAAACCCCTCGGAGAGATGGCAGATCAACAGAACGTTCCCCCTTTTTAACATACTTGAGAGACATTAGAATATTCTTTGAAAATTTCTACAGATTAATTCTGAAACTTTGGGTGGGAATGTGAGCATGTAAAAATTGGCAAGCTTTTCAAATAACGCCACGCCCTTTCGACCGAAGAAAAACTCCGCCCCCCCCCCCCCCAAAATGGTTATCGCACCGTCACTGACAGTAAATGAAAGTTTTGCTGACAAATGATGTCGAGGTGAACATCGCCATAAAATCCTCTATTCTTGCTATAAATTTTTTATGAGCAGGTCAACACTCACTTTGGTCCAATTATGCACGGTTTTCACCCGTTTACCAGCAGATACTAGAACAATATTGTCGTCAGTATCATCGAGCGAGACCAAAAGCCTCCTGACACAACTAACACCGGCGATTCCACCACCAACAATAACATATATCATGAACTGTAATAAACAATCTTCGGTTAGAAGGAAAAAGTCAGTATTTAAAGATCCTGCGCGCACCTGAATCTAATGTTTGATAAGATCTGAGGTTTATTTATAGAAAATCCGCTCGACTTCAGAACGTCAGTGCGTCCTAAATGAGTACACTGTAAATGGATTTTTGGATGTTTAGCGACACATAGGTGTAGTCAAAATGTGTGGACAAAGTCGCAAACAAAATTATTTTAAGAAAGAGAGAAAAAAGGAAGAAAGGTCAGGATGCATTGTGGAAGTGACCGTATTTCTAGAAGCTTTTTACATTGTTAGTCAATTTTAACATGAAAGCTTTTAGTAGTACTCTGAAAAATCCACTATGCAGTTGCTAATGCTTTTATTTTTTTTCTGGCAATGTATTAGAACATTTCTGCACTGAAAAAGGGCTAGAGTTCACCACATTACTCTGCGTCTGACCAGATAAAACAAGACTGAAACTAGAATTGTTTTTTTTGTATAATCGAAACCTCGTGAGTGCACACAAGGTATGCGGGAACTGGAGTGAACGTCCAAGCAAAATATTATGGGGCGACGCTACAGAATCCTGATATAAACATTTCAGAGTTGTGCATGCACTTCAATTGTGCAAATGGTTCCGATAAACTTGGTGAGCTGACTTGGAAGCAAAAAAGGACACAATTTTTGATTTTCCAATACCTAAGTGTAAGTTGCTTTATCTTTATGGCGTTACTGCGCTGCAGGTCGCGAGTTCGATTCCAACTGAGCCCAATTTCTGCGGCAAAAACTCTGCTCAAAGTTCCGCAGCGGCATCTGCCTTTAAAAAAGGCATGCAACAAACCGGCAGAAAAATCCATCGCATCCGTTACTTCAGACATGTCTCATATAGTATTCAAGTATCCTTCGATGCAACTGGATTGGCGTCTGAAAGGCGGGGCTTTGTGACCTAATTAAGGCCGCTCCCGCCCGCAACGCAGTCAGCGTCTCTCTCGCGCTCGTGCTCTCTGATCACTCTCTAACCTTAACTAGGTAACGAAGCACCGCCTTCCAGCTGCCAAACCAGTTGAATCAAAGGGTAAAGGCTAGGGCACTTCCAAAGCAACGCGCACTCGACCTCAGCGAGAACAGTGGGAGAGGGTTACCGTCCTAAGGTGAGACGGCTAAAGTGACTAATACACCAGATGCAACGATCTCACATTTCGCAGACTCTCCGTGTAGCTACATCAATGTGGGTACTTCTTCACCTCCTGCACCCGAAAGTCGGCTGACCTTCTGAAGAGATGGCGAGTCAATGTCGCCTGCATACAGGAAGCAACATGGAGCGGGGCAAAGTAACGAAATATTGGAAATGAATATATGCTCCCCTACAATGGTAATGACGCTACAGAAATGAAGTTGGTATAGCTATCTTGGAAACTCTAGGATAAGGATAATTGACGTTGAGCGCTAAGGATCGCCAAGCGAGCAGATGGAAAGATATTAAAGGCGTCCACTCCAAAATGGAGGTTGGCGAGATTATGATGGCATACTAGTGTGGGCCCCCACATTAGGCAAACCCCTAAGTTTCGCCGCAAAAGACTGCTTCTGGAGCGAGAAATCCGCTCCAGAAGTAGCAAAATAGGCGGGGCGACCATGGTCGCCCCGCCCACTTGCATGCTTTATCTCACCTGCGCTTGTTGCAGTGGGTTCTCGAAATAGGAATTTTTGGGTGTTTCGCGAATTTTCGACTCCATATTCGGAATCAGGGCTTTCAGAAGGCCTGAAGGCGACAAAAACATTGGATTCGAGATTTTATGTGGAGGCGCCTTTAACGTCCTACGCATTACCGCTTATGCACCACATGCCGGATGTAAAAATGACGAAAAGGCGCATTTTGGCAGAAACTTAAAGGCAGTGGATCGGCAAAAAGACCCCTCTCGGAGTGGTGTTATGTTGGGTACTAGACCCCGCGTACATTGTAGCCTCAACCTCACCTGCCCATTCATGCGCTGAGTCCTGAAAATGCGCTTCAAAACTCCATCAATGGCGCCCACTCAATCTAAGTGGGCGTAATTGTTGCAGTTTTGCAGCGCATTTTCAGGACTTACCGTACTATGAATTGGGAGGTGGGGTTTAGGCTACAATGTAGCTGGAGGTCTACTACCTAACATCACCGTTATCCGACAGGAGTCCATTCTGCCGACCACTGACTTTTATGACAACGATGGTTCACTTCCACTGGATGAAACTCTCTGCTAGGAGCGGACCTTGATGGACATGCGTGGAAAGTGCGAAATGGGGTTGGGAACTGTAACACACGAGCCACGGATAGGGATCATGCAGTGAAGAAGGCGAGCGCATCTTGGAAGTCGACTCACCGGTCTTGGCGAACATATTTTACGTATAAAATTGTCCACCTCATTATATAGCTAGCAACACCGACGAACGCAGAAAGATGGGCTTTTCGACGGTATGAAGCGAAAAGCGTAGCTGCGTACCTTAACATAGAACGCTGCTTTTCACTGCAGCAAGACTGAGGGTTATCTTGGACTTGAAGGATTGAGTCCACGAAGTAGCACGCATGATTCTGAGAAGTGCAAAACCGGGGAGAAGAAGGATGATTGAGAAACGCGTGAAGCGGGTGAGGAAAAGAGAAGAAGAGTAGAGTCCGCACGGATATGAAGCACTTCTTCCATGTCAGAAACTTGGTAAACGCTAAGAAAATCGGAAGACATCATCAAAGATGGAATAGGTACCTCAAAGAGATGGTCACCGAAAGCAGCAACGTCAACTCCACCGCAAAATGGTTCCGTAGAAAGACTGGTACCAGACAAAATAACAAACCAACTGGTTAAGACGACACACCAGGCGAGTTCTGGAAAATATGTGGACAATCGGAGCCGGAGCCTCATGGCTATCGAGTCTCATCAACTATATCATATAGAGTAAGAGTCTGCCTCGAAACTGGTACAAGAGCACAACGACCCCGATATGGAAGAACAAGGAGACATCGCAGACTGCGCATCCCTAGCGGCCAATCTGACTGATGAGCCACGTTCTATTTTCGAGCAAGTGATTGAAGCGCGACTTCGAAATAACTAGCGTTTTCACTTAATCAGCGAGGATCTATAGAAGGAGTAGGTACAAATGAAGCCATTCACTCGTCTCTGAAAACACTGCACGCAGCCTCTCTAGATCTGGAAAAGGCCTTCGATAAAGTGCCCCATGAAGTCATAGCGGGCTTACGGAGACACATGGTGCCAGGAGAGTAGTTTAGGGGACAAAACTGATCTACCACAACGCTTCAAGTCACGCACAAACAGCTGCAAAGCAATTAGAAAAGTTTGGAATCAAGGTCGGAGAAAACCAAGGTTCAGTTCCCTCCCCGTTGCTCTTCATCAGTGTGATGAATGCCGTGAAGGAACCGCTCAGACGTGGACCTCCTTGAACACTTTTCTAAGGCAGACGATGTGGCCTTGACAACGAGTACCAAAAAGGAGCTGCAAGACTATTTACAAAACTGGAAAAACAGGCTAGAGTTGTATGGCTTGAGGCTCAACACCAGAAAGACAGTACATCGCAATGGGGAAACAAACTCCAGATACTATAAGCAATGATCGTGAAGACTGAAGACAACCTCATAGAAGTAATATCTGCCTACGCAGTCACATCACGCTGAAGAAGGCCTAGAAGAGGAGGTAGCAGGAGGATGAGTATAGCGTGGATGAGATGGAGAGCCTTGTACGAAATCCGTTCGACAGACTGTTACGGCGGACCTTAAGTGTCACACTGAAAGGCCACATCAGCTTGAGAGTATTCAAGACCGAAGGAGGTAGCTCCAAACCAGAATATACAAGCAAGGAGATTTCGAAAAAACAATTGCTTGAAACGGAGGAAAGTCACACCACGAAGTGCACCGCGGCTACTTTTCTATGCACTGTTACATAGTCTCGGACTCAATAAAAATGGGCTGCATCTATGAGAAGGGTGCAAACGATACCTTCACTATAGCAAGCCATAAGAAAGTTGAATTGGTTCAGACATCTGACCATAGCGGGACGTCACTCGTCCTAATTCAGATTGGGAGGCCTTGGGAAATGGTGGTTTTCGCCATTTTCGCGCTCTTCAGAGTGGATTTTCGGAATCAGCGCCTCGAATTACACCAGGTAAGCAAAAAAACTTCAAGTCGAAAATCTGCCAAACCGCTGCCTTTAACCTTCTGCTTAGAAAAGCGTCATGCTGCCATTTTAAATTTAAGTCCTGGAAGTTAAAGATTCGAGTTAAAAATTTCCCTCAGCTTCAATGACAGCCTACTCAGTGACCCGAATCTAAAAAATAAAAGAAATTCTTTGACGAGCTGACACATATGAGAACTAGAAGTTTGTGGTAAGGAGTTCTAAGGATAATATCTAATATCAAACACATTCCTGAAACAATATTACTCCGTTTCGACATTCCGACCTCGATCACGCTGTTTTTGTGAAGCAGCGAAATTCGGCGCTCCGTGTGCAAAATCACTCCTGCGCGCCAAATGTTGTTGTCGTTTTGAGTTCTGGCACTGTGCCAGCCTTCGTTTCGCGAGAATTACTTTGTTGTTTTGTTTACGTTTGCGCATGAATTCATAACCGAAACAGTCTCTAGTTTTCCTTATTCACTTCATTCGGTTCCTAGTCAGTCTTGTCTGTATTTTCTGTCTACTTGACTTACGAATTTGCGATTTATTTCCTATCAAAGTTACTGAAATGAATTGTCTTTGCTTTTTTACAAGCCCCTTATTTTCCCTTTTTTATCCAGCTTTTCATATCAAGCGGGTCTTCTCCACGAAGCTATGAAGATTACAGTTCGTAGTTCTCAAAATAAGGGTACCTAGTGAATCTTTGTCCTTAAAAAATCAAGTTTCAGCAGTCTATCGTATGTACAGGATCTTTTGCCGATATATACATCTCAAACATTCCTGAATCATAATAGCTGCATGAATCTTCCTATCTTATCTCATTACTTTTCTTGACAAGCTGGTTTTTCAAAAACTTTCATACAACCGGGTTTCCCTTCGCAGGAACAGTCATGCAGAAAAACCGCAAAAAACGTCGAAACTGGACCGATCTTAATGACTGTTCGATGTTTTATTCTCTTTTCTCCCCATTTTTAGTTTTTGATCTATGACATCATGCCTGTTAATCATTCCTTTGTAAACCACTTGTATGTTTATTTCGTATTTGGCTTTAAAGCCTTTGCTGTATTTAAGCTCTCAATTTTGTGAATGGGCTGTTGTGCTTCTGGAAAATTTCTTTCGTTACGGACGCCGTCTTATAATAAATTCAAATTATTTTTGAACTATTCGTGATGCTTCCTTCCAGTTCCTATCGTTCTGCTTTCTTCTCCTTCTTATAATATGACGTATACCTCTTATTACGGAACTAAAAGAGCCTACAAATGTTGCTTTATCAAACACTATACCTGTAGAAATTTTTCTTTCATGATGAGTTATTTAAGCACAATGTTGTCGAGTTAGACGTACACAAAGTTTTGTAAGTCTTTTTGGTTCACGGTATTCTCCTCTTCTTCCTATTGACTAGGCATAGAAAAATATCCTAATTTGACGAGTACAAAACGCATTTTTTTGATTTTTCAAGTCAGCCGCTCAGCCGCGTTGTTGTTTTTAAAAAGCGAAACTTATGCCGCCCGGTACCTTGAAGCAATACAGCACGGTATAGGGTTCTTTTGCTGGCGAACTTTTTTGATGTCTCCATGCTGGTCGAGTTTAGGAAAAAAGGTGCGTTTTGTATCTGTGAATTTGGGGGTAGTCAAGAATAATTTTTAAAAAAGCCAAGTTTTACCACAATTTTTCTTATAGTAGCCACTTGGAGGTTGCTGCTATACTATACTGTAGATTATCCAACTTTGTGCAGCACCACCGTCAGCTGGGAATGTGTTTTTGATCAGCATTGGTCTCAATCTTTGTTTACCGTAATCCTTACCGTGTTACTCGAGATCGTTGTTATCCTGAGCATTGATGTCGTTTTCTGCAACTCAAATTCAAAGAACTGTACTGAGCCGCTCAAATCATCAACATTTATAATCATAATGTTGTCAGTGTTGTAGAAATGGATATCTTGCACAAGGACAACCAAGATCAGCCACGCGAGGAGGTTCCTGTCAGTGTTCCCGTTAGCGTTCCTGTCACTGTCACTTCTTTTGAGGTATTGTCCAGTAGATTTTCTGATGGTTTTAACATTTTTAAGATTATCTTGATTGAGTATTATGATTTTTTTCAAAGTTTATTTTGATTTTTTGAATATTATGAACTCAAGAATCTTCAAGCATCGCCTTCTTCTTTTTTTTTCATTTTTTTTTTTGGATTTGAGTCGTAATATTTTTTACTTTGAGACAGAATATTGTCAAAAATTTAGTTGATTCTAAAAATTCACTTTAAATCACCTTCGTTGAAATGGTAAGGATTTTTTTCTGACTTGCCATATCTCTCCGTAGGTGGTTACAGAATACTGGTCTGGTAGAATTTGATTCCGTGAATGCTTGATTGAATCAATTCATTCACATCTTAATAGATTCGTCTTGAATGAAAAAAGAATAATTATTTGTGTCGAAGTTTTATGCCGAAACTGCGGTTAGCCACGGTTACATATCGAATCCGAGAGACGTCAAACGTTCACTGCTCTTTCTGCAACTTCGTGAAGTAGGGGCGAAGTGACGTCTTTCATTGAAAAATGGCAGTCAACGCAAATTCTTTCAAATAAACCGAATTTTTTTTTTCGCATAAAAATAAAAAAATGCTTCAGAAACAAGAGTCTTATGCATCCGATATCGTCATGGTCGAAAAAGTTGGAGATGTTCCTTCAGAAGAAAGCACAGCAACGGTTTGTCTCGTACTCCAATAATCGATCTGCTGAGCATTCCATCATTTAGGAGACACAAATGGAAGCGCAAGAGAAGCCTTCAGAGGTGATGGAAGTGGAGGAAAAGCCAACAGCGACGATGGAAATTGTTGAAACTGTGACCACCGTGACAACTGTAACTAGTGTGACTAATGTGACCTACACAGAGGAAGGAGACCAGGCGAAACAAGTGATTATGATTTTTGTTTTTTGCTTGTCTATTTATGCTGTTTTTTAGGAGGAAGATAGTTCACAGTCAGCGGCCGAAAAAGCAGACGCTGATGAAACAAAAGAAGAGGAGGTTCCCCATGAGAATAGGGAGAAACAACCCGAAAGTAAAGCGGCTGAGACACCCCGTGAGAATAAAGAACAATCTGAAAGCAAAGCTACTGAGGCACCCCATGAGAATAAAGAACAATCTGAAAGCAAAGCTACTGAGGCACCCGCAGATGTTGAAATGAAGGTGTCAATCTAATTTTTTTCATTTTTGGGTCCTGTTAATAAGATTTTGGGTAAGATTCAAGCTAAAAGAAGTCAGTTGTTTAGGAGGTCGATGAACATGAACAAGTCCGGAGGACACCAAGGACACGTGAAAGCAAAGCAAATTCCACAGTGACTTTTGAGTCCCCGAAGGTTTGTGACATGTGTAATTGCCAAGTCTTTTACAAGACGATTTTGCTTCAGTCTAGTCTTTCGTTGGTTAAAGGCACCGTTCACCCAAAATATCGAATTCAATGTTTTTGTCGTCTTCAGACCTTCTGAAAGCCCTGATTCCGAATATGGAGTCGAAATTCCGCGAAACCCCCAAAAATTCCTGTTTCGAGAACCCTCTGCAACAAGCGCAGGCGAGATAAAGCATGCAAGTGGGCGGTGCGACCAGGGTCCCCCGCCTACTTTGCTATTTCCGGAGCGGATTTCTCGCTCCGGAAGCAGTCTTTTGCGGCGAAGCTTGGAGGTTTGTCTAGTATGGCGGCCCACACTAGTATGCCATCATAATCTCGTCAACCTCCATTTTGGGTGGACGGTGCCTTTAATTACGATTCTAAGGCAGCGTCCGCGCAAAAGTGGGGAGCCCGCAATTTTCATACCTTAGTAAGCCACCAACCAAACGTTTTCCCAGCCCAGATTACCGGGCAAGAAACGCTGCGACAAAGGTCTTTCATTGTCCATTCGCGATAGTCAACGAGTCACGAATGCAAATTGACCTGCGCGCGACCAGCGGGCAATTCTAGATTCTTCATACTTCTCCGTACTTTCTAGGGTCCTTTCTTCATTGAATTTCACCACATCTCTTTTCCGAAGAACCCGAATCCGTAAGGATTCAGCGCAACCAAAAAGCACAACAGAGTAAGGATCCTAGATAACCGCTCAACTCGGACGCTGCCATAGATATACTTTTCTTTCGGTGTTTGAGATGTAACTTTGATTCTGCATCAAAGCGAGAACTCGTATGCGAGTCGCTGCCGAGTGCAGCATGCTCTGATGCCGAAAGCAAGATGTCGCTCTGAAGGATTTTTTGGTACGGTATACTAGCTCAGCAATGGACTTATCGATTGACTTCTGCACAAGTCCTGCGCGAGGTCGCACATTTTTGAAACTGAAGACTACTGGTGACTCGATGCTGACCCAGTTTCTTGTATTTCGCCACTTTCCGTAGCGATTGTCTTGCTTCCGATGTTATGGCATGTTTCTGCTTGGCCTCGAAGGGAGCTCTTTTGGAAGACCAGAACTCCAGCTCTTTCATTTCATTCAAGCGATGCCGTTGTTGAACCTGCAGGTTGAAATAGCTGCGTCGCATAGTTATTGCGAAGTAGTGTACTATTGCAGAACTTTCAACCTCACGTTTACTGGAGAAAAGTGTTAGTTGCGCTCTACATCTCGTGCAAGGACCTACACGAGGTCGCTTTAGTATATACAAGCTTCTCGTCCGAGAAGGTGGAGATCCGGCATTGATAAGACACGCTTGCATGATAAGATGGAATTATATATGATTTTTTTTTCTTATAAAGTCTATAAGTAGTTCAGCAATGTTATTCGAATGCTCATTGGGGATCGTCCCTCTCTCGTACAATCCATGGTTTAGAGGAATTATATCAATGTTCACCTCCGTTTACCTCCGGCCGCTTGACCGTTTTTTGATAAGCCTGCGTCTTCGTCGGCGTTATGTTTTTTTTTCTCAGAAACGCTAAAGGACGGTCTTATCATAGTTTCGTAGGCTCGCTATCGTCATGACAATATATCGCAGAGCTTCATAGTACCATAAAATTCTGTGACTACATTAAACATCAAAGCCAACGCTAGGTGAATCATTTATTGATGGCAGGGGAATCGATTTTACGAATGGTTAAGAAGAAGTAAGGAAAAGAAGTCAACGACGGCTGCGCTTAGTTGGGAAGTGGGAGGGGGGATGACATGTTGCACTTAAATTTTTGAACTTTGGTAATCATGCAGAATAAAAACCTGTTCACCGTATTGATGCAAAGAAGGAAAAGGAGGTTTGAATTACCCCCTTCAAGCATGAAGGCTTCCACATTTTGATGACAATGTCAGTTTGCCTGCAGAAGGATGATTAGATGTTGTATAGGAAAAAGGATAGTCATCATCATTAACAAGGAGGTCTAGATTCTAGGATTACGGTATCCTTAGCATACGCGTTCACACAAAATGTGCATTTATGGCGTGGTCCAAGGGGATTTTGAACAGCTTTTGTTGAAAAAATGGGAAATATCTATCTTTTATTCGACTGGAGGACGTACTTATCTTTTCGCAACCCTGGTATCATCTCCACGAGGACTTGCTGCTAGTGATGGCGCGTAAATCAACGCGACTTGCTAAGAAACCGAATTCTGCGAGTGCCGCAAAGAAAGGAAATTCTGCGAGTGTCGCTAAGAAAGGAAAATCTGCGAGTGTCGCAAAGAAAGCAAATTCTGCGAGTGCCTTGAAAAAGGCAAATTCTGCGAATTCAAAACAGGTCAACAAAAATGAAGTGAGATGATTTTCATCTGTTTAAGATTTGGTAGTTTGCATTTCTCTTTTCAAGCCACTGTCACTCAAGTAACTTTATCTTCGAATTCAGACTGTGCCTACAACTGGGAGAAGAGGTCGTAAACGTAAAGTGGTGGAGGAAGCAGAAGCCACACCAAGTACAGCTGCGAAAACTCCAAGGCGCGGTGAGTTTTCGAGGGTCCTTCAGTTCCTTCCTTTTTGTGATGATAGCCAGCTCATATCAAGCTAATTATAAATGTGCCTCTTGCTTAAACAAATTTTATCGTTCTTGTTGAATGCCGGTTGCCCATTGCGGTTTCAAGGATTAGCAAATGAACTATTTCGATCAAGATCGATGTAGGTTGTGAAGCAAGCAGGCTTTTTTGGAATTTATCAAGCATTTTACCATATTGACCATCCTCATAGGCAGCGTCTAGGCAGATCTGGACCTATGGCAATTTTACGTAGATAGTAATTTTTGGGCCCTAACTAAGGCAGTGCCCAAGCCACTGACGACCTGAGCTCCCGGTTGGGCAATGGCTTAGTTACGGCACCAAAATTATTATCCACGTGAGTCCGGACTTGCCTGGATGCTGCATGATGATGCGGACCTATTTAACAATCTCAGTATCTGCTTCGACAGCAAAATCTGCACCTTCAGAAGATTAGACGCTATCTTGTGAATTCAGTAGCGTTTCTCTGGCAGTTACCGCAATTATGTCTTGTGACAGATGCCTATTATCACATTAATGAGACCCTAGGTGACATCTTATGCACTGCAAATTAGCTTACAGAAATAAAAATGGAAGAACTAAGAATTTTTGCCGTGTTGTCAGCGAAGCGAAATTCTACTCACAGGCGAGGGATTTGGTTACATAAATCTTGCTAGTCAATCTAACTTTGTTCAAAAGAAGAGCTGCACATTGAAGAGCGGTCTCCTTACTTCTTCAAAATAAGGGCCTATATTTTATCATTGCTAATATTCAGGTCGCGTCGCGCATGCCAAAGTCAAGCTATCATATACTGATTTTGTGACGCTGGAAGTAGGACAGAGAGTCTTGTCTTGTGGTGAAGGTGAACAGCTCGGTCATCCTGGTCGGACTACGACCAAGAAACCAAGAAAAGTGGATATTGTTGAAGATGAAGAGCTGCAAATAGTTCAGGTATTTCATCTTGATTTTGGTGCCCTTTGATTTTTCTAAAGAAAGTATTTGTTCAGGTTGTCGCTGGTGGCGTACATTCAGCGCTTCTGACTTCCGATGGGGACGTATATATGTGCGGAATAAATGAGCAAGGAACCGTTCCTGCAATAGGTGCGATTATTGCCGGTCGTGTTTTGGCCCCTTAGAAATGCATGACATTTAGGAGTTGAACCAGAGGGAAGTACCGATAAATTTACGAAAGTTGAACTCAGCGAAGAAATCAGATCGCAAGGAAAGGTTAGCCGTAGTTGAACACATTCTCAGTGGGCCGCATGACCCTCAACGGCTGTCATTGTTATTAGTCTTCAAAATTTCTTTTTGTTCAGATAATAATGCTAGCAGCTGGTGCAAGTTTTACCGCAGCCCTCACAGACAAAGGCTCCGTCATTGCATGGGGTAACCTCAGAGTGAGTTCCAAATGTTGAACAGGGCTCGGCACGAGGTGGCTAGATGAAAATGGAAAGAACGAAGTCCCCCTTGACTTTTGAGAATTTTTACGAAGTCCCCTTTGACCTTCAACCAAATTTTCTCTAAAAACCTGAAAAATTCCCCTAAATCCCCCAAAAAACGAAACGTCGACTGAAAAAAAAAAACGTCGGCAAGTCGCCAATTTTGCGGCTCTCTTCGGTCACAAAAACGAAACCCCCTTTGCTTTTTTTCCCAGAAACGATAAGCTTGCTTGTAAGCCACCTGTGCCGAGCCCTGATGTTGAAGAAGGCTTATTCTTGAGTGCTTGCAATTTTCACAGGACACAAGCGGCGAAATAAATGTGCATCCTCTTCTGACCAAAATGAAAGATCATCCCGTCGTGTTGATACATTACAAGAAGAGAGTGATTGTGAAGGTATTACACGGGAAATGTTCCTACAAACCATTTGCACAACTGGTTCTAGATAGCTGCAGGTGAGAATCACCTCGTTATGTTGGAGGAAGACGGAAAGGTGCTAACTTTTGGTGACGGAAAGATGGGACAGCTTGGAAGGAGCAAAAGAACTGGCTCAATCAGGCCACGTATGTTTACCATTCTTTATCTTGGTGCCCTTTTTGGTCAAAGAGCGTGATACAGAGTACATGGTCGATGAGGATGGCAAATCTTTGATATTGATTCTACAAGACAAGAAAAGGAAAGATGTTGTTGTCAAGGTAACTTGTTGCGAATGTCTTTTATTTAGCGTCCAATCTAATGTTATTTAGGATATCCATGCTGGTGGTTACTGGACAATCCTTGTTTCCGACGATCAAGTATACTCTTTTGGTTTGAACAACTTTGATCATCTCGGAGTCCCTGTTGAAGGCGAAGCACCTGCTGATGGTAAATTACGCTATTTGAGGAATGATCGAATTTGATTGTCATCTATACTTTATTTAGCAACATCCGAAGACAAACGCGAACTTCGGATACTCACGCCGGTTGTTGCAACTGCCTACTTGGGTCATCACTGGACGCACATAGATGGCGTACAACATATCATTGCTCGTGACAGCGAAGGTATTCTTGTTTTTTTTTCTTTTCAGCATCTTTTTGATTCACTAAACCATCTTCGTCCTATATAGCATATTTATCCAGTAACTGTACTTGCCACGATTTTCCGTCATTTCTTTCAGGAGAGGTTTATGGCATTGGAAAAAATACAGATAATGCACTAGGCCTTGGAACGTGGACGGGTAATGACGACGTTGAACACTGGAAGTAAGTACTTTTGTTTGAAGAATTTTTGGACTTTCACAAGCCTATTCAAAAATGCGTGCAAGGCTGCAATTAACCCAGTTGTTTCTTGTTGACAGATTGGTGTAGGGGTCTCCCCTAACAATAGCTGCAACTAGAAGTCGTTAACCACTTGGAGCAATATATTCAGAGCTTAGGGAGTGAATTTACTTGTTTATGGTCACTACGCATTAGCCCCTACAATTTGCCCCCATTTTAAGCATCTTCTGGTGATAAATAGACTTGTTTTCGGTCAGTTCGTGATAGTGTACTGTTCTTTTATAAGCGGAGAGCAGCTTCGAGAAAGATTAGGTCCCTTTCCCTAGTTTCTGAAGACGTTCGAGCACACCCTTTGCAATCCTTGATCCAGCAATGGGATCGAAAAGAACCAGCTCATTCAAAGTAATGAGCGAAGGAGGCAACCGCCCTTCACCACCTTCAAAAAAAAGAGCATGATTCCAAAGCATGATGCGCACAGTCTTAGCCCGCCTAGACGAGTGAGTCGACGAACAAGTAAAGCGGGGCAAAACAATATTCAAATCAGCAAAACGAAACGATCTACGTCAATAAAGGAAAAAAAACTATCGCGATCATTCTTCTTATCTTGAACCTTTTTTTTAAATCGAACTTCGTTCGAGAAGAGGTGCATCTGCAACATGTTTTACAGGTATTCTACCTTGGAACATATCAAGTTCCCAAAAGAAGCTGGAAAAATTGCGGGAACGACGGCAAAACTGGGATGTTCTTTAGCGTGGACTGATGACGGGCATGCTTACGCCTGGGGATGCGATACCAGTGGTCAACTCGGTCTAGGTTTGAAGGACGATGATGAAAAGGTTAATAGCGTTTTCACTTGTTATGTGGGCCTGCACTAATTTCTTATATTTAGATCGTCCCAACTCCGCAAAAGATCACGTCAGCTCACTTGGATGGTTTTAAGATCATGTCCGCTTCTATATCAGATAACCATTGTTTATTCCTTGCCAAGAAGTTATAAGATGAGACTTGCCGTAGTAGCGACTACAAAAGCAAGTCAGTTATGCCGTTCCGAAAGTCTCTTACTCAGATCTTCATGAACGAACTCATTTCGATGTTGTGGTTTTCGCTTCATCGTTGTTGCAAGTTTCCAATTTGTCAGTGATTGTTATTTTGAATATGTTTTGTCAGATAGGCAGCTGCTTATCATTTGCATTGGAGCATTTTCTGAGTATACATAAGATCTATCCATGCCTTCTAACTCTTCCTTTCATTTGTTGTTTTACCTCATGTCGTGCAATTTCTATATGTGTACGAGCCAGCCAGTGTGCGTACATCCAGCTATGACTAGTGTAGGAGTTGTAACGACTACTTGTTGCGTGTCCTCTTATGGAAACTTTTCCAGGGAGTTTGTCTGCTTCTTACTTGAGCTTTGGTGCGTATAGCCAGCTGCATTTTGAGAGGTGGAAATGTGCGGGCTTATTTCAGTCAGACTTTACGCGCAAAATGTTATCTCCCGGCCATGTGATTTTTTTCGAGAGGACATGCAAATCTGAGGTTCATGTTGTTCCAATACTTTGATAGTTTTTGGCATATAGTGTCGTGGTCACAGTGATAGATTTTCACAGTAGTTTAGACGGAATCTCCTCTGTATATGGAGCTACATCTCGTACAATAATTCAGTCTTGGATTTGCTTTGAAACCTCGTTTCCCTGATAAAACTGTCACAGCAGGGTGTCGTATGCTACATTCATTTGAGAAAAAGTGTTAGGCACCATGAGGCCGTCTAATCTCATGTAGACACCTACAGATTAACTTGTGGCGGCTTAATGAAGTCTGCATCTTAGTAAATGTGATATTTCAAATATTATTGCGATACTTGTCTGCCACACAGTTTTGTCACGTGTTCTTTACCTCCGTCAGGGCCTAGTTTCGAATCCTTTCGTTTTCCTCAGAGGCCTGAAAATGGTTCGAAGCGTCATCTATGAAAATATGCAATCAAGCACCATCTTCAGTCATGCTAGTTCTCGATCTTCACTCAACATTCCTACAGCAAAAATTGTCAGAGACGGAAGAATGAGGAATGAGCTTACTGTTGAGAAAATTGCTTCGTCAGTTTTACTGGGAATAATGGTCTTGGCGTATGGAGTAAACTTTTCATGTGTCAAGATTTCGCGTTCTATATCAAAATTGTGACCACCATGCTCTTCGTTCCTATGCCTGTTTATAGGTCAAAATAAGGGTTCACGCCTTTTACCTGCCAGAGTTCTTTCGGGCCAAGTGTTCCCCCAGTTCTCACAACATAGAGAGCACTGCAGCTAACTCAACGGATAAATCACTCCCACTTTTAACACGTTGACGACCGAGCCATTTTTGACCACCTCAAAATGGACTGATGATCTACGGCTGCGGTTTGGACTGTTTAACAGCTACCGCAATGCCGTGTGTTCTATATAACAACCAGGCCACCAGTGTTATTACTGCATAGAAGTTACCTGGGAAATTTTCGTTTACACATGATAAATTGATGCACGAAAGTACTACAAGGTGGTCAGGGCGTGCATACGCGCGGATACACACGGTCGTCAACGTGTTAAGTAAGCGTTGTCCAGCAAGTGGTTGCTAACAAAACTACAGTAATGCAGATAGAAGGAAGCAGTATAGGAAATGTTAGAGAGGATCGTGGACTTATGAGTGAGGCATGCGTGATACATACGCTGACACTATCAGCCATCTTCGAGAGCTTGGGAATCGCTGTTCCCATAACTCACAAACGATAACATAGAATAACATTCCAAAATAATGAGCGCACGATAACACTCCAGTGCAAAGAGCGCTGCTCTTACATTTGCGCAATCACTTATTTTACCATGCAGATTACGCATATTCTGTTATAAAGTACCGATCGTAAAATCTGTTTCGAACCAACACCTTTTTGTCATTATTGGTATTAAACAAAGCAATACCTTCCTGCCGAAGTACCGCTGTTTGAAACACCGCTTCGGCAACTGTGCCTGTACAATGCATGAAAACCGCAGTGATGACAGTGGAAATAAATAGAAGGCGTAGTGGGAATTTAATGTGACGGATTTGGCTACCTTTGGTAAGGCTGAATGTGCAGCAGACTGTGGTAACCATTGCTGCAAGCAACCTGAGAGGCTGAACCTCATGACTCGTATTGTTTCCTTTCCCTGGAGCACATCTGCATAGCTGTTTTGAGCGTATCCTTGATTACCGCTCGCGTCATCTCAGACAATGGATCGGACCCCTCCGCTGGGGAAATGGCAGGGTCGCGGCGTTTCCCCAGCGGTGGGTCACCCATTCGTCCGGCGGAGCCCTCCCATTTCTCCGGCGGAGACCTCCCATTTCTGCTCCGGATACCCCCCATTTTCTGCTCCGGATACCTCCCATTTTCTGCTCCGGAGCCCCCCGATTTTGTGCGCCGGAGCCCCCCGATCGCGGCATACTGTAATTAGCCCTAATTAAAGGCAGCTTCCAGGCAGATCTGGACCTATGGGGCTTTTACATGGAAAGTACTTTTGGGGCCCTAACTAAGGCACTGCCGAAGCAGCAGCTCAGGTAGTGCTCCAATGGCTGAGATATTCCCCTCGAAACAGACCCCCGCGAACGTACTCGCATGGATTCATGGCAGTTTCGCGCCAGGATCCACTCTTTGCGCCATGAATCCATGCGAAACACGGTCGCGGGGTCCGGTTTCGAGCAGAATATCTCAGGCGTTAGAGCACTACTTGAGCTGCCGGTTGGGTAATGGCTTAGTTAGGGCCCCAAAAGTACTTTCCATGTAAAATACCCATAGGTCCAGACTTGCCTGGACGCTGCCTTTAAGCTCCAAACCCCAATTTTGTCTCTAAACCCCACCCAAATAAGCCGAATAGGACCCCCCCCCGGGTAGGAGTTTACGACCGCGACCCTCACCCCGTACTCTACCCCCTCCCTCTCACCCCTAGCGTTTGTGGATAGAAGATAGAAGAAAGAACGAAGAGATAAGACATTTATTTAGACACATCAAATAACTCCAAACTTAGCTATGGGGAATCGATGAACGGCTATCAAGCAAAATGAGTACCATTTTGGAATCAGCATGATAAATAACCCTCACGATATAAGATTTCAGCACGAGTAGTGATAATTAAAATCAATCAGTTTTACCAATACTTTCTTCAGTCATTTTCCCAACTCCAGAGAGATGGGGAGGAAGTACAAGTTGAAAAAATATTAATTACAGGTTGAGGTAAGTAGTGTATACCGCCTTTACATCAAGTACGCATTTTTGACGACCATTGGATGGATGGGTTGCTGTTTCTTCGAAGATCTGCCTCCAAACATATCAAGTTTATCACCCTAAAACATTCTCTCTTACCAAGCAGGATAATGCTATTGTACTTGTAAAAGCTTCATAAAGCAACAAAGCGATTGCAAAAAATAATGCTAATTCGAAATCAACAACAGATGCATGACACAGGAGCAAGTTACCGCATTCCACAATCGCTATAAAAGACCACGGGAACGCACATGAAATGATAAGTATGATAGAATCGAACTTACCACAATAAGCGAAAGATATTCAGCCACAGCAGATCGTCCTATGTTTGTTAATTTCCTTGCTTTATCATCCCCAATCCAACAATGAACACCACGACGGCCAGAGAATACCCACATACGCGCTTTGAATCCAAAATGCTCTTAAAAACAGCAAATTCATTTAACAAACATGATAAACTGGAACTTACCATCTAATAACCGATCCAGCACCTGAACTGCGAGCGATACAAATCGCCAACATTTCTCACAAACTTTTGCTTCTCTGAAAGTTTAGGAAGAAGATGAAGAGAAACATATACATTTGTAAATGGTCTTGCAAGGAGGAAGAAGAATTAAAACTTACGAGCAGCACTTTCTGACATTATCATAGTCTGTGAGATCGATATCAAACACAAGCTCCCTCTCTACTGCTTTGAAGTCAGAATGTTTTCTATTGTCTTTAGGCTGAAAGAAAATGTGTTAGGTGATTCAATTGTGCAATACCTGAATATTGTTTGACTAGGATAAGGCAATGAGAAATGACATGAATAAAGTCTAACTGCACTGCCACTACTCCAATAAGGAAATCCGGCCTGTCACAATGAAAGAAATGTAACTAACTCTGTGAGTGTAGACTGCTCCTATGTCAAGCTTGTGTGGGTTAACCTTACATAGCTCCGTCTCAAATTCATTCTGATCATTAAAACTGCGGTATCGAAGATGGACATCTCCTTCCAAGATGAAAGCAAATTCACGTCGGGCAAAATAGTCGCTAGATTCTAAAACAAATCAAGTACGAAATTTTTTACATGACCTAAGTAACCATGAGAAAAGTAAAAATCAATGTTAACCTTAAAATGTCAAATTACCCAAAGAAAAAGGTCGTATTCGCTGAAAGCGACAAGACTATGTTCATAAAACTTGAAACTCACTCTGATTGTAGCATAGCCATTTCACGTAAGGCTTAAACGGAAAGATCTTTTTGTAGTACTGCGGTAGAAACTGATTCAGAAGCGAGGTGTCGTAAACAGACATATAGAAAGCTGCAAAAGAATTCGAACGATTGTAAATCAAACAAAAAAAAAACCGATGAAACCAAGACACATATTGTAAAACAAAAGAAATAGCTTTTGACAACTAAGCCATCTGTGAGAGATTGCAATAAACGGATAATTTAGACGATACTTTCATCACAACAACACTAGATAGTTGCGCAACTAACCTTATTGTTTCGAAAATCCAGAATTAATCACAAAAACCACTCCATCAATAGTCTACGATGTCTCAGCAAGTCGGAAAGAGCCAAACACTGAAGGTGATTGAGTGCAACCGCACGAAAATTTCAAACATAAACCTGAAAACGAGGAACTTACAGCAACATAAACGCCAACGCGACGAAGAGCAACGCGGAAAAGGAAAAAACGGTAAAGAAACGCGCAAAAACAACAGAATCAAAGAAACGGCGACTAAAATATGGACAAAGAGCGTAAACAGAGGACTCATCACCGTGGAGTGAGACGTTTGCTTGCTACGCGCCAAATCGATACGCAGCCTGCTCCGGACCCCTCCCATTTTGTGCGCCGGACCCCTCCCATTTTGTGCGCCGGACCCCTCCCATTTTGTGCGCCGGAGGCCTCCCATTTTCTGCTCCGGATACCTCCCATTTCTGCTCCGGAGGCCTCCCATTTCTGCTCCGGACCCCTCCCATTTTCTCCGGCGCGACTCCGCCAGATTTGCCAGGCTCGCGCCGGACAAATTTGTCCGGCGCGAGCCTGGCAAATCTGCCAGGGTCGCGCCGGAGAAATGGCGGACCTTTGCAGCAGGGCCGGAGAAGCCTCCCATTTGCCTGGCAGTGATGTCACGCGAGGGACCGCCCATTTGCCCCGCTCTCATTGGTCAATTGGGTCCGGCGCGAGTCTGGCAGTTTCGGCTTGCCCAGCGGAGGGGTCCGATCCATTGTCTGAGATAGGAGCATCATGCGTTGATTTTACAATTATAGGGATGTTCATTGAGCTTTCTTTGCGGCACCACTTCGAGTTAACAACGCCATCGGATATTTTTACTACTTATGCGTTTATTTCTGAGTGAGCTTTAGTACTGCGACTGCTGGTTGAGCATTTCAAAACACTTTTCCATTTTGAACTGTGTACCATAGACATCTACGCAGCCACTGATTCAGTAACGATGTGACTGCATGCGCATGCAGAACGCGCGTCCTGCGACTTAGCCGTGAATTATGCGCGTTGACCGCAGTGCACCAAGACCCCTTGGTTTTCGGCCTCGCATGGTTCTTGGTCATTTAGAAAGTCGATATTCCTGGTTCGCAGCATAAAACTGAGCACTAGTCGTTTCGTCCTCGTGTGATCAAGTTTTCAAGCGTCGCTTGAAGTCATATTGTTCGATGGTAAATAACATTCTCCCTTTTCAGATGAAGGAAGCGACCCTTCTTCTGTTATTAGCTGCGGGTGAGTTTTTCCTTGATTTATGCTCTTAAGCTTTCTTTATATAGCTTTTTCTGCTTATGAGGCAGTTCTGGAGTTTTTCCTCCAAAAAGTATCTTATTTTCTAAGAAGTATGTGCGACTGTAAGGAACCTCGTTGCCGTTGAGTGGAACAGAATATCAGGAAGCTTCATCAATCTCTAAGCAGAGCTTTACTTGGTCCACGGTCATTAAATTTGTAGCAATATTGGAATAATTTTGTTCCTCTGTGCAAAATAAACAGCTGATTTTGCCAAGACGGCCTTACCATGCCCTTATCACATATTCATACCTTTTTCAGGTAGTTTCGCCTCTGTCATCGAGTTTGTTTCGCTGCCGAACACGATAAGCTTGTCTTCAACGTCGTCAGAGCTGCGCAGTAGTCAGCTGCCACTCCTGAACGAGAATATCCTTGGTCTCACAACAGAGCCAGTACGAGGTTAGTGCATAATATATTCATTAACTGACAAGAAATGGATACTTGGTCGAAGTGGCGTTTCCATACAAAATGTATACTGTCATATAGAGCATGGAACGCTGAGTTCAAACTCTCTTTCGGTATCTGCAAAGCGCTTCTAGTAGGGGAGTTGTGGAAATTTGTTGACGCAAAAATTTGAAAGCGCCGCCGCAATAAAATCATTTAGAAGCTCAATCCTTGAGCTCAAATGGGGCCATGATTACTACCAGTGTGTTTTATGGAATAAATACCTTTAATCTAATAGATTTATGCCAGTCATTACTTCTTTCAAACGCCGTAAAGACCTTAACACCTATTTTTTATCTTAGCCAAATCATTGAATTTTTATCTCAAAAAATTTCCGGAACTCCCCTCACAGAAGCGCTTTGCAGATACCGAAAGCAAATTTGGAACCAGCGTTTAACCCTCTATAAGATAATTTGCATCTCATATGGAAACGCGCCACTTTGACCAAGTATCCTTTCCTTGTGAGAGGCTGCATATAATATGTGTATATCGTTGCTTCTGTCCGCTTGATTATTCCACGGACTTGTCATTTTTGCCAGCATCTAGGAATAAATCCTAGCAGTTTTGATCCCAACGAAACCTTTGCAAAAAATAGCGTTTCCACGCATAGAAATTGAGCATGTAATACAATTTTCTTTTTTTTATCATCAAGATATTAGGAGTTGACTTCCGTTTCTTTCTTTATTTATTCGCTTTCTAGGTTTGCGATACTCGTTTTTAGGGTTGCAAGTAAAATCTGACTTGTTTACTCGTCCACGTGCTGTTGCTATCATTGAAGTAGATGGTATTGACAGGCTCGAAAAAGGAAATAATGACATTTACAAGCTCAAGGAGGTAAGTCTTTTTCTTACATGTATCTTCTCAAACATGTTTATGAGACTATGGTTACGCCAATTTCAAGGGCACTATCGACTGGAATCGACTAGACGAAAAACTGGCCAGTGTCTTTGGCGCTGACAGGGAATTTGCAACACTGAATAGCAAAGGAATCAGTGGTTCCACAATCGCGGAGGAAGCTTCAAAGCAAAAGGCAGGCGCAATTTGTCTTTTATTCACACTGTATTATTTTGCTTAATAAGTGAGTTGAAGGACTCCAATGTCATCAGGACTGATATCGGTGCTCTTCGAGAAGAGCTCCAGAATGTATATCGACTTGCTTCTGCCGTGTCTGCTCGTAAGGCCAAATTCGACGTGGCCAATTCTGCTGATGTTTATCGCATGAAGATCAGTGGTCTTTCTGACGGAAGCGCCAGCAAACAGAAAGAAGCAGTTGAGGATATCAGGAATGCTGTGAATGAGGTAACCGATGCTCTTACGTCTTACTGTACATTAGTCTATACCTTCTTCTCCTGCGAGAAAAATTTTTCTTTACATAGTGTCAAATGTGTATTTCAAGCTTGCCTCCGCCCTCAAGAAAGTTTATGGTGATCAGGTAATTGTTGAAGTTGTTTGTAATCCAGTCATGGTAAAGGACGAAAATCATTCACAACAACATGGTGAAGTGCGCACAAAGAGGGTAATTTATTTGTTGGAATGAGTGATGCAAGCATTTTCTTCTGATTGACTCTTACAGGCTGCGCCTGCTACTACAACAGACACGAACTTGGAAAGATGGCGTAAGGCACTTAACGTCTACAAATTCACATCTACAGACTATCCAGCCATATTTGCTATTTTCGCCGGTTTGACCATTATTTTGGCTTTGGTGAGTCTTTTTATCCACAGCTTTCCCATCTGCCAATATTTCGAACTTGTTCAAGGCTGTTCTGTACACGGTTGTGGGAATGATGAGCATGGATCCTAGTAAAGACTCGATCATATATCGTATGACAACGACACGCATGAAGAAAGCGTAACTTGTTTTGCATATCGAACGCTTGTTACAATCTCCCTTCTTCACTTCTACATTAGAACTCGAATAAATATGCTAGTCTTGGTACTCTAAGTTCTGATTTGAAAAATCTATAATTGTGATGATGTACAGGATAAGACCATGCTCTGCAATCGACTGGTTAAAAAAGTATTGCCGCTGTTTAAATTGTAAGAATCATTGGTTATGCCATGAAATTTGCATATATTTGATTCTAAATGTTACCATTCCACGGGCTACCGCTGAAAAACCAAAAACTAGTGACACAAACGCGGTTACCAGCCGCAGAGCGCTTAAGGCGCGAGGTTATGTAAGCTTCTTACTTATTTCGACCGGTTCATTGGGTTCACCCATTTGCTATTGGTGAAATTGCTGTTGATTGCTAGCGAGGGGATAAACCGGAACCGGTTGAACTTACTAGGTATGGCGCCCGCCTTATAGGCATCGTCCACCCAGATTCTCGACTTCCAGGTTTTTGTTGTTCCAAGGCCTTCTCATGTCCCTGATTCCGAATATGAAGTCGAGCATCCGCGACATCCCCGACGATCCCCGTTTTGGAGAACCCACAGGCCAGCTTTCCGGAACAGTGATTGGATGGGCGCGCACGGATGGGCGGGCATGGATGGGGAGGGCGTTGCCGTCTGGGGGTCCTTGTGCATCTCACCTTCGTTATTCTGGAGCGACTTTCTCGCTTCCGAAGCTACATTTTGCACCGCGACTTGAGCGTTAGCTTGATAGGAGGCACTACTATTATATGCTGTCAAAAGCTCAAGACCCGCAACTTAGGGTGTACTGTACTTTGACGGTGGCTCGCGCCCGCTTAGTTCATACTGCTTTTGTGCCTTAGTTCGGCTTTAGCTTTTATGAATGGTTGGAGAAGTGGGATGATTGAGGAAAGCCGGGTGGAGGACATTAGGTCGCCGAATTTGAAAAAGTCCCGCGCGGATTCCCTGCAGGAACGCATGTCCGCGCATGTACAAGGGTGCGTATTTGTCGCAACTGACCGCGGGGACCGCCCTTTTTCGGCGACCTAATGTCCCCCACCCAGGAAAGCCTATTAAAATCCTGCTTCAGCGAGGCGAAAGTTGAGCTGATGAAAAATAGAACGCAATGGATGCACTTTATAGTGCTTCTGCAGTATGACTTTGGTATTATATATCTCCAGAAGGAATGGGCTGTGTCTGAGCTAATGAAGTGAAAATTTGCAATTTCACCTTAATTTTTTTCGGATTCTTGACAAGTTCTGAGTGTATAACTACTTTAGCAAAAACCAGTTTATGAAGTTATTAGCTATCATTCGTTATTTGGAAGTACTAGGAAACACGGTGTTCAAGAGGTACTTAATATAGCTTATTCTCTGGAGACATGAGCACGCTTTGCGCACGTCTGACCAACAAGTTTGAGAGTGCATTTTGACGCGTTTTGGTAAATTTTTTTGATTCAACTGGATTTGCGGCTGGTGGGCGGGAGCTTCCTGACCTAATTAAGGCTAGAGAATGAACAGAGAGTACTTTCGCGAGATAGACGCAGACTGCGTCGTTGGCGCGAGCGGTCGCCTTCCAGCCGCCAATGTCGTTGAATTAAAGGGTACTTTTAGGATTCGTGAAAGAACATGTTGGATAACGTTAAAAAACGCGAGTTCGCACGTGTTCTTTTGTGAGTTCAACATAGTAATATACCAAAACGCGTTAGGCCCCGGTCAGACTTCACGCGACTTAATCGTCGCGACCAAATCGCCAAGATTTCCATTCATTTTCATTTCACATTCAAAAATTTCGGTCTGGAAAAGTATCACAACCGAATGCAAGTTGATCGGCATGGAATGTAGTTGTAACAGTTGTCTCGTCGCGATTCAGTCGCGACGATCCAATCGCGTGAAGTCTGCCCGGGGCCTTAAAACGCTTTCTTAAACTAGTTAATTAGACGTACTACGCAAAGCGGCTCCTGTCTGCTATCAGAGAATAAATTATACCAGAAGTTGCGCTAGCTTAAAAATTGCCTTGGATATCTGCTAGACAGAGCAGTTTCGATTAGTTCGTAATTGAGATTATTCATATCGATCAGGTTGTTTTACAGTTTCAGTGGAGAGAAATAAAAAGGACTGAAACATGGTATCAATTGAGCGTTCAGAGGTATCTTGATATCTATTACATTGAACAGGCATTGAAACCCGCTCAATCCAGTTCCCAGGGAATAAATTGCACTTTGATAGTTTCTCTTCAGTATCTAATCTTATATACACTCTTGCAACCGCTCGGACCTGCAGAGCTTTTGTGTGCTATGAACCTTTTTTTCCGAAAAAGGCAATTGTACAAGCTGTCGTGACATCAGACTGATTATGCAACAAATCAAGTGCAAATCAATGTTGTTAGAAACTAGTGATTTTGCGACTATGCTTCCCAAAGTGATTTGTTTGCGATTAGATCTTTTTTGGTTCATTTAAACATGATCAATAGTTAGGAGCGCTCATTTACAGGCATTGTTATTTCTATTATGGCAATCACTAGTCATTTAGTCATACTTTTACGATAAAGCTGTGACCCAATCATACTTTTAGAAACTTGTTTGTCAGTGCACAATTTCTTCTAGATGAGCGCGTCAAGAAAAGTTGTTTTTGCACGATCAAGATGCAAATTTTTTGAGGACTCAAATTCTGTTCATTTCGATCTTTCTATATGTGCACAAGATATCCATTGCCTCCCATTGATAAACACTCTGAACTAGGTTATTTACGCAAAGATGCGACGCGTCAGCATCGCGACGACTAGCCTCCGCCTTCGTCTGGGACAAAACCTAAGATTCACTTACAAGGTTTTTCAAGAAAAGAAAATATTTTAAAAATCTCCAAAAAAAGAAAATTGAAAAAATCCTTGTAAAAGTTGTTTACCAGAAGTAGTGTATTCCGCCAATGTTAGCGCGCGACAGAGCTCATCGTAATGCTGATAGCATCTACCTTGTTTGCCACATCTTCTGACTGCTCTCATCACTCACTAAAGTCCATAATTTTGGAAAGTCAAAAAATCGTAAACGCGAATTTTGCGCTATAAATGCGCGGTTCAACTATTTGAATATGTACGGTCCATGTCGATTACGTACACTTCCTTTCGCGCAGGACTTACGCGAAAGGAGCCGACTTACGCGAGGGCCTCGCGGGCGGACCTCCAATCAATGGGGCCAGTTTGAATGCGCAGGCCATAAGGGCGCAAACGTAGCGCGAAAGCCTAAAATTTCGATTGCGCTTACGGAAAAGAGAGCACGTATTTGAACACACTGCACTCCCATAGTAAATTTGATACAGACGAACAATTTATTCAATAAACTGAGCGTGGTGTTGGATGGAGCTACATACCCAAGCATTTTGACTACAGCCCTGAGCCAAAGGTAATGCTCCTTTGGAACATGAGCTAGCGAAAAATTCCTCACGTAATGGAAAGCGGCGATTCAATTCTTGCACGATCGATAACAAATTCTGGTGAAGGCGGAATATATCAGTAGCTTGAAGTTTGCTATTGCCTTTCGAGTTTGCTATCGAAAATCAAGCCAAATTTCGCTCATCTGTTTTCTTTTTCGTTTCTATGCAGTGTTACGGATCCGGTCCTCGGACTTCAACGCTGTGGATTTGCTCAAACTTGGATTGGTGGGGCCACTCGGATGCTGGTCACGAATCCCACCTCATTACGTTTTGAGCCTTTTCATGGAGTCGCTATAGGTGTACGGTAGAAAATAAAATCGCAGATCAGTTTGGATTTGTGCAAGGGGATCTGAGTTCAGAATACCGTCTTAATTGGACTTATCCTCAAGCTAATTCGATACGAACCTCGAAGAGCATTAAGTCTTTGAAGACCTGTTATTCAAATCTGGATAAGTGGAACAGTTCCTGCCAAAGCTAGAGACGCAGAGTCGCTGTAGGACCGTATGACCTTAGCTACAGCGGCATGCACATTCTACGGAGGAGGAAAGGCTGGGTTCATACTGATTCCCATGTTCCGGAACTGTTCCCGCACAGTTCCTGCACTGTGCTGGAACAGTTCCGGAACTGTGCTGCATGCGCTGCAACCGCCCCGCACGCGTTTTGAGCGGCGGGAGTTAGAGAATTCTGACCGTTCTCAACGGTTTTTCCAGATTTCGCTGATTTTGGCCTCATTCCTCCATCCCGCTTCCCCTTTTGATCAGCCGCGGGGTTGAAGAATGAGCGCTTTTCTGCTCTGCGTATGCGACAAATCGTGGGTTCTTGTGCTCGCCCATTTTTCTTCGTTATTCTTACTCGAAACTACTTCATGTATCTAAAAACCTGTCTATGTCCCTTTTAATACATGCAAAACTACGCAGCGCCTTCCTGGAACACATGAAGTAGGTCTGAACAAAAATAACAAAAAGAGAATGGACGAGCGCAAGAACAGACATTTTGTCGAATATGCAGAGCAGAAAACCGCTCATTCTTTAACCCCGCTTTGAGTTTCGAAGTTCGGCTGATCAAACGGGGTGGAGGAATAAGGCCAAAATGAGAAAAATCTGGAAGAAAAACCGTTGAGAATGGCCAAAGTTCTCCAACTCCCGCTGTTCAGAACGGTGCGGGGCGGCTGCAGCGCATGCAGTACAGTTCCGGAACAGTTCCAGCACAGTGCGAGAACTGTGCGGGAACTGTGCGGGAACAGTTCCAGAATATGGGATTCACTATGAACCAAGCCAAAACCGCTGGTGAGCGAGGCTGTCTTTAGGGTACGATCATCTCAACTTCAAGCTCTTCTTGTCTAGCGTTATAACGTCAGATATTTAACCTTATACGGTTTCGCACTAACAGTTGCCGATGTGTCATTATAGCGGGACTCCAGCCTCGCTTGGCATTGCCGAGATAATCTAGTTGGCAAAAGAAGAACGCCCTTTTAACGGAACCCCGACCATGTGGGGGTGGTAGTTAGCTATAGCGGTGTTCTGAAAAAGCTTGAATTATATCGAAACAGTACGCTATCGTTGAGTGGAAGAGAATAGCGCGCCCTTGCAACAAGCGACGCGGGCGCAGCGGCAGGCCGTTTTTCATCGTTTCACTTCTGTATTAATTACGTTGCATTTGATTTTATTGGATTGAACGTTTTTGGCCAATGTTCCCATTCTTCTTGCTGATTTTATCTCCAACTTTCCAGTTCAGTTCGCCAACCACGACTGAAAACTGCGATGGGAAATGGAGGAACCTGCAGCGCCTATTATTAGCGAGGTAATTTTGTTTGAACTCAATTATTTGTTTTACCTTGTTTGAATTTTGTTCAGTCGGTTCTTGTTGCAGAGAACTTCTTCAGTAGTACAGCTTTCTTGGAGATTTTTTGTCTGTGTACTTAACGGATTGATCTTGACCTTGACACATTGCTGCCTCCTTCAATGAATTCAAACTTTTGTATGCCAGGCATCCTCATTATATCAATATTAGCTGCTTTCTTTGAAGCAGTCAGAGTTACCACCTTTGATTTTGCATTCATGCGTGCATGCTTGCAGATAGAACCAAAACAATATCATGTTTTGTACTATTCGTATCATGTACATGCTTCCAAAGCTTTACCTTCACTGAAGTTACTTTCTAATTTATGTCAAACGGGTGAACCACAGATTACTCTAACGTTATTGCTTGCGTTGGAGTGTCGCCTGTTCCATTTGTTTAGAGTCATTCTTCTAAATCTTTTGTTATGTTCTGGGTCCATGGATTAAGAGGTTCTTTTTTGAACTTTAGGATTATATCGCCTGAGGGATCGCATCAGACATCATGAGGGTTCTTCCTTTATATCTTCCCATCCTTTGTCAACGTGTTTGCTCAAATATGTTGCTTCACGAGATCTTCTTAATTTTTGGCATATTTTTACCCACAGCAGTTATTGTTGATGTCTTTTTTTTTCAGGATGATCAGCATATAATTCCAGACACTTTTTTACTAGGCAAGTTTTATTGCAAAACGCCTTTCCTTGGAGTCTTGATTATACTCTTCAGATGGCTATCTTATGCGTAACAGCAAGCCGGCACAATTTGCACCTCCAAAGTTTCTAAGGTATGCAGCTCTTTTTCTCCTTCCAGGTTCAGAGCAATCTAATGCAATTTTTTGAAAATGCTTATGAATTGGCCCTCTGCGTTGCCTTTGTAATTGCCTCGTTATCACGCTTTGCCACTTGTACTGCACGTGTGCTCGTACTTTATGGCTACAAGAGATTTAGTGCATCAAATTGATTGCAACGAGTATTTTCAGCAGCTCATGGAGATCTCGTTCGAAACGAATTAGCCGTAAAAGCATTGCAGAAGAGCCGAAAGAGGTTTGTCTGACTTTGTCGTTTGAAAAATGTCTGTTTAAAATAGGCTACAGCGATGCTGGTCTCCAGTTTTTGGCGTTGAAATTTCGACTGAGATTGCTAAAATTTTTCCCTGAGATCTAAGATGGTGACCGCTAAGCGACGCCCTTGCGCAGTATAGCTCCTAGTCTAAAATTTTCCATTGGAAGAATCTTTGGTGCAGATTGGTGCAAAGTTCTCGAACTGGTGTCTGTAGAGCTGCTTAGTAGACGCAAGTGATTGGAAAAATGGTGAGCAGATTTGTCGCCATGTTCTCTCTTGTGATTTTTTATACATATCCCCCTAGCATATCTGACATATTTCAATGTACGACAATCCCAACCTCATTATCAGTTTTCAGCCTTCGACTTCTACAGTAAGCAATGTGACGAGATACACTCGGTCATATAATCAACGAGTTCGATGCCCTACCCCGGAAATCTTGCCGGAGATTGATTCCCATGTTTTGTTGGAACTTGCCGGGAGTACCGCTCAATCGGTTGGTTGAGATGTCAAGTTTTGAGAAAAGGAAAGAGCTTTTGTTTTAGTTCAAAGATGTCTCTGCTGCGCAAGAAAAGCGTGCAGCAGCGAGGAGTCGAAAGGAACAGAAGTCTTCTGCACAGACTACAGAAACGACCGCGTCGTCAAAACCATCTACAGCGAAGAAAAAGGCCAAGAAAGTCGAAACACCGCCGGCTAAAAAGGCTGAGACACCGCCGAGGTCAAGCAAACATAAACATAAAGAACGAAGTGTTACATCTGATGCAAAAGTGGACACCCCCGTTTCAACAAAGACTAAGAAGCATGAGAAACGACGGCATTCAAAGGAGAAAGAAGAACAAGCATTGGTATGTAAAGAATGGAAATATTCCCTTTGATTTTGGTCATAGCACATAGAAGTGCATATTTTTACACCGTGAGTTTCGTTCGTCATTTTTAGACAAACTCACTTTTTTTCTCAAATTTTGTCTTTTCTTCTACGCTTGCTGTAGATAGAGTAGTAGTCTATGGCGATGCGCTCATGCGCTCCTTCTTCAACGATGCTAAAGTTCTCTAAGGTACTCTTATAGTGTAATGAATTCGCTATACAATCAGTTGTCTGACCATTTATACGTTCACCGGAACTGTAAACTAAAAGCTTTTTCGCAGCCTTCCCCTCTTCCCACACTCCTTCCTCTCCCATTCAAAATCGCTTACGGTTGAACTAGCGACCGCGCCGCAATTTTTTTCTCGGGAGCGGAGTGTGGCGGGTAACAAATTGTTCTGAGGTTTCATGGTGTCAAGACATCAAAAGAGTCCTCTTTCTGTACTATATTTTGTTAAGCTTTCCAGGTTTTTCGCGAGCTTGCAAAAGTGATTTCTCAATGCTGTGTTGGGTTCAGAATTGACCGTAATCTTTCTCGGAGAGCTAGTTTGATTTTAAGAGAAAAATGAATCGTTTCGATTATTCACAACAAAAAATTCTGATTTTTGCATGTTTCACAACCCTCATAGGTAACTTAACTTACACAGATGCTGCGGTTCTTTCTATTATACATTCCCTCCCCTTTGTTGTCCCTGCTAGCAAGCGCTGAAGTGTAGCGCGATCTGGTGAATTAGTGCAAGATTGATACTGGAATGGGCCTTACTCAAGCTTCCATAGATTGTAGAGAGCTAACATGATGCCTACAATGGATTGATTTAGGATCATGAAGATAAAAGTGCTTCAACAGCACCAGCTCGAAGGAAGACATCTTCGCAAGTCAGAGGTCAGTATCCTTCTGAGTTTTCTATATTTTGACGTCTCCTGCTTATTTTTCAAAAGAGCTTACGGTGTCTTGATCTCCTACAATTGCTCTCAACATACCCACATACCCACCGCACCAAGAGCACCTGAAATGCCAGAGCGCTTTTCTGCGAGCTGAATGCATTCGTTTCTGTTATAATTTGACTACGGCTTTCAAGACTAGTTTTTCCAAGATATGGTTTTTCAGAAAACTCACCCACTGTCGATGTGAATTCTTCTGAAAAGGTATTATCGTTGTTTCTCTCACAGTTTTTCCTTTTTTTGTGAAAATATTGTGAGGATAGAATCAAAATCTTCAGAAGCGTTCGTCTACCAACATAAAAGGATGGTCAAAGGAAAAAATCATCAAGCACTTTGACTTGAAGGAGTTCTTCATTGACATATCGGACTTTCCTCACCATGAAATGCCACCATCAGCAAGCTCGCAAGGTTTTCGTTTTGGCTGTTGTGCTACAAGTGTGTAACATGTAGATCGCTTTCCAGAAATGGATTCAGTCGGAGAGGAGACATCCAAAGTGGAAATAAATGAACCGAGTTCTTCACAAGATAAACCAGAAGTAGAAGAAAAAACAGAGATAAGAGCTGATGAGAAAAGTGGACGGAAGCGAAAGCGCTCCTCTTCTTCGTCGTCTTCATGCTCAAGCTCATCGTCTGGACGTCATTCGTTAGTTTTCACTGGCTTACTAGAGTTCTTGTAAATTTTTCGAATTTTGCATTAAGTACTCGATTAAATTAATAGGAGTCATTTGTGATGAGAACTGCAAGATAGATATTTTTAGACTATTTTTATCAAGCTATATCGCTCCTTATTTTAGTGATGATGATAGTGCACAGACAAAACCAACGGCGAAGAAGAAAGCTCACAGTGAGAGGTAAGTTTTCATGTTCACTTCAACTTATTCCCTTTTTAGCAGATTTTTTTTGTTGCATTGCAAAGTGTAGTAGTCAAGCTCATCATGCGTTGAACGTTAGCCCCCCCCCCCCCCTCGCCTCGCAAGACTGCGTCACGAACTTTTTTCTTGCTAGCCCAGACTGTTTCTGCGATAAAAAAAAGATGATGGCATTAATCTTACAGTAACTAAGAAAAATAGTGATGAGTATCGTAAGGGGTAATCGAAAAGACATAAGCAGCTGATAATTTCTAATCAATTCTGAAGGAAAATCAATAAATGGATGAAATTATCTAGCGAATCTTTGTAGTCTCAATGAAGTCGCCGTTGTGCTCTGTTGCTTGCATTTGTAATAGATTTAAATCTAGCGTTGGGCGCAGAAGACTCACCTCCTCTAGCTGCTGCTCACAAATGTTGTTTCCTTCAGGGGATTGATGTCCTCATTGAGCATAGGACAATTGTTTAACACGTTTCGGACCGGTGCTGCACATGGTGCAGCACGGGCCTTTCAAGGATCTTTTTATTGTTTGCAGGAGGTTTTCTTTTTGTCCAAGGTTATCAAGTCAAAGTCCTAAGCTTCTACATCTCAAATGACTCTGTAGAATTGTGCCGCCTATATTTGTTTGGGAGATACAAGCGCAAATCCAACGACAGTTGCAACGAAGTGCGGCAACGCGAACGACGCGTGCGACGTCGCAACTTTTTTTTCCTTCGAATTCAAAGAGAAAAACAATAGTTCCAATAATGATGTGTAACGTGTACAACATAGATACTTTTGAATACAATGAGAAACTGAGTTCTAGTTCCTATCTTCCAGGAAAGCAACGAAGTCCTTCTCAGGCGACAAAATTCAAACACTTCGAATTCACTCAGAACTTTGGGTATGAACTCTATCTGACATGCTGATTACAGGCGTAGTACATAAAATACGAATCAAGGTCCCTTTGTTGGCTAACGGCTGAAAGTACCCTCTTTTTCGCCGCGCGCGATTTCGCGGTCCGAAACGTGTTAACATTGTTCAATCTTCATTTGCATATATACAGACCGTGCGTCGAGTGTGGACGATGGCTTGATGATTGTGCTCCGGAATGGAAGGAAGTTTTGGGCCCTTCATCTGTATGGTGCTCGCGAGAATGCATTGAAAGGAGAGTGGCAAGAGCGCACGAGGTATAGTCACGCTTTTTCCGGTGATGAATGAAAAAATGCTGGTGAATTGTATACACTTTGCTTCAAGGTACTTCGGGAAGATTATGGAGCTTTGACGTTGTTGCGAGGAGACGGGCAACTTCTCACTACAGGCCCTACACTGGTGAATCTAGCTGAATTTATCTTCAAATACCCGGAGTATGAGCCCGTGCTACCTGTTGCCAGGAAGAAAGCGCATGTGAAAACTGGTAGGTCGATTTCAATCAAATTATCTTTCCATGATTTGAACCTATTTAGAAGATACATCACATGAGCAGAAGAAATCTGCCGCCAAAGTACTTTCGAAAGACTCGGACAGGACTCGATTCAATGTGAGAAGAGCCTTCTCGGACGCATTAGTAAAGAGGTTAGCTTGTTCCTGCACATTGAGTTTTTTGATTGTCATCAAATTTCTTTCCTTTTTTCGTTCGGTTTGTTTTGGTATTGCATTGTCACCCGTTTCCAGAGCAAAAATGGACAAGATCAAATCTGCTGTAAAGCTATGTAAGGACACTGCGGAAGCTGTGGAAGCAGCTCTTTTCAAGCATTGCAATTCAAATCCGAATTCGCCAAAGTATAAGAATTGGACGAAGATGTTCATAGAAAATGTGACAGATCATCGCAATAAAGTGAGAATTTTTGCTTAGGTTTTCATCTTTCGCGTCCGGGCAAAAAAGAAAACGTAGAGTACAGGGGTGCTCGTTTTGGTAAAGCTTTTGACCAACTGGCAATGCACAAATTTGCTTCTGAAGCGAGAAATCCGCTTCAGAAGTGGCGACCGGCGGACGAGTTTGTTCGATAAGCCAGAGTGCGCATACCGCACACAGTCAAGACATAGGGTCACAAAGACGCGTTTTAACCTTGGCGGAAGGCGACAAAATTCAAATCAAGAGCTTTTGGAAAAGCCCGTTTTCGACATTTTCGTGCTCTTCGAGCTGCATTTTCGGAATCAGGGGAAGGATAAGTCCAGGTAAGCGAAAAAAATTCCATCCGAAATCTTGCCCGGACGCTGCCATTGAATTTATTTAAAAAAGTTTTTCTGTTTGCAGGGCTTCTATCATCGAGTTTTGACCGGTGCAATTTCGGTGTACAAAGTAGTAACTTTGGAAGGAGCGGACATGGGAAAACCGGAATATGCAGCGCCGATTAATGGTTTGTGTTTTCCACAGTAATTACCTGATTTAAGATGCTTCTTACAGAGGATGGATCAGGTGTGGAAGAAGCAAACGTCATCAGTGATGAAGTATCTGCCAGCACCTCTGCTGCAAATGAGAATGTCAAACCTGAAGCAGAAGAACCTGTTGCTGTTGAACGCGTCGTCGAAGTTGCAAAGGGCAGTGGATCGGGTGCTGCCATGTCTGAGATTGATGCATCGAAGACCTCCTTGAGAAGAGATTCCTCATTTACGCGCTCTAATTCCGAAGGTGTCAAGCCGAGGCGGACATCGAAACGGTCTGATGCTCGTAAAGTCGTTACGACCATAGATGCCATTCTTGGAGACGGAGCTAAGGACACAACTGAGCAACATCTGAGTCACTTCTACGATGTTAACTGCAGCATATGCCTGGCGAAGCAGAAGCAACAAGCAGAAGCTGAAAGAAAGGAACGAGAGGAGAAAGAAAAGCAACGTGAAGAAGAACGAAGGTTTAGAGAGGTTTGTTTTCTATGAGGGCGCATTCTTCATTATTAGTTCTTGTATGGTATCTGGGAAGCGCAGTCCGGGCAATTTGTTTTGAGCGCTTCCGGTAACCTTGTGCATACCTCGCCGCAGATTAGAATGGGTCTAGAATGAGTAATGGAGCTGTCAAGTTGCGTAGCGAGCATTGCCTGAGATAAATAGTATTCGTCGTTTTGCGCCTCGCTCATCCGAGCAATTTCCCACTCTGTATCTCAATAGAAGCGTCATCCCGTGCGGCTCGCCTTTGCCCGCCCAGTCGCCTCGCTTAAAGGCAGCGTCCAGGCAGATCTGGACCTATGGGGCTTCTATGTGGAAAGTACTTTTGGGGCCCTAACTAAGGCACTGCCCAAGCGGCAGCTCAGGTAGTGCTGTAATGGCTGAGATATTCCCCTCGAAACTGGACCCCGCGACCGTGTTTCGCATGGATTCATGGCGCAAAGCGTGGATCCTGGCGCGAAACTGCCATGAATCCATGCGAACGTTCGCGGGGGCCAGTTTCGAGGGGAATATCTCAGCCATTAGAGCACTACCTGAGCTGCCGCTTGGGCAGTGCCCTAGTTAGGGCCCCAAAAGTACTTTCCACGTAAAAGCCCCACAGGTCCAGATCTGCCTGGACGCTGCCTTTAAGCTCTGCGCCAGTCTGCCAATGCATCTTCCGAACATTTTTCCACGGCTGCCAGCGTTCACTAGTGTTTAGGCGTGAAAAAATGCCCAGAGGAGAACTCAGACCTGGCATTATGTATAGCGAGGAAAGGAAGATTGGTCGAAGTGGTGAGGTGTATGTCAAGATGAACGATAGTTGGAAGTAAGCATACTGTACTCGTGCGGCTGTCAATATGCCGCGCCTAAAGTCCTATTTTTTAAGAAATATGTTCTTCACTGGGTTGAAAATGGTGTCGAGCAGTAAGAATAAGGCGGTACCGAGCTCCCAGCTTTTTTCCAAAATTTTGAATATCATCATAGCGTAATTATAGATCTAGAAAATATTTGACCTACGCAACGCATATGGCTGGCACAATCTATCGTTCATGTTGGCTGCCCCCGAAGTGGTGGCCTTTTAGGATGTAAACTGTCTTGTAGAGCTTGCAACGCTGATTCCAAACCTTTCGTTATCTGCTGCAGGCTTCTGGGCAAAGAGCTATGAAGGCTTCTGTTATAAAGTCAAATGCAAGATTAGTATAAAATCACTCGTATATAACATTTTTTCTATGGCTAAACTAATAGTCGGGTCACTTGGTGCATTAAATATTCTTGATTCAAATATACCAACTCGCTGCTGCTTCATTTGAACGTTAAGAGAAGGTTAGGACTGAGGCTACACTAATCTTGCATTTGATTTTTTACTCACAAAAACCTTCGTAACTCCTCGCCCAGAAGCCCGCAACAGATAGCAAGGGTAGATTTGGAATCAGAGTTCCAAGCTCCAGATAGTGTACATTTTATTTCAAAAGGCCACATCGACCAACCTTCTTTCCCTTGTAAGCACGACGACGCGCGGAAGGGACCTGAGCCGCACGAGCCATGATACCGCCACTACAGAGGCTTTGATCGCTGTCAGTAGCGTGACACTAACTGAAGCAGAAATGAGCGAGGTGCCGGACTTCTCCGGTTCAACTGATTCAGCCGGGTAGAGGACTATATGTCGCCGAGAAAGCTCAGTCCCCGCGGTCATTTGCGACAAATACGCACCCTTGCACATGCGGGGACATGCGTTCCTGTCCCTGCGGGACTCTTCCACATTCGGCGACATATAGTCCTCCACCCTTCAGCCCATTCGCTATCGGTCAGATCATCGACTTGACAAATAGCGAATGGGTGAACCGGATGAGTTGGTTGGATCGGATAAATCTGGCGCCTTCCTTGGGGAACGGCCATAGGTTGTCGGTGTTGTCGATATTGTCGGTGTTGTCGGGGTTGCCGAGCTTGCCGGTCGTTGTAGGACCTCATGATAGCCTCTACGTTTCGCGCGCTCTCTAAACTGTCCCTGACCCCGACAACACCGACAACATCGACAACATCGACAACATCGACAAACCGACAACATCGACAAACCGACAACATCGACAACCGTTGCCGGCAACCTATGACCGTTCCTTTAGAGGCGATTTTTGTAGGAGTGACATCATGTAGCGTTAGGAGACAGCTCTCGAAGGCAGCGTCCAAGCAAATCTGGTAGGGTGGGCCTTCATGTGTAAGCTTTGTGGTGACCTAACTAACATATTATCCAAGCTGTAGCACAAGATTCATCCATGGAGAAGTTCTTCACCCCTGTCTCCACTAAGATTGCCAACTTGCATCGAATTGCTAGCTTTGGATGCCTTCAAACCGCGCCGGCAGCCGCCGCTAGCCGCCCTTGCGCACTATTCCACTATCCGGGCCTCAGTATCGAAGCCACGAATTTGGCTCAAACTTGGCTTAGTGGGGTTGGGGCATGCTGATTACAAATAGCATGATCTTTCAACGTTTTGGAAAGGCCTCGGAGTACTGGGATAGTGCGGCTACTGCCAGCGCTGTATGAAGCACCCTTTAGCTACGATTACCGCCCTTATGATGCGCCCCTGCAAAAGTATGCAATCCAATTCAAATCGTACTGTAAAATTACTAGAGACAGGTTAGATGAATTGCTCGGCGTGAATCAGTCATTGGCACTGCCGCTTGGACAATGCCTTAGGCCTCGGGCAGAGTTCACGCGATTTGATCGTCGCGATTGATCGCGATAAGACAATTGTAACAATATCATTGCATGCCGATCTTCTTGCATTTCGGTTGTGATAGTTTTCCAGCACGACTATTCGCGGCCAACTATCACAACCGAAATACAAGAAGATCGGCATGCAATGAACTCGTAACACTTGTCTTGTAGCGATTGAATCTCGACGATCAAATCGCATAACTCTGCCCGAGTCCTTAGTCCTGCGCCATACTCAATCCACTTCATCCGCTTCTACTTTAATCTACTTCGCTATTGATCACATTAGTGAAATGGCCAATAGCGAGGCGGATGTCCACTTGGTCCATTTGATTTACTTTGTTTTTGGTTAGCTCACTGATTGAACAAGTGGATCAAGCTGATCAAGTAAATGAAGTATGGTGCCTGCCTTAGTAGGAGGCCTGTAACCCAAATTCCATATCAAAGATAGTGGAAACAGTCTGCGTTATGGTTTTGAAGTCTTTAGCAGTTTTGAGCAAGTTTATCATGTACTCATCGAGAGATACTTGCTGCTACCCATTAGGTTTACCATTGCCTTGGTATCTTCATCTGGGACGGTAATTATCAATCTCCCACTCCCTGTTCGGGCCATTGTTAACGAGGACTTGGACAGGCGAGAGCGCCAATCCGTGATTTATCTACTGATCCGACCTGGTAATTTTGGCCATGTCGGGCACGGCAGTCGGGCAGCAGAGCCCGATCTCGACGGGTCGAGCTTTGCTGCCCGATTGCCGTGCCCGACGTGTCCAAACTTGCCAGATCGGACCTCTCCAATAGACTGGAGTCCGATTACCACCTTAGCTTCATATATTGCGGGCGCCAGTGCCCTCGTCTCTACGGGCTGTCACCTGTACAGGAACCCCTTCCTATATAGGAGGTTAATAAATACCGCCCCAGGTCTCAGACGAACAATGAAGTGCTAGCTTCATATCAGATCGGTTGCGGGATCCTAGCCTAGCGCATTGCTGATCAGATAGAATTTGGGAAAGCACCTGTAAGCTCAGGCTTATTATGAGAGAGAGAGGGGGGGGGGGGGGAGGACTTCCTCCACTTTTCGGGATATGTCTCATTGAATTGGACGATTGTGTAGACTTGAATTTTTACAGCGATTTAGAGTGTCAAATCGTTTTACGGGTCGAGACTACACTTATCTTTTTTAGATGTTACCCCTCGATCGATTTCATAATCGACAGCCGGGAAATTTCTATACTAGTGTGGCAGCCAGCAGCGTGAAAGATCTTCAGCGGCGTAGTTTTGATGACGTGAGTTCTTGTTATGCACGTTTACTGTAATGAGTTTATCAAGATTCTAGTCGAAACAGACACCGGAAAGCACAGGAGCTGCATGTGCTTCGGACGAAGATTACGGCGATTCATATGGGGTTGAAGCGGATGATTCGCCTTCGTATATGGATGCAACTGCTCCGTTTGTAGAATCACGGTACGTTTTCGATAGTGATCATCTTGTTTTGCACAGCATTTACATGATGACAGAGGCTTTCATTACTTTTTTTTAGGCAGGTTCCGGACAGCTGGAGAGAGGACAGTCGTCGTTCTCCAGGATGGATGAGGTGCGTGTATGAAGGGTGTATGTCAAGAGGCGCGATTTTTATTGCCAGCTGGAGACCAAATAGCACATAATAAGTGTTCTGCAACTTTCTAAAAGTATATGAAATTTAGAAGACGATATATTAGATAGTTACATGAGTTGTCAAATCTAGACACTCTAGAAAAAATTCAAAAGAGCAATTTCAAAGGTCAAAAACTCATGAAAATGCATTTCAAATTCGAAATGTGAAAATTCGAATTCGAAAACAAATTCGTGAATATTTCAGTCCGATTTATAGCAAAAACCATGAAACTCAGCAGGTGGTGACCTCAGACAGATAGTAAGCTAATGCACTTTATCTGGTAATTTTTGAAGACTCGCATAGCACTAAACTGAAGTTTTGAGTTGGTGACAGCCAGAAAAAGCGCGCCTCTTGACCGTCTCCCGTGTATGAAGACTTGTTTCCGAAAAAATTTTTTTCTTAGATACATATATAAACTGTACAGTTGAGTAGATTTTCGGTTTACTTGGTATAGTGTGTTTGCACTGCCGAAAAAAATGCGTTAGAATCTGCGCACGAACAAATAATTACCGTAATGTCGACCACTTGCGCCCGGAAATTGCCAGCATTACTGGCTAGGTTAATCACGCGCAATTTTTACCGCATTTTGTCGTCAATGCAAGCACGCTAAATTCAGCCGAATCTACTCGACTGTAAACACACTCTACTTTATTGCAGATCTGCTACCATTATATGGAAAGGGCAGATCTCTATGAACAATACTTTGCTGTTGACATCCTTCTGTCTTGTCTCGAATCCTGTAGCCTGTCGAGCGGTCGCTCAATTACCGTCCATTCTACGAATAAAGGTGAGGTGCTCTTTTCATGGTTAACAGTAAATTGTTTGGAGTTGCAATACTTTCCAGGGGCGCATAGTTCCCGTGATTGTTTTCGACTATGTTCATGGAATTGTAAAGAATGGGGAGCATCAAGTTTGCGTTATGCGCTTGACGACTCCGGGTGAGAATTTTCTATCTATAGTTGACCTGTTCACTTGCATTATTACTAGGTTTAGGCAATTTTGATGACGAACAAAGGTTTTATTCACTCTATGAAGACATGATGAGAAAGGGACGATATTTTGCCATTGATGTACCACGTGATTCTGGTCTTAAAGACATTTATCTGATGCCGCTAGCTCCTGATGAAGAGCCGCCGGGTACATTCAACTGGTTTGATTGAGATCCCGAACCAGCCAATAATTCTTGGTTGCAGCTATCCTTCTTCCTTTCGATGGTCCAGGGATACCTTTGCGTCATCCTCCAATGATCCTCTGTGTCATGGTTGTGTACGGGTCGGACAAATCATGGGATTCTAGACTCCGGTGAGAGATGTTGTTATTCTCAAGTGGTGCATTAGAATTGGGAATATGAAACTCACCGCTCTCATTCCGTATCATCTAAATCGAGCAGTCCTTCCGCTGTTTTTTTTGCAGGGGCTTCGCGTGGCGAATAGAGGCAGTATATAGTGTGCAATAATTCTCATAGTCTAAAAGTGGAAACATTTGGTTTTATGTGATTACGAATGCCTTACTCGATTAATTCAGACTACTTCTAGTAAATGCAGCCCACTTTCTTTCCTCTTTTCTTCCGTCACCTTTCTTTTCCGCTCTCTCTTTTGCACTTTGAGCTTTTTGTTGAACATACTGTTTACGATTCACTTTGGAGGATTCCACTGGCGTATTATGGCTGTCTCAAGCTTTTGAGATTTGGTCGCAAGTCGCCAGTGAGTTTCTGTTTGTGCTCGTATGACATTCTAAAGTATTATCTTAACATAATTAATGAGGGTCACCGAGTGTGACAGGTTTTTGAACTTCGGCTGCCGATTAAGAATCACACATGCTTTTATGACTAGCTTATTTCTAGATATGACGACGTGCCATCGTCCCTTTCGAGCCTCACTAGGAGTAGGAGGTACTTGTTTCATCTTTAAAAGCTTTTTGAATGAATATATATCTTTAAATCTTATCATCTGTTCACTTTTCACGAAACCGCATAGCACACAACATATTTCCGCTGTTCCGCTCTGTTTTTACACGACCTCCAGCTGAATGATAGGCGATTACTTTGTACTAGGGATGAGTATTGTTCCTAGTTCAGAGCGGCCGCCTAATGGCTATCGCTTTTCACCCCATTGTTGATATTTTGCTTGTAAAAACTCTTGCTGCTAAACATTGATGAATGAATGAGTTTAGAGAGAAGTCCGACTCACCAAGGAACGCCGATGCTGTTGAAAAAAGTGAAGCCGAAGGTATTTTAGAAGATTTTTCTTTCTAATCAGAGTCAAGCCGTGATTATCTTATTGGGTATACTTGAGCAGGTTGTATAGATTTGACAGGTGAATAACTCATACACGAATGAGTTTCGGAGTCGTTTTGTGAATGTGTTACAATTACTTCACTCTCACCATGGTTTCAGGTTACCCAGAAATCCGCTATTTTTGTATACCGAAAATCAGGACGTGGAACTTACGAAAATTTTGAAATCAAAGATTTAAGTGCAACTTACCTTTGAGTTAAAACTGACAAAGACTCAAGCAGAATCTGCTCACCCGTTTCTTCTCTTGCTTACACCATTTTCTTTACTCTTTTGTCGAAAATTGTTGAAGCTTGTATGAAAAACTCAAGCAGTATTGCAGCATGATTCTGTTGCAGCTCTTACGTCAGAAAGGGAGGTGCCCGAACCATCAGTTGACTCTCAGGCCGCTAAAGCCATACAGGAACGCGAAGGATTTCCGCAACCCGCAGAAGAGAGTCAGTCAGCGACTAGTACGCCCTCAGACACTCAGGCTAATTTCGCTCCCGTTTCCGAAACCGATAGCTTGCTTCCATCTAAGTAAGCGTCATTTCGATTTGTGCGGTTGCTTGTATTCTTCAGGGGCCTCAAATCCGCGAATTTAGGTTCTTTGCGATGTGTGAGAAAGCGGCTAAGGAGCCTGCCAAGATCCTCAGTGCGGATGAAATTGAGACTCTTCCGGATCTTCTAGTGTTTATTCAGCTCAATTCCAATCCTAGTGAGATTTTTCTCTATAAAAAAATTCAACAGACCTATTGATATGATGGTCTTTGAGGGGAGATCAAGGAAGTTGTTGCTCGATTCTTGACCAATCCTACGTTGACTGACAATGATCGAGAGCTGATAAGGAAGAAGGTTATGGAGAAAATCTCAATAGAGAAGAAAAGAAAGGCCCAAAATAAGAAGTAAAGCTCATCAAGTGTGCTTTGCTGCACTGTTTTGTTGTTTCCAGGCTTGCCACTCCTAAAGCTGCTAAAGAGTCGCCGAAAGTGGAGGAGAAATCGCAAGATTTGAATGAGAGCGCTGCCAGTGATAACAAAAAGGAACCTGCAAATCCAGAAGGGATCGATCTTGAATCGTTAAATCAACTTTCATCATTTGTTGGCGAAGGTGCTAAGGATCTTTTCACGCAGGTAAGAAAAAGTGAATGATTTGTAAATGTAACAGGGTTTGATCTACCTTGCTTGTTTCTTTTTAGTTTTGTTTTTCGTCTTTTTGGGGTATCAATGATATCTATGTAGATTTTCATATTAGGTTACATATCATATTTGCTATCTAGTTTAACTGGCATATCCTGCTCCCATCAGCACCTATGCAATAATGGCGACAGGACGCGCTCGAAGGGGGGGGGGACAACAAAATTTTTTTCGTAGAAAGGTACTGGATCTTAGCCACGCACTCCGAAAATGTGGGGGCTTCTCACAATCTTCGTGGGCCTGAATTTTTTACAAGATTAATTTAGTTTTTTGTCAAAGATTTGTAAAAATTATCTTTATTATTTACAAATAAACAAGTGACTTGCAAACTTTTACTCCTCATGTGAGAGCTTTCTTTCGCTACCCCCAGGGGGGGGGGGGGAGGAGAGCGGATTTCCTTCTTGAATTTGCAAAGAAAAAATCTGGAATCGTACGTGGGAATCGAAGGTTGAAAGGTTCGAATCTCTAGTCAGGATTCGGCAACTTCTATTCTTCATTATTTTTTCTATAATATCTTGCCCTTTCAATTTCTTTGATTTTTACTCGCGCTACTGTTTGTGAGACTTCGCTGTTTGAGGTTGTTGAGGAGACGACTGATGTTTCCCCTTCACCTCCTCTTCCTCCTTTATCTCCAACTCCGGAGCGCAAAGGAACCGAAACTCCTGTGGATAATGCATCGGAGATTGAGGTGAATGTTATCGTCTGAGTTCTCGCAAATATTTCCATTTTTTTTTGTAGAGGAAAAGCAGTCCGAATGTTTTGACATGTAGCGAGATGTTACCTGGGCCTCCCCCGGTGCCACCAGTGTATGGAGACAATGACTCACCTGACGGAAGTAGGTTTCGTCCTTCCTTTCGGTGACTTGAGCACCGGAAATGGAACCCGTCGAAGTCAATATATAGATATAGATTTTTATTAGATTTAATATATAGATTGTTGTTCTCACTAGTCCTTCAACTGACTCCCTTTTCCGTAAATTTTGCCGATTTCATTCTGTTTTCGAAAGATGTGAATCTTGTTTTTTAGAAATCGATGTATGAGTAATGGTGGGCATTTAGACATCCTTGTGCCCCTGCACTGCAGACAAATCATGAATTGTGATACTGTGTTAATATCTGATCTGAAGAAATATCATTTAGGTGCTGCTGACCTTGAGCGAAGGGAATCCGTGGATTCTCCCAACTTGCCACAGCCACCGCCATTCCCAACTCTAAAGATTTTACCCGTGCCTCCACCGCCACCTCCTCAGTCATGCGGTCAGTAGGTTTTGGTTGGATCATTTTTTCTCATCAGTATAGGGAAACCAAAATTGGCAACATTGTTTTGATTGATTAGACTGTCCGACCTGGGAAGTTTGTCACTTGTGTCACTTGAAGGCAGCGTCCAGGCAGATCTGGACCTATGGGGCTTTTACGTGGAAAGTACTTTTGGGGCCCTAACTAGGGCACCCCAAGCGGCAGCTCACGTAGTGCTCTAATGGCTGAAATATTCCCGTCGAAACTGGCCCCCGCGAACGTATTCGCATGGATTCATGGCAGTTTCGCGCCAGGATCCACGCTTTGCGCCATGAATCCATGCGAAACACGGTCGCGGGGTCTAGTATCGAGGGGAATATCTCAGCCGTTAGGGCACTACCTGAGCTGCCGGTTGGGCAGTGGCTTAGTTAGGGCCCCAAAAGTACTTTTCACGTAAAATCCCCATAGGTGCAGACTTGCCTGGACGCTGCCTTTAAGCTTAAGACAAGCCACTGCTTGCTTTAACTTGTTTTACAGCGAGGAGCGCGGGGTGATTTGTAAAAGTGGTAAATTTCTGTAATGGTCATAAGTTAACTTCACTCTCATAGAAACTGACTATCAATTAATATGATTAACTTCTTTAGAAATAAGAACAACTTACTTGCAAAATTCCTATGCGCCTCATTTTGATTGATAAGATGTGTTCAAGTGATAATGGTTATACGTAGCAATGAAATCTAGGAAAATGCTGAACAGGAAAATGCTAAAATCGGGACTCTTTACCAAAATCTGCTGGTTCACTTTTTGTTCGCAGGTTCAAATCACAGTTGTTTATTGGTCTAACCTATCTTGTTCTAAAGTGCCAGCATTTGCGCACTAATTTGCAAGGTACATTCCTACATTTAGATATCGCTGTGCCGCCACCTCCACCACCGCCACCAGAGCTTTCTAATCAAACTTCACATGTGGAGCAACTGCCATCCGCGAAAGCGCCTCTTGTTGCTCCACCTCCGCCACCACCTATTCTCGGTAAGAGTTGACAGATCTCAAGTACAAAGTTTATGTTAGCTTATATTCAGGAGCCCAGCCTAGTGGTCCAATCTCTTATCCCCCAACTAACCCACAGATGCTACATCAGACACCCATACAGCCCCAGATGCCACCGGGGATGTATCCTCCTTTCCAAATGCCTCCAGTCTCAGGATTGCTACCACCTTTACATCCGCCCTCACTAGCGGGAGTACCACCCTCAATCACCCAGATGAGAGCACCTATGGCTACTTTGCCACAAGCACCAAGAGCTCCCTATCCAATCCCGCCGGTGCCACCATCGCCGATGCAGCCGCAAGTACATGCTCAGGCGCCCGTATCGGCGGAACACAGGGATTTTTTTCCCTGTCCAACGATGCATCGGCCTGAATTTTCGAAAGGACAGCCTCCGTTTCCACAGCCTCCCTTGGTTGGAAAGGTGCGATATATCATACTGTAAAGTCGTTCTCTACTTTTTACCTCATTGCTCAGGTGGAATCGCAAAGTGCTGTACTACCGCCGCCTATGGCTCCGCAGCCTTATCCTTCTAATCAGGCAGTCGCAACTACTTTTCCCGCTCAACAACCGGGACTCATGGCGGTTCCTCCAAAGAGGTAAAATCCCGCTCTAAATGTGATAGACTGTAGTGTTTTTAATTGTTCCAAAGTTATAGACGCAAGTTGCGTGAAATCGTTGCCATGTATGTATTTGTAACCTGTTTTATGTTTCAGAGTTCTGCCTACAGGAATTATCCCAAGTCTTGGTCGAGCTCTGACTGAAAAAGATCTCATCCCTAGGACGCCAACACCTTGTAATTTTTCTTTTCCTTTTTTGTATCTACTTTTGGTTAATGATTACTTATATTTCACCTATTTTAAATTTTGTAAAACGCTTCTATCTCAGCACCACCCCCACCAAACAAGCAGGTACCCGCAAGCGCAAACGGGTACGGTTTTGATGGATATGTGCCTTCATTTTAGTGTATCTTTCCATTCAGTCCTCGCACTCCTAGTCCTATCTCAAAAAGCTTTGATCGCGGAGTGGGCCTTGGTGGATTAACAAAAGACCGCGCAGAGCGCGAACAAGGGAATGCATCGCAAGTCAGCTCGCAACTTCAAGTATGTGAATCAGTCTTCCAACAAATATTAAAGCACTGAATTTTAAGGATGAAAAATCTTTTGCGACAGGCCGAGCAGGAGGAGGTAGGCTAAAAAATGGTGTGAAAGCTGCTGCAATCTTCAGGTCTTGTTTTTTCAGATTCTGGGCCGCAGGCATGGCACAGTGATCACCCTGAGCATAACAAAACTTTGCAAGGTAAAATCTGCTCATGCCTTACTTTTGGTCAGCTTTATGATTTATCAGATAGTAACGATGACGACGCCATGGAAGTAGGATATGAGTCAGACAGTAATTGTGCATACAGTGATAGTAAAAATGGAGCGATGTGGACTCCTCGACCAGTGGAAAGAGGAAGACCTCCTTTGAGACGACCAGTTGGATATGGACCTCCTTCAGGTTAGATTTCTGTTGTTTTTCTCCGTGCTTCAGATTTTTGTTCCACTTCTCTTGCATGTGGGCTCAAAAGTAATGGCTGATGGCAAAGTTGCAGGAAGCCGTCCCCAGATGCCAATACCTGACTATGCGGATGATCCAAATTATATACCGATCAATCAACAACGCACACGTGGTTTTGGCACTCCTCAGCCGTACAGACCACCATATACTCCTCGTCGTGCTGGATTCTTTCCACCACCACTATCGCGTGGTGCCTATAGTGCACCCAATGTCAGGCCAGGTCCAGAGCCTGGCGTTGGTCCACCGCCGATGCGGGGAAGGTACATGCCTCCAATGCGGCCACCTATGTGGCGGGGAAGTCGTGGAGCACCTTTTGCACCGAGGGATGGTCCACCATGGCGGGATCCATCGTATCGTCCCAGGTTCTAACCTCATTTATTTTTTTTATTGTCTAATGTTGAGTATATTATGAAGCCCTGTGACTTCAAATTGCTATGCCAGAAATTTTTGTTGTATGTGTCATATTCTTTGTTGTTGTTCCTGTTATCATGTTAATGCACGGCAAATTCAAACCCCGAAGTATTACGTTTATCATATCTTGTGCTCTAATACAACAGAAGGTTGACGTTCAATTTTGGAAAAACACTCTGTCTGTGCTGGGATTATTTCATGCTTACGAGGTGTATCAAAAAGACTATTTATGGTTACCGTTTTTTTTAGTTCATTTTTACGAAGGCAAAATAGGATTCATGATAATAATTCCTCATGACTTCTTTTACATCTCTATGGAAAATACTTTCAGATATCTGCAGTAGAAGTTCTTTTTGTGGGCGCTATTCCAGAATAGGCAACCTAACAAAGTGAATGATTTTGGATTTTGCTAAAATTATCTACTCAGGGGAATTTGACATGCTGATCACGAAATAATATTCGTTTACATGATGAACCTTCCGGAAGGGTAACGCTAGGCATAAGATATGGTGCGAAAATCTTAGAATTTGCTGGAAATCTGCACAGAGGGGTTATTCCACATGCTGATCATGAGTATCACACTTTTTCCGCACGATTCGTCTCTCTGTCTAGTTACGATAGGTGTACGGTAGGGAGCCAAAGTCTAGATCTGGCTGGAATTTGATTAGAGGGTTGATTTGACATGCTAAACATGAATATCGTAATTTTTTTGCGTTTTGGGACTTCTTCGTAAGGTTACGGTAGGTATAAGGTAAGTGTCATCGCAGATCTGCTTGAAACCTTGTGCAGAGGGGTTATATGATGATAAGGCTTTTTCGTGGATTTTTGGTATCTAGGCCTAGAAAGCGGAAATGATGTTTATATATACGCTGCAAAGTACCTTAAAATAAGGCTTTATTGCGGTGAAGAAGCATGATATTCGTAGTCGCTGAGAATTCCTCGGGGGAAGTTTAGGCAAATCTGGGGCTTTGACTCAACTGAGGTAGACCCAACGTAACCCATTTCCGAATGATCTGATATATGTGTTCAGCCGTGAGTATCCCCTCTGGACTAGACATCTGAAATAACCATAACAGGGAGACGTTTTCGTGCGGAAAAAGTGTAATGTTCATGATCAGCACGTGAAATAACTTCTTTGTGTCGTACCGAATGCCCTACCGTGGCCCCTCAAGAGAGGTCCTACCATGCGAAAATGTCATTTTATGATCAGCATGTCAAATAACTTCTATCTAACAAGTTTTAGCGAAATCCGAGATTTTTCATCTTTGGGTTGCATATTCCGTAGTAGCCTTTTTTGCAGTGTATTATATAATTCGATATGTATTCTTTACCAGCACTTATAAAGCTGTAGTTGGCGTTAAATTGCTGAATATAGTGGCCGCTTGTAGTTGTTCTTTTTACGAAATAATAAATTTGAAGCTGTATCGTCTTCGCTTACGGTTCTGTATGTTCTGTTGTCATTAGATAGGTGTATTTATATTAGGCGTTACCTGTCCAGTTATTTTGCACTCCGACGTGCAAATACACAAAACATTTCGGTTTCACGGATGAGACAGATACACAGACACTCGCTGCGGCGTCTAGATATATGGTCTCAATACTTTCTCTTGCGTTTTTTGCTTATTTTCCTTCTTTTAAGCTTCAGCAAAATTTTTTTCAAACCCAAAAGTGAAGGTGGTCACCCCGTACCAGCTCAGAAGTGAAGGTAGGCGGAGACTCGGCTATCGCACCTCTGGTCGAAATGTATGGCCGTGATTGGAAAGAAATGAAGACCATTTCTCAAGCCTGTTTGGAGCAACAGAAATTTGATTCGACAAATGCCAGGGTTTCATAAGAAAGTGACTTGGAAGTTACTAAAACTCTACTTTTTGCTTCCAACACCTAATCACTCGCCATACCAATTACCGCGGAAGCATTGCTTTGTCGCTCTTTGTTGTAAACATTTTAAATAATTGAAATAATGGAAATGTTGAAATTTAAATTAAGCTTGTGAAAATATCTTTTTGGGGGAGTAGCTGCGGCAACATCCCCAAAATTTCGAAGTTATGGGCCCGCAAAAATTTTTGGAAGCATCCCAAAAATGACGCCGGCCAATTGCGCGCGTGCAAGGCTGGCACTACTGTCGTAGCTACTTATTCACGCGCAGATTTTACCGCATTACACCTTCAGTGTAACCACACTATACTAAGCGGAAAATCTATACGACTGTACCAATAAACAAAATAACTAGGTATAAAGCTGAATGTCTGTCTAGACGTATGCTCCAAATAGAAATATTTATTTCTGAACCAATGCCAACCAAACTTTGCACACATCCACTTTGGGGTCTGGACCATGTTATAGGCCACTTTTTTCATTCGATATCGATTCTATAAATTTTTTGCAAAGTTTAAGCTATCGGGGTTGGCACGGGGAGGGGAAGTAAACATGACTATGAATACAAAATTAGGTATGTTAACATTATTAATTACTTTTATCGTTTTTTTTGCAAAATTGGAGCAGGCTAGGAATTGGCACATGGGGTGAGAAATATGCTGATGATGAAAACATGTTGGAGTTACGGTACTGGCGTATCGGCTTGGGACCTGTAGAGTGAAATATTGTACGGATAAGGCACAATGAATTCTATCGCAGTGCAGTGACAAGACAGGCGAGCCGGTTATGCTAGCTAGTGTTCAAAATTTTATTTTTATTTGATAAATTGCTAAATGCTAAATTTTTTATGATATTGTTCGCTTTTTCGCCATAGATCCGTCAAAGCAAAAACCCGCAAAGACTTTTGTTTTTCTTCATCTTTCTATCTCCAATGTAAAAACCGTACGTGCTTGGCTCTTGCTCTACTTGAAGTTATCGCTTTTTTAGACTGATTTACAAATAAAGGAGTTTTGGTCGAATGGTCACATGAAAAAATGGAAATGGAAATGTAAATAAGTACGTAGCAGTGGCGGTCGCAGGCAGGATTTCTGTTCGGGGTGGGGAGAGGGGTGGGGGGGGGGGGGAGGCTCGCCATCATTTTTTTTCAAATAAAAGTGCGTGGCTAAGGCCACTTCAAAATTTTTGGAAGCATTCCAAGCATCCCATCCCAATCCCATCTCAGTTTTATATCTAGTTATTTTATCTATTGATATGTGCAAAAACGTGAGTATCTATCATAACTTATAATAACGGGCTAAGGTTGTTTACGTTTTTTGTGTGTGTATGTATGTCTGTGTGTCTGTCTGTAACGAAATTCGTAGAGCGAGTTCCAGCCAACGTCCTGAGCCCAAATTTTGCACATTGCATGCGACCAACATAATAGCCTACCACACAAAAGCACGAGTGGTTTTGTTGGGTGGATCCCTCAGAAATTGCGCGTCAAACGGAACCACTTGGGTTCTGGCTAGCAAAATTGGTTCTGTATCACCATTTTTTGCAAAGTCGGGGATGTGTTTGGCATGCCGATGTGCAAGCCATGGACTTTAGTTTAAAAAAGTGGACAAAGGTCTACTACTTTACGAGAAACGCCAAAAAGAAATGATTGCGTAAATGGTTAATTTGCCATGGTTTTACCTAAGCATTTGAGAAAAATTTTGCACAGAGATGTAGCTCACGTTGCCTATTGTCCTTATGGCAGCTACCAAGCCAGAAAAAGTCCAAAACCTATTCAAATTTGCATTTCTTCTTCTGCGAAAAGTTTCATCCACGCGAAATCACCGACCTCACATGAAAAAGCATTTGGAATGGGTAGTTGTTTACATTTTACTCGCGATAATCGGCACTGCGCGGTGAGTTTCATTGCCAGCATTAATCAAGAATGAGTAAGGCATATGAAGTAGGACCAGTGCGAGCCTCTGCGAAGCAGAGGTGACGCACTGGTATATATATAAAACTCAAAAATTGTCAGTTTGGAGGGTATGTGCGTTATAGAAACGCGCGCCACTCAACCGATTCAACTGAAACTTTGCACATATACGTTTTCGACCCTTGCGCAGATGATAGGCTACTTTTTGCGGCGATTCGTTGGGTCCTTCTATCGATTTATTAATTTGTTTACGTTTTTTAAGGAATTGAGGGCTTATCATGTTCAATCAAGCATTTTACCATAGTCTGTAAAGAAGGGCGGTGAAGCTCATTTTCATCTCAGGATCACGAGGATGCGGTTTCGAAGCGGGTTCCAGGGTAAGTCATCCACAACTATAAGAAGGGGGGACTTGCAGTGCAGGTGACTAATGGCCCGGGCTGGACCGGGAAAGCCAACTAGTAAATAATAAAAGGAGAGTTTCGCTATGGGTAGAAAGCAAGACTATCAATGCACGAAAAAGATATGGCAAAACGTGAACATATTTTAACATTTATAGCACAAAACAATGAGATAAATGGTTCTACGATTGGGAAATAGGCGATTTGTAGTAAAAAAATTCAGCTGATGTCTTTCGGAGAGCATTATGTATAAGATATATTATAATCTCTGTTTGCTTGCTGTTATAAATTGTTATAAATTCTTATAATCACAATGTTTTGTTCAAATCGATCTTATATAAAGATCGATCTGAACAAATGTGATAATAAGAATTTATAAACACAAAAATTTATAAATTTATAAATTTAAAATTTATAAACACAAAGACTTGCTCCAGTACTTGCGATCTGCTTTATGAGTAGAATAGAGGAACCAGTGCTGTCGCGTTTACCTCTAATGTACTGCCGTTACATAGACGACTGTTGCGTTATACAGGGTGTCCCAAAAAATGTATCGAACGTTTGATCGTTAATATCTCTCCTCCCAAAAAGTCTTTTGCTTTGCTTCAAGTACCATTTTGTAGAGCTGGCTTCAACTTAGATTTGCACTATAGAACGAATCACTCATCCCTCTTCATTACTGTAGGATTACGGTAGAAACTTGAAACATATGGTGTCAATGTGGAAAAAGCTGCCGTTTCAAAATTTTTCAAAAAATGTGAAAACTTATGTAATAGGGTTTTTATGGACGCTGAGTTAAATATTCATCTATTCACGAGATTACGAAGCCTTCTAAACGGTGTAACCGCACTTTTAAGAGCATTGAAAAATTGGCCGCTACCTCTTACCTGGCATAACTCTTCAATGAAGCATCATAATAAATTGGGAACTTTACAGCTATAATCAGCAACTCTAATTAGCCTAGTGTAAAAATGTCGAGGTTGTTTTGTTTCCTTTCTGAGGCAAAATATGGCCTTTCTTGCTTAAAACCCTCTTTGAAGTGTTTCTACCGTAATCCTACAGTAATGAAGAGAGATGAGTGAAACTTTTTTAATGCAAATCTAAGTTGAAGCCAGCTCTACAGATTGGTACCTAAAGCAAGAGAAAAGACTTCGTCAGAAGAGAGATATTAACGATCAAACGTTCGATACATTTTTTTGGGACACCCTAGTGTTTCCGATTACTCAACCAACAGTCACAGTACATAAAGTTTACACGGCAGCAACCGAAAAATGGTTGGCTTCTTTATCTCAACGTACAAATCCAACTGGTTAACGGCGCTGCGAATGTAAAATGGTATCGCAAAGAGAGTTCCAAGAACATCTTGGTTAATGCTCGCTCCGCACATCCGAATACTGTTAAAAGAGCTGTTATTCGTAACATGCTCAAAACAGCAACGAATGTATGCACAGGAGAAGAAGAACGGAAGGAGTCGCGGAGATGGGCTCTGGATATTGCTCGAATAAATGGCTACACGTTCCGAAACGGACGTGGTGGACCATTTATTACCATCAACAGCAACCAGCACCGACAGAAAATACCTCTCTGCCTTCCTTTCGTCTCTGACGCGACTAGTGCTATAGTGCGACGATGCATTAAACACGCGAACCTCGAAAACGATGTCATTTTGATTGACCTTCCAAGTGATAACATCAGGAAGCGATTAGTACGTAACAGGCTGTACGACAACTACTGCAGAATCCAAGACTGCGTAGTTTGTCCATCCGGTAAAGTTGGTGACTGCGGTAAGACAGGTGTAATCTATCAGATCGAATGTATCGAGTGCAGCGCCACTTATATCGGAGAAACTGGGAGACCGTTGGGAGTTAGGTTAAAAGAACATCTTGCCAGCAAAAGGCGAGGAAGCCTCACCACTCCTCTCGGTAAACATAAAGTTGAAGTCCACGGTGGTAAGGACTTCGAGATCAGATGTGTAATACTGGCATACGAATACGATACTGCCATTAGAAAGGCTCTCGAGGCGTTCTGGATTTTCGCAAGAAATCCTAGCATGAACAGCCGAAATGAGTGTATGTCAATCACAAATGACTATGCCATTCGTGACGTCATGTGAGTTGAAAGACCACTGATTAATTCGAATATGGTATACAGTGTATTCCATTATTATCAGTGGCACTGAAGGACGGCCGCTTTCAACATCTGCGCGCCGGCGGTAGAGGAGGTTGGTTCGTCTTTCACGTTATGGAGTTTTTGTTTGTAGCATTCTGGGGCAACGTCGAGGCTAGCCGGGGATGGAGGAGGTTTTTGGTGGGGTAGACATAAAATCATAAATCTCTTACCACTTTAGGCCTCTGAAGAAGACGAATAGCTCGAAACGTTAGGCCGCCACTTACTAATAAATACTAACCTCGATTGGCTTACTAACTACTCACAACAAAACACAAAAATATTTTACGACTAACTGAAACAAAAATAACTACCTCGCCATTCATGCGTTCACCAAATAACTGCACAAGCTTTTCATAACCGGGGCTATCTCCTACCAAAGGACTGTTTTCGCCACAGAATTGTTGAGTCGGCGTGACAGTGCCAAGCAAGATAAAGTGACATAGCAGCCAAACACTAAGATACCTGAAAGTTTTGAATGGGAAAAATTGCAGATTTCCCATATTATAAAATGAAGACCGACTCTGGCCCGAAGCTAAAGAGGCGATCTCAGTAACAACTTGACTACACATCCGCCCGCGTATCTGCTCTTCGATATGAAGTTTTAGTCTCTAGTTTTGGACAAATTGCAGCGCGCTTTTAGAAGCAGTTATACATTTACTTCAAAATAAAGCATAAGTGCAGTGGTATCGTCGTCTCCCCGCGATAGATGGGGCGTGTTGTCTGCAAAGTCCGTAGACGTACGTATTTCGTACAGTATTAGCCATGGCGTGGCATGTACATACATGCCACGTCTAAATACTTGTTAAATCTTCATCATATAACATTAATTTTCGTACTCTCTAACTGCCAAAAACTGCCACGCGCACACGTTGGCAAAGCCACGCCGGCTAGCACCGTACGAAACACGCACATCTGCGGACTTTGCAGACGACACGTCCCATCTATCGCGGGGAGACGACGATAAGTATTTGCAGACTCGCGATGAATACACAATTTCGATTTTTTCCCTGATCTTTGGCATATTAGGTCGCCCATCTCGTTTCATACTTAATTAACGATATAAACATTTCTTCTCATATTCTCTCAATAATCAGGAGAGTGGACTACACAGCAAGCTTTACGTAATGGCCTTCAAACTTTATGACCATGCTTGATCCGCATAAAGTTTTAAGCCAAAATCTAAAAGTTTAAAAGCCCGAAAATGCAAGGAAAATTGTTTCGATTCGTAAAAACTTGCGAGATTCATTTTCTCAGGTGGTTCAGGTAGTCATACATATGTCTATATTCTTTCAGTGGTTAAAAATCGACGAAACAAAGATTGGCAAAGTATGCTGGCTTTTTTTTAAGATAAAATCTATCCAAACAATCCTGTGACTATCATGAATAGGCCTTTTACAAGCCTTAAATTCCAATAAATATCGAAACTAAAACCTCATAACAGCTGCTGGGTTTTTTGATTCTGGCTTGTTTCTGTTTCTCTATTTTTAGCCTGTGATGCGAGGAGCATATGCGAGAGTAAGCAAGAGGGGTTTTGAGCAGAGATATTTTTGGGCAATTGAGAGTTTATTTTTGGCTTTAAGTTTCATGCGGACCAACTTTTTGCGAGTGCTAGGAAGCCAACTTGGGCTTGCTTAAGTCTATCAAACAGTTACTCACTCTCAAATCTAATAAATAGAGGTAAGCAGACGTTCATCCACTAAAACTCATGGAAAGCTAAATTTCTGGCAATGTTGAAGCAAAGTTCGTACTAGAAGAAGGTGAACTTCTGAGAATCCCAGAAAATTTACAGTCGTTATTAAAGTCTGTAAGTTCGATTGCTTTTACTATCACTAACACAGCTGAATGTCAGAAGCGGAAAGGACCTTTGCATTACTTTTCAATCTGATGCCGGAGTACTCTTTAATGACACTTTTCAATCGCCTTCAGCAGAAGAGCCTCGCTTGGAGTAGGGAAAACATGCTTTCGTTCACATGATCATCTAATTTCTAATCTATGAGCATTTCTTTAAACTCCTTCAAATTTTTATACACTTTTTATCCTCGACTTAAAATTACTTTACTTACTTGGTGAAAATCGCATTACCAAAAATTTAACGCAAGGAGCGCGAAAATGGCGGAAACCAGCGTTTCCCAAGAGTCTTTGATTTGCGCTTGAGCGAGAACGGAACTTTTCGAACCGTAGTTGGAGACGCAGATTTGTTAGGGGAGCTATCTCCTTAGAACTTTGAACTTGACTAAGGAGAATCAGGGCCGGTATGTATCAATCTCCCGAACCGCGCCCGGGCGCTCCTTAACCATTGGAAATGAACGCCCTGGCGGGAGCGGGCGCCCGACCCATGATGTATGAAACTCGCGGGCGCCCAGCCCCGACGGGCAGAAAAGCCCGATCTCGCGGGTTCGGGCACTCGCAACGGGAGATGCAACTCATCGCGTTTTTTTTTTGCTGAAATTGGTGAGTTTTTTATTTTCTTTACTGTGTTACGCCCTCCCTCCTTACTGAAGAGTTCCGGGGAGGGCTTATTTGTTGATTTTTTTGTATTTGTGCTCCGTCGAAGGGAAGGAACGAAATGGATGCTCGTTTTCTTTATCTATTTTTTTGTAATTTGAATTTCTATCTTAGTAGCTAGGTTTTGCAAATAACTATAATGTGCATGATTATGGTTTGCATGCAGTTTAACTACATTATTCAATATGTTGCCTATTTTTTCCCCACATATGTTCCCAAAAAAGAATTTGAACGTTTGTCGCAAGCAATAGGGGGAACATTGTGAATCTTTTAAAATTTTTTGAGTTTCTTTCCTCATTTGAATGGAATTCTTTCTTTACAAAGTTCTGAGAATGTTTTTGGTTCTAGGTGCCAAAATGCTGCTGTTTGGAGAATGAACAACGCCTAAGCAGATTGCATAAGCAAGTTTCGGCTTTCGATCCAAGCACTTTGTACATATGTAAGTTCTATTTCTCTTGTGTATGTCTTTACTTCATTCTCAATATCTACCCGTTTGGAGTAAAACATGCTAGAAATTTTAGATTGGTCTTAGTGGAAAACTCAAAGGGGAAACTGTTTTAGACGTTGCGGAATGCGCGTCGGCCGTGATTACTCACGGCGCCCAAAAATAATATATTTTACGCTAATCTTGCTATCTCGGATTTTGCACATTGCACACACATTCGCCACTGCTGCCCTTTTATGCGTTATTGGTGAGTTCTTCACCTTTTTCGGTTTTGTTTTCGTTTCTTTATGCATGATAAGCAAACCAGACAGAATCCTGCCTGGTTTTTGCTCTTTTTTATCATTTGGCCGCAGGCTGTGCCTGCTTTTTTACCAAAATGAGATTTTACGATTTTGTTGTTGATTTTTTGATTGATACCCCTTTGCTTTTGTGTGATGTCACATTCCTCATAGAAATGTGTCTCACACACATTGTAGAGGAGGATCATTCTTCTTTTTAATATGATTCACAAATGTTTACACTGAGTTAGTTAAACTATACTTGTGCCTCAATCTTGACCTTACACATATCTTTCGTAAGAAAAGGTCAAGATTTCGTAAGCTATCTCTTCCTTGCCTTTATAGAAGTTTGAATACTACTCTTGTCTGAGTGTTTTGTTTGAATACTACTCTTGTCTCGTAGGATTCAGTCGACGAAGTTGCGCAATAAACAACAAACACGCACGGACTCAAATTCGGAGAAGAAATGCACGAAAATGAGTGAAAGGAGTCATTCTCAGAAGGCGCCAGGAGGCATATCACATATGCGTCAGCACGCGCACTACTGATCCCCAAATAGGCAGTCCGGGCTCTTGCCCGAGTACCACCCCAGAATGGTGCATCGCGGGTGCGGGCGCCCGTGCCCGGTCGGGCAGCGACCCAGACGGGAACCTCTTCCCGAGTGGGAGATTGATACACATCGGCCCAGATTTTTTCATTGATCATAAAAAATCAAACAGTTTCCGCAGATTTGTAGCACACTTACATTGTTTTTTGAACGTCATCCTGATTTATTTTGTTTTATCAAATAATATAGTTTTTACATTCTAGTTATTTACTCTGCCGCGCGGTATCAGTCTTGCATCAATTTGATACTTTTTATAGTGTGTGTTCGAGAATTTTTCGTAGTTACTCTCGCCTCTCACTTCGCCTTTGCACTTTTATGTTTTCTTCTCATACCGTTTTAGATCTTGCTGATTCGAAGCGTTAAACAAACGTATAGGTTGCATTGTGGTGGTAATAATGAAGAAAAAAAAAACTACGCAGACCATACTTACAGTTGACGAGTTTCATGTAACTATGAAATAAAAAAGTGGATACGGATATTATTTGTCTGAAAACGCAAACATCACATTGAGCTTAACTACTCTCCTTTGAAATCAAGCTCAAAGGATCTGTAGACGCTGATTAGTTCGTTACTTTTGCAGAAAGTTTGTACTCTACTGCAGTTCATTTAACAAACGAGTTGAATTGAACACAGCAAATTCTTTATTCTTACTTCGCAAAGTCAAATCAAAGAAATACTTGGTGTCGCTGTACTGCTGAGTTCATTGGAGTGTTCGGGGCACAGTGAAATGCCTTACTAAATTCGGGCATATTTCCAAGCACCACATTGACCCTGGAATACAATCTTTGGATATCTAATCAAATTATGCCAACTTTTCATTCTTACATTTGGTTGTCCTAAAAATTTGTCTTTTTTTCAAACGACTATAATATCAGGTGCAATGGAGACTCAAATGAGTTCCAACAGAATTTGATACTGTTTTTCCTTCTTTTTCTCACAGTTACATTTTCGAAAACATGATCTCTTGCTTTTTCATAAACGCCAAAATTTTTTCCCCGTCATTTGTGTTCAAACTTCGGCTAATTTTCAAAAATTGTGTCCCAAAGTTGTGGAAGTTATTAACATGCTACCAATAGTGTAAACCTCGGACTGTACGGTGGTAATTTGAATTTTTTTGTCTGCTGTGTTCGGCTTTGAAAATTTTTCGGAGATATTGATGTTTAATTAAGCCATGAGCACGCATGTGCAGCAGAAATAGGAAAGCTCCCAAAGTTCCTGCGAGTTGAAATTTGATTTGAGCACAATTTGTGCAACATCATCAAGTTTAGTTTGCTCTGAAGGAACGGTTGAATGGAATATTCGGTACTACTCTGCGCAAAACGTGATCGGAAAAGTCGCGGTTTCTACCAAATAAATAATCACTGAAGACTTGAAAAAAGTGAACTGTGTAATATAAAATGAGTGCAGTGTGGCCAAAGGCTTACTCAGCATAACAGTTGCCAGCGCTATTTGAAAAAGTCGAAATGAGACTTTTTTAAAATCTGGGAAACGTTTTACCGGCGAACTGACGTTGACGGTGAGCTGCTCAAAGAGCCATGACGATAACTCTTAAAGACAGCTTAGATTTAATTAAAGCACAGCTATAAGAAATGGATAAAAATTTAAATTGAATGTTACCCAAGTCACCGTTGGTGTTCTGTGAGATTTAGTAACTAATGAATGAAACCGACAAACTTTCGAAACAATTTAATATACAAAGCTGAAAGTGTGTATGTATGTTTGCGTGTATACCTATGTTGCAAACATAAATTTTTATTTCTGCACCGATCAGAACCAAACTTGGCACACAAAACCTCGGGTCGGGGCGGGTGTCGTAAGCTACTTTCCGTTTTAATATCGATATCATCGACTTTTTTGCAACGTTTGACCTACAACGCTGGGACTAGGCACGGGGAGGAGGAAGGGGTAATCGGTAGTTGAACATGCCGATTACGGGATCATTGAAAAGGCCGGGCGGGCCGGAATTGCCAGCTAGTCGGTTATAGATAAATCACGAGATCAGCAAATGTTAGGCAGTTACTCTCCTGCACATTTATGCCTACCTTTTCAAAGTATTTTGCGAGTACATAGAGGCCTACGTTATAAGGCGACATCGGCCCCTAACTAGCCGATGTTTCTGGCCGTTAATACAGGGTATAAAAGCTCATATCGCCGAGCAGGCGGGCGCGAACTCGGGCTTTCTTACAAGCGGTAAGCCAAATTTTGAGGAGTGGCCAAACCTTAAACGAGCGGTACCACTTTGAAGTGCGTGTTGCTGCCAGCGGGCAGCAACACTGAAATTTAGAATTTAGTTAGCGATCTGACTTTGTTACGCATTTTCGAGCGTACGCCGAGCAAAGGTAACACTCTATATGGCAAAGGTTGATCGTTGTTCAATTATCCAAGTTTGGGGTATTTTCTCTCGGTGGAAGGTACTGCGGGCTGCGAAATCCTTCGTAAACGACCGTGCGGCCCTCAATAATTTCGCATGTTCTCGTAGAAAGCCCCAGAACGCGACCATTGCGTCGCTTAATATATGAAAAGGAGGCGATTGTTGCTGAGCATTTGTCGAGAAGCGTCCAACATTCTTCCATATATCTGCAAGCAGACCGTAGTTCAGCATTCTATCTTATTAAAAAATCGCGTGATTCCTACTCTCTTCCCCCCCCCCCCCCCGCAATTCTCTGAGAGGATGTTGCTACCAAATAATTGTTGGTAGCCCTTCATAAGTTTTCCAAGGAATTTCAAGTAGCATTTTTGTAGAGCTGGCTTCAACTCGGATGTCTAGCATAGAGCAAATTACCGTTCTTTCTTCCTCTTCCTCTGTAGGATTACGGTAGGAACTTCGAGGGGGGTTTTTTGCTGTTGTACTTTTGAGAAAGGACTAAAAAAAGCTGAACACTCCGAGAGAAGGTTAAACAAGAACCCTGGTTTGAAATATGAAACTTGCACTCAACCGTAACGCTTTCTCATAAGTTATGTGAAATTTACTGCAACAACCGATTTCCGAAATTCGCCAAATTTGATTGCGCTATTCAAAAAAAACGCGCGAAAATTTCGTAGTCAATTTGACATGCTTGCATGAAAAACTTGTCGCACAGTTTTTTGAATTTTTCGAAGTACATATGCTGCGAGTTCCTATCGTAGTTTACAGTAAAAGAGATCGGTAACTTGTTCCATACCGCAAATCTAATTTAAAACCAGCTCTATAAAATGATACCGAAATTTCGAACGATCTCACGAAAAGGGTGTTTAATGATTGAATAGTGAGCATATTTTTTTGGAACAGCGTGTACATTGTCTATGGGTATAATTCTGCCGTCAGCATTCATGCGTAAACGATGTCAGGGTCGCAAAACTTGAGAACACGCGTGATTTACCGACATTACACAAGTGGTGATTTGTCCACGCGAAAATATTGCCAGCAAATGTCGGCACCACAGAGACACTTAATCAGCAGTCAAATTTACTAAGCCTGGAGATACTAGTGATTTTCAAAGTGATGCTCTCATTATAAGGAAAGCTTCTGTTTTACCAAAAACTAAGAACGGCAAAGGTTGATATAGCAACGATTTAGCTTTGTACTATGATAGATGCACATTCTAGAGAGCAAAAATGTGAGAATAGCTGTACAAAACTTATGTTTTTGTGCTTCGACTGGTAACTTAGTGTTGAAAGCTCTGTCATTTTCATTGCTTGGATGATGAGCAAGTGTCAAGAAATCCTTCACGTTTAAAGGAACTCGGAATAAATTAATGCGTAGAGTTGATAGCTGACTAGAGAAGAGAAAGATAAAGAAAGATAAGTGGCTTTTTGAGGTTGCTGTGTGGTATGTTTTTCAATGCTGATCTCATATCTGATCTCGGTATTTGCTGCGAATTTTTGCTCAATAAAAGTTGTACACGATGCTCCACCAGAGGGTTGCGAAAAGCGCTTTGCCATAGACAGTGACAATCACTGCAGTAAGGATGACTGAGCCTTGAGTGAGTTAGACTAGAAAGCAGGTAACGAGCTTCAAATTTGATTCTATAATCCATCTTTTGCAACATCGGCTAGAATCCGCAGACGATCTGTAAAACATGTAAACACCCTGGAACAATTTGCTAACAACTCTTACTCTCTCATTCAACACCAAGGTCTTCCAAAACAAACTACTACACTGTTACAGAGCTGTCGGAGCTTGTGATAAGGAAGTCTTCAAAAAGATGTTTTTTGATTAATGCGCGCATTATGTACACGTGTAGTGCTTCTAGTATTTCCAACAGTGTTGCCGTCTGTTTTCTAAAATCTTGTACTGCTCTCAATGGCTCTTTACAATAGCGGAATTAGAAGGGAGTAAGCACGAAAGATAGAAAGCGTAGGCAGTTGCGGCAGCTTGGCAAAAACCACTCATAATTAAAAGAGTAGCAAAGCTCAAGAAAGACACTGCAGGAGTTCTTACAAACTTACCGATAATTGTACAGGGTGTCCCAGAGGTATGTATGCACTGTTTGATCGTTAATATCTCTCTTCCCGAAAAGCCTTTCGCCTTGCTTTAGGTACCATTTTGTAGAGCTGGCTTTAACTTAGATTTTCAGCATAGAACGAATAACCAGTCTTTCTTCGTTACTGTAGGATTATGGTAGAAACTTCAAAGAGGGTTTTGAGCTATGAAAGGCCATATTTTGCCTCAGAAAAGAAAACAAAACAGCTTTTACACTAGGCCAATTAGAGTTGCTGATTTTATGTGTAAAGTTCCCAACTTATTATGATGCTTCACTGAAGAGTATTCCAGGTAAGAGGTAGCTGCCATTTTTTCAGTGTTCCTAAAAAGTGCGGTTACACCGTTTAGAAACCTTCGCAATCTTATGAATAGTTGAGTATTGAACTCAGCGTCCATAAAAACCCTACTACACAAGTTTTCACATTCTTTTCTGAAAATTTTTGAAATGGCAGCTTTTTCCACATTGGCATCATACGTTTCAAGTTCCTACCGTAATCCTACAATAACGAAGAGAGATGGATGATTTGTTCTATGCTGAGAATCTAAGTTGAATCCAGCTCTACAAAATAGTACTTAAAACAAGGCGAAAGACTTCTTGGGAAGGATATCAATGATCAAACAGTGCATACATACTTTTGGGACACCCTGTATATGTTTTACAGCTCTTGCGAATATTAGCAAAGTTGCAAAAGAAACGACAAGTAAAGATTTTCGAACTCACTTATCGCCTAGTCAAATTCACTCACCACTTTTCCGTTGCAATAAATGTCGCCGTCTTTCAAACCTAGACGCGCGTCGCAATCTGCTTTGAAATATTTTTGTACAATTATTTCATCAGCTGTCTGCATTAGATTCAAGATTGGATATGCAGTCAGCATTTAAAAAATTACCCTCTACTCAAAACTTCGTACACCTCACTGCGATTAGTTGTTGTATCCTTTCTTAGTTTGAGTAAGCGAAAAGCGGGGATTTACCGCATCTGTAGAATAGCTCACACTCCAGTAAGCCAATTCTTCACTTCTGCATTTAGCGAAAGCGGCCCTTTACAAATCTTAGATTCATAAGTTATATACGGTAGCCATCTTGCCTTTTGAGGCAGAGGGAATTACAGTGATTACACGGGAGAGCTTTTAAAACAGCTTAACCAAAAATTAAGGAAATAAGGTAGGCTTAGGGCAAAATCGGAAAAAGTAGTACTCTAAGCACGACCTTTCATGCCCAGGATTGCTTGCAAATTAATCACAGACACTAGATTGCAGAAAGTGCATTCGCTGATCATTTTTAGAGCGCGACTTGAATCACAATCACAAGTGCAGTTGCTAGAGATAGACGGGGCCTCGCGGAGTAGGGTAAAATTGATTATCTCCGGCGGGCGAAAGCCTTTTCATTATAGCTGCTTTCTCCAAGCTTATACTTACTTACTTAGATACTTAGATGGCCCGTCCTCACGTGACGTGCGGGCCGCAGTACAGAAGTTGCCATTTTTCCCTGTCCCTCGCCTCAGACATCCACGATCTTTTTGGCCGTCGTCGGTGGCTGCGTCCACGAGTTCCAGGGGCGAAAGTCGTATCCAGCTGATTTCTCAGCTGGTCCATCCGTTCCACGAACACGTCTGCCCATCTCATTGGTGGTCTTCCTCGAGGACGTTTGGCTTCGCGAGGAATCCACTCAGATGTTTTTAGTGTCCATCTGTCGTCTGTTCTTCTCATTATGTGACCGGCCCATCGGTGTTTGGCTTTCGCAACGTATTCCGCTGGGTCACGAAGACGGGACATTCTTCTCATATCCGTGCTGCGAAGTCCGACTAGATGTTGCTTGCGTCGGGTCATCTTCAGAAGACTGCGCTCGAGCGCTCTGTGGGTGGTCCGTAAAGCTTTCGACGTGGCTACAGTATCGGCCCAAGTCTCAGCTGCGTAACAGAGCGCCGGGAGAACGGTTGAGTCGAACAGGTGGGCACGAAGCTCCGGGTCCGTCAGTTGGTCGGTGGCTTCCTTCAAAGGCCCGAAGGCGGCCCAGGCTGCTCTTCTTCTCCTGTTGAATTCTTCCCTCAAGTCGTTCTCCATGTTCATCGAACGTCCCAGATACACGTAAGAAGACGTCTCCATGATAGGGGTGCCTTCCAATTCCATTTCTGCATCTTCGCAAAGGGCGTTCTTCATGAACTGAGTCTTCTTCCGTTTATTTCGCAGTCCGATCTTCTTCCCTACTTCGTTTAGTTCCTTCAGCATCGCCTCTGCTTCAGTGATACTGTTCGAGAAAAGGACGATGTTATCCGCAAAACGAAGGTTGGATAAGAATCTCCCATCAACTCGTATGCCTCTCTCTTCCCAGTCTAGTGACTTCATCACCCACTGCAAGGCCGCGGTGAAAAGCTTCGGCGAAATAGTGTCGCCTTGTCGAACCCCCTTCCCAAATGGAATGGTTAGGGGGCGATGGAATAGCTGCATCGTTGTTCTACAGTCCTTGTAGCAGTCGGCTAGTGTCCTCACGTAAGCTGGTTCCACTCCTTGATCGACTTGCGCAGACAGGATGGCGTTGGTTTCGACGCTGTCAAAGGCTTTCTCATAATCGACGAAGGTTAGGACGAGAGGCAGTCGATACTCCCGGCAGACTTCTATGACCCTCGAAACCGTCTGGATGTGGTCCATGCAGTTGAATCCTTTGCGAAATCCAGCTTGTTCTTGGGGTTGGGCTTCATCCAGTGTCCTAGATATGCGTACGAGGATAATCTTCGTGAAGAGCTTGTACAGCACACTCAGCAGGCATATTGGACGGTAATTTCGAAGATCTTCCCGTTCACCCTTCTTAAAAAGAAGGACGGTTCTTGACGTTCTCCACTGCTCGGAAATCCTCTCCTTTTGAAGGTAAGATGTCAGGTGCGACGCGAGAATCTCGTGTAGACGTTGTCTTCCGGCTCGCAGAAATTCGACGGAAAGATGGTCTGGTCCTGGAGCCGTGGATGTCTTCATGGTCTGAATCGCCGTGCGCACTTCAGCAGGTAGAATTCGTGGTGGTACTTCTCCAGTGGGAACAACGGGCATCGGCACGGGTGTTGATGAGCGGAAGAGGTTGGTATAGAAGTTCTTCGCGATAGATTCCATCTTTTATCGGGAAGAAGTCGGAGTCCCGTCTTCGTTTAATAGTGCAGCCAGCGGCACGTGATATTCACAGAGCTCCCTTCGGCATTTCTTTAGACTTCGTCTTCCTTCGGCTGCTTCCAGTATCTTGGTTCGGATCCTGCCTCAGAAATCTTTTTCCTTCGAGCAATTCCTTGGTGGTGTTCGATATACGTTCCAAGTTCTTCTCAGAAGTCACTGAGGCACATTCTCCGCAGGCTCGCAATCCTTTCAGAAGCCGGCCGTAGTCGTACGTTGGGTCCTCCTCGATGGGCCAGTCACATCTTGATATGAGCTCCTCCAGCTTGTTACTGTCATAAACGACTTCCTTCCTTCTCGCGGCACTGTGACAAACTTTCTTTTCCAGCCTTCGGCTGAGTCGTATCTTCGCTCGAAGGAGGCGGTGATCAGAGCCAGTGCAGAAGGATGGAACTACTGAGACATCGAGCAAGCTCCACCTTCGGTTGGTGAGAATGTGGTCGATCTCCGCGAGAGTCGTTCCGTTGGGCGATTCCCATGTCCACCGGCGATGTTCTTTCTTCATGAAGATGGAATTTCCATGGAAGAGCCGTGCGGCGGAGAGAAGCCCAACGAGACGGTTGCCGTTTTCGTTTCGGAGCCCATATCCAAACTTCCCGATCTTTTCTAGTGGCATCCCGATTTTCGCATTGAAGTCGCCCACAACATATTTGTAGAGGGACTTTTCGTTGCGGACGACCTCCACGTCTTCGTAGAAAGCATCTAATTTTGAGTCGTCAGCTGCTGATGTTGGCGAGTAGCAGTTGATGATGCTGATGGTCTTCTGACGTGGACGGCGTAGTCGTAGGATGCCCAGTCGAGGTGATAAGATCTCGTGCGAATCGACAAGATGGACGATAGATGGGTGGACGACAAAGCCGACGCCTCCCACGTTTCGTGATAAGACCTTTTCACCACGAATGATGAGGGTCCCATCACTCATCGCCCTTCTTCCTGGACTTCGTTTCCTGCAGAGCGATGATGTGGTAGTTGATGTGCTCTGCAGCGTCGAGAAGAGCGTGGAGGTCTGCGTTTGTGGAGACTGTCCTGGCGTTGTAGGTGCAGAGCATAAGGCAGTCTCCATGGCGTGTCGTCCGGGCAGACGTGTCGTTTTTGTCCAATCCGAAAGGCGCCCTGAGTACCCTGACATCGTTCTTGCTACCACCCGCGCCGTAGGCAGGATACGATGTGCAGGGTTTCTTTCTAATCTTCTAACTGGAGGAGTGATATGAATTTTCCCCTACAAGAGGTGGCTTACTAGGCCTACCCTTGATTTCCACGGGGCGATCGCTGACCCCGGGCCTTGGAGCGGGGAAGAGACCGCCTAGCGACCAGAAGAAGCAGACGGCGGGGGATCTGGCGTGGCCGGTTCTTAGCTAGGCATCCGGCCGAAACCGGAAACGTCGAACTCCTTCACAGCTTGGGAGGCCCTACCAGAGTATACACTCGGCTGTGCATCGCAGTTCGACACCCAGTGTCACCCCCACGCCACGATGAGGCGACCGACCATTGTGGGAGCCTCTGCAGTATACGTACCATAACTCAGTGAGATCGCCTCAAAATGTCGAAAGAGTATGATATTCGTAATCAGCATGTCAATCCATGATTTTAACCTCTTATCTATACCCAACGTAAACCCAGAAAATGGCGCTATGTTGCGCGAAATAACTACGATATTCGTCATCAGCGATAATAATCCCCATGTACCGACTTTGAGCAAGATCCATCACAAAAACTTTAGGGCCTGATAGCCGAATAGCGCCATCAGTTTTCAGAATTATCCTTACTTTTACCGTTTTATTGCTTTTTTGCAAAGTTTGAGCTACGGGACTGGGGGTTGTTGAGGGAGGTAGGTGGGCATGCTAATTACTAACACAGCGGGAATAGGGATTTGCATGCAGAAGTGGGCACAATGAAAGGTTCCACAGGGATAGGGATAAAACCTTAATCATAGCATTGACAGGGCAGCGCGGAGCCGGGTAAGCCAGCTAGTTTAGAATATAATACGGTACAGTTTTACTCGCCAAATCAAATGACCTCCCAAAAGCGGTAGCAGCACTGCTTTTTGAACCTCAAAATTGTATCCTTTTGGCAGAACTTATGGTCATTACGGATCATTTTTTCTTATGAAAAGCACAACTGTAAAGCGTTTTGAGATTAAGGTCACTTGTGTTTCAAATATGTGTGGTGGTTGATAACATCTCAAAACATGACAACAGCCCACTAAAACTATTTTTTTTGTTCGACATCAGAAATTCTATTATGTGCTGTAGGCATGCATTTCTACGAAAGTGCTGTTGGCAAAAAAGCGAGCCATGAAATGCAATTTAGAACAGATTCAATCGTAAACATCCTCAAGAATTTAACTCAACAAAATCTAGAACATTCTAAGCAAACATTTTGGTTAAAATGGCCTTTCCTAGTAGCTCCACATCTATGTTTTCGGTATCTGCCAGTAGTCTTTAGACACGAAATTGTGAGCTTTTTTGATATTAACATGCCAACTGCCGAAAGCACAAAATTAAGCTTCTAAAGTGATATTTTACGACAGTGGCAGACTCAACGTAAAACACAAAAAAGCAAGATTACAAATTTGATGCACCTGTGAGTTCAAAAATTTCAATTTGGATAGGTTTAGGCAATGCCTCCCGACTGCCGAAATGCTTGCCTAGTCTCTTACATTCTAGTCTCTCAAGTGACAAAGTAGTAGGATGCGTTTGGTGCATCTTCGCAGAAAGTGCTGAAAAGCAAAGAGTTTACCTTTTTTGTCTTAAATTAACTTTCTTAATTTTTATTTGGTTGATTAGTAATTTCTGTTCTAACTGCGGCAAGCTCTGAGTTCTTAACTTTTTATTTTGATCCTTCGCAACACAAAGAGCAAAACATAAAACATAAGTGCTCACCGCAGTACATCTGGAGAATGACTGTCGAATTGATCCTGCAAAAACATCTCTCGGGTCACAATCTTCTTTATAGGAGCACACCAAAACTGTAATGAATATTTCTTAGTATACACTTGTTCACAGACTACTTTTTTCAGTGTTCTTCAATCAAAGAAAATGGGAACATTCCTATACCTAAGAAAACTCAATTGCTCACGTATGGACGCTGGGTTAATGCGCGGCCGCATGAGGGGAGAGCGATACTGTTGCGAAGCTACGAGTACTTTTCCCAAACCGGTTTCAGCGAAGGTGTTGAAGCATGTTGGTCGTTGAGTCGAATATTTTTTACTACTGGGTCTTTTCAAAAGTAACGTCACTTTTTAATTGAAACCACGTTTTGTGAGCAGTGATTCCTGAAAAACTTTTGTAACATTCAAGGCAGCATTTTAACTTCTTTTTGAAGATTATAATTTTGTCGCGATACACTTAGTGGGCTTCCGGAAAGTTGTTAAAATCAGCGATTCATGCTTTTGGGATGGTCAAATTTCACATTTTTTGAATTTTTAAATCAACCCTCCGAAGGAGTCCAAGTAACGGATGGATAAAAGAAACTTTGCAGGATATATGACAATTTCTCTCTCCTTTCCAAAATCGTCATATCTTTTTGAATAGAATCTCAACTGATGCTACCAGTTTTTATCTTGGCCAGCCCAAACCTCGTAGAACATCATATGGCCAGTATACTTGGGTCCGAATCGAATAGAAATTCGATCATTCGAATAAAACATTCGAGTTCGCATTCGAAATTTCATATTCGGAGGTTCTCAATTTTCGAATAATATTCGAAACTCGGATAATTGAGAAAACGGGGTTTCGAATAAAATTCAAAATCTCGAATAATAAAAAAACGAGATTTCAAATAATATTCGAAAATTCGAATAATCGGAAAAAGGAGTTTCGAACAGATTTTATTCGAATGTTTTATTCGTTTATTCGAATTCGTATTCGAATGAACTCCGTATCCAAATTATTCGAGTTTGTTGCAGAGAAAACTGCTGAGTACCAAGCTCGCTTCGTTTGCGTTTTTTTCGCAAAACCAGGTAATGCATCTTTTTGCAACCGTAATGACTTTTAAACTGTATGAAAAGTCGCATTCCTCCGACTGCTTGTGACAGTAAAAAAATAGGTGCGGATTTTATAGGTGTGGATTTTTTTGGGTTTTTGTTTATCGATTTTATCGATTTTTGGAGAACTTTGAGCTACGGGGTTGGGAGTTGGTACAGGGGGTAAGTGAGGGTGCTGATTATGAATGAAATTTTATTTTATCGATTTTACCGATTTCTGGAAAAGCTTGAGCTAGGAGTTGGTATAGGGGATATGAGGGTGCTGATTATGAATGAATCGGCTCTAGCCAGATATGTCAGCAAGTTTTAGAAATGTTGCTGTTTAGATATGTTGCTGTAGTTATTCAAAAACCATTCGAATTATCTATTCGAAGTTCGACTCCCAATGTTCGAATATATTCGATATTCATTCATTCGATACTTTTGATTTTGCGATTCTATTCGATAATCATTCATTCGAAAATTTTTGATTCTCGAATTTATTCGATATTCGTTTATTCGAGACCAGTGCGTCACCTCTGCTTCGCAGAGGCTCGCACTGGCCCTACTATATCTATGCCTTACTCATTCCAGCATAATAATTACATTGAAACTCACCGCGCTGTGTAGGCTATCATAACTTATAATAACGGGCTAAGGGTTGTTTACGTTTGTGTGTGTCTGTGTGTGTGTCTGTGTCTGTCTGTCGCGAAAATCGTAGGAAGAGTTCCAGCCAACCTCTTGAGACCAAATTTTGCATAGTACATCCTAGTAGCAGGAAAGTCCATTGCGCAAAAGCACAAGCGGATCCGATAAGTGGATCCCCTAAAAATTGCGCGTGAAACGGGTGCACTTAACTTCTGGCCAGCAAAATTGGGTCCGTAAATAAACTTTTTGCAAAGTCGTGGATATGTTTGACAAGCTAATGTACAAGCCATGGACTTTAGCCCAAAAAATTCGACTAAAGTTGGTTACTTTACGAAGATGGCGTCAAAAAGAATCAGTTGCGTAAATGCTCAATTTCCCAAGATTTTACCTGATCATTTGAGAAGATTGTTGCACAGAGATATAGCCCACGATGATTATTGCCGTTATGGCGACTACCAAGCCATAAAAATTCCACAAACCTACTCAAATTCGCACTTATTCTTCAGAGAAAAGCTTCATCGACGTGAAAATACCGATCTCACGCAAAAAAGCTCTAGGAATGAATAGCTGTTCATAAATCATTCGTGATAGCCTGCATAACGCGGTGAGTTTCAATGTCACTATTATGCGGTAATGAGTAAGGCATACAGAAAGCAGAGCCATTGCGAGCCTCTGCGAAGCAGAGGTGCCGCACTGGTCACGAATAATTCGTAAACAATTACTCATTCGTAGAGGTTTTCCATGTGAGATCGGTATTTTCGCGTGGATAAAATCTTTCCCAGAAGAACAGATGCAAATTCGAAAAGGTTTTTGGAATTTTTATGGCTAGATAGTCGCGTAAGGACAACAAACATAGCTCTGCAAAAAGTAGTACTACGGACCTAAATTTGCTGACCAGAGGCCAAGTGAGTGGATCCGCTTGACGCGAATTTTCAAAGGATCCACTCAACGGATCCCCTTTTTGTATAGAGAGCTCTCGTGCTGGTAGCGTCAGGGCCCGGCGGGGGTGGCGCTTTCACAAGCTGGATATCGTTTTTGACTCGAAAAAGCAGAGGGGAAGTCGTATTTTGGTCCGGGGCGGAGCCCGGATTCCAAAATACGACTTCCCCTTTGTTTACCGATAAACAATGCACATATCATTCTTTATTCATCATTCCTTGTTGATGCTACTGTCCTATGAACTTAGATTCCAGCAATGTGAAGATTCTGTGCTCCGATCGCTAGCCTGCCCGCAGGCGGGAATTCAAATCGCAGTTCTTGTAAGAGGAAAATAACAAAATAGGCTCGTTTTCAATGCACAAGTAACGATATGGCACCAAATTTGCTGGATAGTTGGAGGATCATGAGCACAAAAAATTATGAAGAATTATGAAAAACTTATGTGAATTTAAAAAGTGGTAAGTGTTTTTCGAAATTAGGTGACTCCCGCGCCACCTGGGAGCCAACTGGGGTGGCTCCCTGCTTCCCTTCACATAATTTCCCGGATTTCTTTACATAAATGTGGACTAGGTCGAGATTATTACTATATCAGTGCGTCACCTCTGCTTCGCAGAGGCTCGCACTGGCCCTATTTTCTGTATGCCTTACTCATTCCCGCATAATAATGACATTGAAACTCACCGCGCTATGTAGGCTATCACGAATAATTCGTAAACAACTACTCATTCGTAGACGTTTTACATGTGGGATCGGTATTTTCGCGTGGATAAAATCTTTCCCAGAAGAACAGATACAAATTCGAATAGGTTTTTGGAATTTTTATGGCTTGATAGTCGCCGTAAGGACAATAAACATAGTGGGCTACATCTCTGTGCAAAAATCTTCTCAAATGATCAGGTAAAATCTTGAAAAATTGACCGTTTACACAGCGAATGCTTCTTGGCGCTGTTTTCGTAAAGTAGTAGGCTTTTCATTACTTTTTTAGGCTAACGTCCATGGCTTGCACAATAGCTTGTCAAATATATCCTTAACTCTGCAAAAAGTAGTACTACGGACCCAAATTTGCTGGCCAGAAGCCAAGTGGATCCGTTTGACGCGCGATTTTCAATGGATTCACTCAACGGATCCGCTCGTGCTTTCGCATAGTGAGCTTTCATGCTGGTAGCGTGCGCTGTGCAAAATTTGGGCTCAGGACGTTGGCTGGAACACGCTCTACGAATTTCGTGACAGACAGAGATTCACACACACACAGACAAACGTAAACAACCCTTAGCCCGTTATTTTAAGTTATGATGTTCAAATCCGCTTCCAAAACCACCAAGGAACCGCTTCGATAAAGCCCCAAATAGGGTTCACAGCGTTATGATTGGTCTCGGAAAGCGCGCTCCAATCGCAATCGGTTATTGTAAATTGTAAAGTTTCGCAGCTGACTAATAAATGAGTAGTATCCCAGATATATAAACGTCAAAGTTTGTGCAAATCTTGACCCTATGTTTTTTTATATAGATTCCTTTGCGGATGAACCCATTGAGCTGAGACCTTGAAAACATATGCGGCTTCGGTAGATGGTTTTAAGCTACCCTTCGAAGCAATTCGTGGAATTCTTCTATCGATTTAATGATTTTTGGCACCTTGCAAGGAAAGTGAACACTCACCAGCCGCTAACAAACTGTTTGCACATTTTGGTGTGAACAATGCAGTGAAGTTCATTTCCACTTCAAAATTAGAAGGTGCAGTCACTCCAACAAGCCTTTCTGGGGTAAGCTCGTGCAGGAGGGTAAGGGGGAGGACTGCAGTGCAGTATTGATACTGCAGAAAAGGGGTGGAGAATATGGCCCAAAAGGACGGGAAGGTAGAAGGACAAAGTGTGGTTTTTGGCCATCCCCTCAAACGATGACCCGGGCTGGACCAGGAAAGCCAGGGTAGTACTACTATAATAAGCGCTGAGGCCGCCCATCTTATTATTTGTGTATATCTGTTTGTCAGGGACTTACGGGGGTCAAAAATAGGGTCAAAGGGGAAGTCGTAAGAAATTTTGGCTTCAAAGGGGATATCGTTTTCAAAATTCTTAAATGCCACCTGCTGCCGGGCCCTGGGTAGCGTGCGCTATGCAAAATTTGGACTCAGGAGTTGGCTGGAACACGCTCTACGAATTTCGTAACAGACAGACACACACACATACAGACAAAAAGACGTAAACATCCTTAGCCGCTTATTATAAGTCACTAGTTGGCTTCCCCGGTCCAGCCCGGGCCTTGTTCCGTTCACCTGCACTGCAAGCTTTCCCCCTTTATATCTATTATGGATCACTTACCCTGGAACACCCGCTTCAAACCGCATCCTTGTGATCCTGTGGTGAAAATGAGCTTCACCGCCCTCCTTTCACGATTATGGGAAAATGCTTGATTCAACATGAT